ATGATCCTAGTCCTTATTGTAGGCAAATTATCAAAGTTTTAACAAAATGTGATTTTTGGTCAACTTTGAAGTGGCCTTGAGACCACGTCCTTTGCCCCAGGTGATGCCTTGTACAATTTTATTCCACAACATATCCTCATCCTTGTATGTAAATTTGGTGATAATCCGAGCAGTTGTTCTTAAGAAGAATATTTTTTAGCAACCACTACTTTTGTTTTTATTTCCCTAATTATAAAATAGGTCTGCTGATTACGGGACGCAAATCACGCAATCGGTACCAATAGGAATTCCGACAGATTGTTGGAAGACTTGGTCTCCAAAAACTACAAAGACATCGTTGGAGTACTTGTATGTACAATCAGAATGTTTTTAAATAAAATAATTTTGCGAATGATCATTGACAAGGTGAGTAAATTTACGAGTTCTATTTTTCTTTTTGAAAAAGCAGTGGCCTAAGATAAAAAAGGGTTTATTTTATCGTAGGAATGTTTGTATAGAATGTTAAGAGGTCGTTACGTTTCGATAATATTGATTTTGGTAAAATTTTGTGATTTGTGATTTCAAATTTTCTAAACATTTCTTAGGGTTTAAAGTTTCCACATCTGATTTACACCACTTCTCGAATATATTGTTTTACAGTAATCTTGAAGTTTCTACTTCATTGCTGTTAATTTTAGCGAGGGGTAAAGAAAAAGGATTGGTAGAACATTTGCTGGAACCCTCTATGTGTCTTTGTTTGTAAGGGTTTTTATGAAGTTAAGAAATCCAGTTTAGATATGGTAATTGAAATTTATTTTGATATTTGGGAATATTAAAAATATTCAAATCTGACAAATGATTTTGAAGAATTTTCTCCGTAAAAACGGAGCTATATGTTTAAGTTGGATTATCACTAGTAGCTATCAATTCAGTGTGAAAATTATAGCTGTTTGTATGAAAAAAAAAGTCAGACAACATTTTTAGTATTGGCAAACAAGGTCACTGATTCGACTATATAATTTGTGAAATGCATGTTTATTTTAAACAAGTTTGTTAATATCCTTGAATGAATAGATTGTGTTCTTGATCCAACAAAAATCTGTCCAACATGTAGGACTATATATTTTTGATATGTAGGATGTCACCTCATATTAACAGGAGCTTGTTTAACAATTGGGTAGAGTCGAATGGCTTCCTTTCCGTTAACAGTGTTTTTTTTAATGAAGTGAAATAAAGTGGTGCTTTCACCTTTGCTTTAAAAAGGATATTTTTCTGAAAGTCTTCCATGTATTAACAAACTATGTAAATACCCTCTTATGCCACCTATTGTATATAATTGCATAATAAATTTTGCAGTCTGAAAGACTCTATACTACACTGATTAAAAAGGTCTTAATGCTTATGTAATTTAAAACGACTTTTTCAAGTTCAGTGTTCGTATATTAAAGAAACTTTGGGTTTTTCCAGTGACGTCAGGTTAGTATCATTTTAACATATCTCGTGTTTATTTGAAATATTACTGTCTGCATATTTTGTTAACCAAGGAAGGCTAAAATCTCTCTAACCTGTTATCATATCTTTTCAAAATCTAACTAAACATTATTGATCTGGAAAGGTTCAGATTAGAAATACAATCAGTCTAAAGTGCAGTCTAAACAACAGGTAAGGGGCATACACTTTTCTTCTTTTTATAAAATTTCTAATTTCAATTTTATATCGTCAAAATGCAGAGTGCCTGTTTAAGAATAAATAACACAAACAAACTTTTTCAGAAATCAGCAATATTTCTTATAGATTAATATTCAGATAGGTAACCTAAATGATATTTTTGGGGTAAAGTAAGGGGATTTCGTAAGATTTTGTCACAATGTCAAAAAATATGTGCAAAATTTTGTATAAAATTACATAAAGAACGATACAAAGTCGCCTATCTAAGCATCAAAGAAAACTTACGATTTCTTTATATATAAGGGATTTGTTATTTATGTCATTTCCATTCAAAATCAGTCAAAAAATATATATCAAATCCATGCATCAAATTTTTGTTTGTGGAATGTACTCTTAATTCTAAAATGGAGGGAAGGAATTAAAAGCAAAAGAATATAATTTTTAAGCATTTAAATAAAATGCAAGTTGAAAATGTCAAATTTAGGATTTAAACCCAATATTTGTTTTACAATGTAAAATTAAAGAATTCCAGAAATTCAGAGAGTAAAAATTCTGTTCAAGGATTACAAAAATTGTCTAGGATCTAAACGTTTGGTCAGTCTTCTGTTTTTCAAGTAAACAGGGTATTCATGTTTAATACATTGTGTTGGTCATGGATGTCCAACTGATTTCTTCTAATAGATTGATTGATTACTTGTCGACGGATTTTTCCGTTATTTACCGATCATGTTAATTTTTGTAGCTCTCCACCGACAAGTGGTGGCGTCTCTATATGAGTGAAAAATTCTCGAGAGGGACGTTAAGCAATAAATAAACAGAACTAACTGTGCTCGATTATTAGCTGACCTGTTTTTATTTTCAATGATTTTTAAAAATTTACAGTAGTATGTCTCCCAACCATAGGGCATAAAACACGGACTCCTTGGAATTTCAGAGGTATAATCAAGTGGCTTGGAGAAGTAAGTATCCCCTGTAACATCAACTGAGCAGTAAGTAGGATGCCTCGCTTTAAAAATTGATCGTACGCAGAGCAAGCTGTTGAGTAGCGAATAAAATATTACTACATAGATAAGGAAAGTTGACTATGTCATATAATTTAGTTGTTTATTGGCTTTTATCGTCTATAGTCAGTAAATCATTTAAATGTGCAAGATGCGACAGACTCTGTGGTGTCTTTTATTTCAAGTTCACTGCGATAAATCGAGTCGACATACGAATGAAAATAACTATTGTAAATTTATAAAACATCGTCAAAATATCTGAATGTCGAATGGAAGGGCACAACAAGTGCTTTCCTCTTCTCGTGTACAAGTTTTTGAATAAATTCTACTTCAAAGGAATATAAAAACTGGTCAGCTAATAAAGGAGCACAATAAGTGCTTATCGGATTTCCAACAGTTTGTTGGAAAACATGGTCTCCCAAGAACTAATAAATCTTGTCAATTGGGAATTTCAGCATCCTTTTAATATCAAATTCAGATTACTTGCGTGTACAATTAGAGTGGTTTTTAACGATGTAATTTTGCAAATGACCAATCAAAAGATGTAAAAGTTTCGTTTCGTTTTTTTTTTTTTTTTAGTTTTCTATTATATCAAAACATAGGTAATCAATGATTACCTCACCTCGACGAATGTTATCCATAAGTAAGGCTAATTTCAAATCATATTTTTTTCTAGTTAGTGTACATCCCAAGATCAATATCCATGCAAGTTTGGTTTAAGTACGACTTATGGTTACAAACAAAGATACATAGCAGGTTCCAGTAAATGTTCAACCAAGCCTCTATCTTTACTCCTCACTAAGATATTAACAGTGGTGAAGGAGAAACTTCAAGAGTACTGTGCAACAATATATTCGAGAAGTGGTGTAAATCAGATGTGGATACTTAAAAATTCCAAGGAACTTTTGGAAAATTTGAAATCACAAGATTTTACCAAACTCGTAAATATACTTACCTTGTCATTGGTCATTTGCAAAATTATTTTGTTAAAAAACATTCTGATTGTACACACAAGTACTCTGAAGTTGACATTAAAAAGATGCTTGAGTTTCTGATTGACAATATCTATGTGGTTTTTGGAGACCAGGTCTTCCTACAATCTATTGGAATTTCCATGGGTACCAATTACGCCCCGTTATTAGCAGACCTCTTTTTTGTATTCATATGAAACAGAATTTGTCCAAAATCTTGTACGTGAAAAGAAGAAAACACTTGCTGTGGCCTTCAACTCGACATTTAGATATATCGACGATGTATTGTCAATTAACAATGGCTATTTCCATTCTTATGTCGATACGATATATCCCGGTGAGCTTGAGATAAAAGATACAACAGATTCTGACACTTCTGTTTCATATTTGGATATTTTACTTGAAAAAGACGTTAATGGTAATCTAACAACCAAGCTTTATGATAAACGTGATGACTTTAACTTTTCAATCGTTAACTTACCTTACTTATGCAGCAATATACCTTCATCACCTGCATACGGGGTATATATCTCTCAGTTGATTCGATACGCAAGAGCATGCTCTACGTATATACAATTTCTAAAACGAGGTAAATTATTGACAAATAAGTTGATGAAACAAGAATATCAGCTGTCTCGTTTAAAGTCATCATTTCGTAAATTCTATGGTCGATACAATGACCTTGTCAGCAAATACAATTTATCATTGAGTTAAATGCTGACTGACGTTTTTCATACTAATTGTTAGGCCATTATTTACATACTGAATTGTCGACGGATTTTTCCGTTATTTCCCGATCATGACAAGGAGCACACGGCGGGTGTGACCGGTCGGCAGGGCATGCTCACTCCTCCATGGCATCTGATCCCACCTCTGATGTTTGGAGGTCCGTGTTTGCTCTGCTCCTATTTTGTATTGTTTTATGGACTTTTGAGCCTGAATACTGTTCGTTATCTTCATATATTTCACAGAAACACCTTTCAGATACAATTTGATTCTTTTTTTTTCAATTTTATATGATAGATAAATAAAGTTTGAAAGAATTATATCCTAATTGTTTCTTTTACAGGCCAACCGTTTCTTCTTTGAAACATTCTAGGTACACAAGAGTGGTAGCTAAGAAAAGATCATAGAAAGATTACAGAGACTACAAAATATAACTGATTCCAGAAGTATAAAGTATAAAAAATATCTGATAGTTTTGTTCAAAATTTGTTATCTTAAACTAATGAGAAATATATTTGATTTTTTTTATGGCAGAACAAAAGTGTAGTCATTGGTGGCTTCAAATACTTTTATTCATGTCTCGCCAGTCAATATAAAGAAGTCCACCTATTGATTTTTAGTGTAAGCAAGAACCAAGTAACTGAGGAAAAACAGGATGTCTTTATCAAAGTATGCTACCCCAGAAGCTGCAAATACTGCTAGACTGGCTATGGTTCTCTTGGGTCCCTGTGCAGATACACTGAGAGCAATTCTGAGGAAAGAAGTCTCACCTTCTGACTTGTCCAATAAAGTCCAAGATTTTAGAAATGATGCGGTAAGGAATAGGCAAAAAATTAAGAACCTTAATTCAGACCAGGAAAAAATCGTTTTCCCTTTACCAACAAGAATATATAAGGGGGATTACACAGACTTAGATATATCTTTGTTGTACTACCTCCTACGCAATCTTTGTAAAACTATATCTCCACCTTCGAAAGGCTGGGGAAATATTCCAGATCCCAATGACAGAAGTGTTGCCGCCAACATAGAAAGGATGCGAATGCTTAGAAATGAATGCTATGGACATACCACTGATCTTTCTCTATCACAAGCAGAATTTGAACTGAATTGGCAAATTATCTGGGACATTGTTGTTGAATTGGAGCAACATTTAGGTACAACTGTCTATCAGGACGCGGTCACCAAGATAAAAACTTGTTCAATTGATCCAGAAGAAACGAAAAAATGCATTGATTTACTTGGAAATTTGGGAGACTTCCAGAAATCTCTAAACCATTATTCAGGTAATATCGTCTGTTTATCGAAGCTATGGTTCATGTGATTTTTTAAACAACAAAATTCTTGATATGCTTTATTCAAAACGGCATTCAGAAAAAAAATATTTAAGTTTTCTACTGGCATTACAGAAAAATGACCCTCAAAGATTTAAAACATGTAAATTATGTAAAAAGAGCTAATAAAAGTTTACATTTATTTATTTAATGATTTTATTTAAGCATTTCTTTTTCGTTTAGATCCCCAGGTTGCCAGAAAAATAGGTAAGGGAGTGTTTGCTTTGTATGTTAAGATTTAATCTATATATATATATATATATATATATATATATATATATATATATATATATATATATATATATATATATATATATATATATATATATATATATATATATATATATATATATATATATATATATATATATTATTAACAGCAACTTAACGAGACGTGATACGGCTCTTCGGATCAAGTTACTGTTATAATAATATATTAAAAAACATTTTGTTTCAAGGAACTCTTTAATAATCAATAATAAATACTGTAATGTATTCTGTGTACTACGTCATCAGTTTCAGAGAGGGTGATATGGTGATCCGGAACGTCGGATCCCAGTGGCACGTGACTGTGTGAAATTTTTCAGCAAATTTGAGTGATGCATAGTTTGGTATATAACAAAATATGAAATCATTGACAACATTTATGTAGTATTCGGAGACCAGGACTTCCAACAAACTGTTGGAATTCCGTTGGGACTAATTGTGCACCTTTATCAGCTGATTGTGGTAAAACTTGTGTTTTTCACTATAGAAATCAAAGGAAAACGGAAAATATTTTTAAAACATCTTCCCCTCCCCCCTCCGTGAAACAAATATTCCTTTTTACAGGTAATATTGACTGCCATTTCACAAATTCATACCAAAGCTTTTTGTGTATTACGGGGGGAGAATATGTTTACAGACAAAAAACTACAAAAATGCTTATTTTTTCACCAATTTCAAAGGGGTTTACAACTAAAACATTGTATTTTATTAATAATATATGTTTAATTTTGTATGAGTAAAGCATTAGAAAAGATTTAAGGAACATTTTTTCATATCCAAGAATATTTTAAAATGTGGTGATGATTTAAAGCTCGATTTCAATGAAAAATATCGTCTACCCTCCTTATTTAAAGAGCTGGAATCAGGGGGTAATTAACTATTTAACACTAGTATTAAAATTATCAGTCAATTACCATTGAACTGTTCTTCGCATTCAACAAAGATTTTACGGCCAAATTGCCATTAGTATTGAATTAAATGGGTGTGAAATGTAGACGGGAATCAAGAGTCAGTGTGAGTAGTTCTTAATGTTTCAGGAATTTCAAAACCTCGTTTAAGTCAGCATTTTGTGCAAACTTATTCGATACTTAAAGCTTGCTCTGAATACGATCAGTTTTTAAAGCGAGGCATGCTATTGATTGCTAAGTTGATGTTACAGGGATTGCAACAATCTCGTTTGAAGTTCGCATTTCGTGAATTCTAGGGTTGTTATAATGACCTTGTTAGCAAATATAAACTATAATTTATTTGGCTGACTTGTATCATACGAATTGTTAGGCCTTTGTTTTTATATTGAATTTGACTATGGAATGTTCCGTCTACCTGATCTATACATAAGGCTTACAGCAACTGGTGTGACTGGTCAACAGAGGATGCTTATTCCCACCTCTGAAATTTTCAGAGTCTGTGTTTTATGCCCTCTTCACACATTTGTATTGTTGATAGATTTTTTTTTAGATCGATCACTGTTTGTTATCTTCGCCTTTTTCATCCATACTACCATCACATATTGACTAGTATTTTCGAATCGACATATAAATAGAAATAAAATATTTGAACTTAATATGTTTGATTTCATGTGTATTGTTCCATTGTATGTGTTATCTAAAAAAGCTTTTCAAAAAATGTGAGGGTTCCAGAGCGCGCCGTGTCAAACCTAAGACATAAAGAAAACAAGTGACTGTTTCTTCGCCAAGGTCCGGAATCAAAACTAAAAATCATGGGTCATTCTGATGAGACCTTCAAAACTGAGGTCCCGCGTCACCATTGCCCTTGGCACGATAAATAGGCCCTACTACTCAATTGCCCTAGTGCCGAGTTCAGGTCTAAAATTGAAGTCCTTCACGGTATATGATGTGGTACTGTATAAACGTGAAAAAGTGAGTGAAAAAAATTATCGAATTAGACTAAAACATGCAATCAATCAATCGCTCATCCCCTCTCATTCAACTTACGTGATTGATTTATCACCCGAAGCCTTTACACTTGTCTAGTTCCAGTCATTAACCCATTACTCATAAAAAGTTAAATTTCTCTCCTATCAAAACATAGAAAGCTTGCAATAAATGTTGATTAAGAAATGTTGTATAAAACAACCAGTTTAATCACAAAATGAATTTATATGAAACATGGAAAAATACTTAAATCCCTGAGTATTTACTTGGCAGTGAAACTTTTTTTGAAAAGTTTTAAATTAAGATTTCGACGAATTTGACGGGGGTCGGCTTTATACTTTGAAATCATATAATAAATTCGATTTTACGAAAAAAAAAAAACACCAGTTCAGCTTTACGTAATTTTCATTTTTAGTCTTTTTATCTTAAAATAAAGACTGCAGAATTTGAAGATATGTTTGACGATCAAAAATCAAAGTGCAAATATATCCTCACTGAGAACAATAATTAAGAAGCTTTACAATGTACCATTACTAAAAGTTTTACCCAAGTAAGTCTGATGCATTTAGAAATATGGTGAATCGAATTTAATTAGCTTTAATTTAAGATTTCTATTAAGCAGAACATTTTTAACGCTTTCAGTTCATCCTGGTGAGGTCAATACCATCGGGGCTGAATGACTTCAGCCTCTGCATCCAGAACTTTTCATTGCTTTTTTCCTGACCATCGGTCCATTTTATGTTATTTTCTATAACCAGTACTTTTATGTCATCCCTTTTGTGACCTTTAAGGTTTAAATGTTAAAATGTTAAGGTTAAAATGTTCCCCAACTGGTTCCTTGAGTTTCTAGATCTAAGTGGGCAATCGTTGATTCTCCTGCAGAGATCTCCTGTTTCCCCTACTGTTTGAAACAAACCTTACAGGTGATGAGATATGTGATAAACAATAAATGATTCAGAAGCCAAACTTTTATGTCTGGTAGATAATGAGAGGCAGAAGCGCATTAATGGTGTAGCCGTATCATACACACAGGAAGTGAATACAATATGTTCAACTTTCCCACTTTTTTTTTTTTAAATTTCACTCTGATGCTCTAATTTGAAGGCTAAATATGTATTTTGTTTTGGAATATATCGATGGATTTTCTAGATATTAATATTCTCTGTTTTTTTTTAAAGAAACTTGGCCTGATGGTTAAGTTCCTGATAGCATGCAAGTGACCCGGATTTGATACCCTGCTTGACCACAATTTTTTTTTCTCTATTTTTCAGATTAATTAACATTTTTTATTATTTAAATGATGTCTGGTATTTTTTCCGTTTTAAATTTTGCATTATTTGCACAGTTTCCTTTAAAAAGCGTGTTATTTTATCAAGGGACCCTGTTACTAGTACATAATTAAGCACATGTTTTCATAGAACATACTATAAAACTCATGTTCTAGAGGTTCTTTTATTAATCACGATACGATATATCCCAGTGAGCTTGAAATTAAAGATACCACAGAGTCTGACACATCTGTTTAATATTTGGATATTTTACTAGAAAGTGGTAATCTAACAAATGCTTTATGATAAACATGATGTCTTTAACTTTTTAATCGTCAACTTTCCTTTCTTGTGCAGCAATATACCCTTATCACCTGCATATGGATGGGGTTTATATCTTTCAGTTGATTCGATAAGCAATAGCATGCTCTACGTATGAACATTTTCTAAAAAGAGGTAAGTTATTGACAAACAAGTTGATGAAAAAAGAATCAACAGTTTCCTTTAAAGTCATCATTTCGTAAGTTCTATGGTCGATACAAGATACAACGACCTTGTCAGCAAATACAATCTATCATTAAGTCAAACACACGGCGGGTGAGACCGATCGGCAGGGTATTCTCACTCCTCCATGGCACCTGATCCCACCTCTGATGTTTTAGAGGTCCGTGTTTGCTCTGCTCCTGATTTTTATTGTTTGAATGGACTTTTGAGCTTAAATACTGTTCGTTATCTCTATATATTTCAATACAAACCCTTTTACATTTTCTAACTATCCTGGGACAAGATGGTTAGCATAACAAGAATAATAAGATTACAAAATATTAATTATAACATTTCTACAAAATCACAAACATTTTCAAACAAATGTGCATTTGATAAACAGAAATAAATCCATATTGTTTTGATATATTTTTTTTTACATAAGAAAGTAACATTATTTGTTTCAGTTTTGTTCTGACATCTACAAACTATTTTAAATTTGTATTCAGAATAAAAGCCAGAGATTACATGTTTCCATTGTACATAAAGATGTAACACTGAACTCAGATTTTTCCATAATATTTGAACACGTTCACAGTCAAAAAGTAAATGTCTCTAATGTCTTCAATTTCATTACATATGTAAGAAGAGGCCGATGATCTATATATTCTTTTCGGAGACCAGGTCTTCTATCAAATTGTTTGAATTTCCATGGGCAGTAATTGTGCTCTTTTATTGGCCGACCTGTTTTTATATTTCTATGAAGTAGAACTTATTCAAATATTTGTACTTGAGAAGAAAATAACACTTGCCGTGGCTTTCAACTCGACATTTAGATATATCGACGAAGTATTATCAATTAACAATAGTTACTTCCATTTTTATATCGACTCGATATATCCCAGTGAACTTGAGATAAAAAACACCACAGAGTCTACCACATATGTTTCATATTTGGTTGTTTTACTGACTATAGACGATAAAGGCAAGCATGCTCCGAGTACGATCAATTTGATGTTACAGGGATTTCAAAAACCTTGTTTTAAGTCAGCCTTTTTTGTAAATTCTATGGTCGTTATAATGACATTGTTAGCAAATATAACCTGTCATTGGACCGTATGTTGGCTGCCGCGTTTCATACCAATTGTTAGGCAATTGTTTTCATTAATGAATTTGACTACGGAATGTTCCGTCTACCTGATCTTTATATAAGGCTCACGGCGGGTGTGGCCGGTCAACAGAGGATACTTACTCCTCCTTAGCACATCTCTGGAATTTCTCTGTTTTCCGTGTTTTGTACCCTGCTTACAAAATTGCATTGTTTGTAGATTTTTATGAGATCGATCACTTCTCGTTATCTTCATCATGTCGTCATCATAAAGATTGTTTACTTTGCGTCTATATTTATACTTCCTGCTCCCTTTTGCTACAGAAAATAATTTTTTAATAGTAATTGATGACCTGCAGCTTTAAATTCTTGGGAAGAATAATTCTTGAGTAGATAAAATAACATTTGTTATCTTCAGTACAATATAAAACATTGATAAAAAGGAATTAGCAATTTACTATTGTTTGTATGTACGAACATCGTCATATTGAATCTTAGTGATTTTTTTTTATAGAGTGTCGTTTTTAATATTTTTATTCACATATCCAATTCGATTTTTGTTTCAGATCAAAAACACAATTTCTGTAAAGTTTTAAATTGTCCACTTTTGTTAAAAATTTCCAAAACATGCGTTATCCCGCTTTGTATCCAATTTTTAAAACAATTTTTTTGTGTTATCATATTTAAACATATTATTATTCCACATTGGTTGTTAAGCACAGATTAGGTTAGACAATTTAGTCTCATCGATATAACTTTTACAATAATTAAAACTACAAAATGCTTCTTTATACAAATTTGAAAATTTTTAAATAAGTTTAAGCTCTGGAGGTTTTAGATTAGTTGTGATGTAACTACTGAATTAATGACACATGATTTCCCAAACATTTTTTTCCCAAGATGCAAAGAGTTTATCCATATTTTGAAAAGTTTTTAAGCAATTCAATTCGTTTTAGAAACTGTTCGTACCTGGAGCATGCTCTTGGGTATCGAATCAACTGGAAGATATAAACCCCAGCTGCAGGTGATAAGGATATATATTGCTACATACATACGTAAGGGAAGTAAACGATAGAAAAAATGTGTCAGACTCTGTGGTATCTTTATACGAGAATTGTCCAGTAATATCGTGGCTAAGTAGTCTAGAGGGAAAATACTGTAGATTCCTTATTTTTCGCGAGTAATTATTATCGCGAAATGGCTCTTTAACGTCAAATCGCTAGAACAATAATTCGCGAGTGGGAGGTTTATCAAGAGATTTTACATGGGTTTCATCACCATAAAAACAAAAGCGAGTAATTTTATTTCGCGAGCGTAATTACGCGATAATTAACTCCTCGCGTATATTTAGGAATCTACAGTAATCAAAACTGCTTTCCAAGATGTTCCCTACTCTTCAGTGAATTTTTCATCAATATACATAGCAAATTTCAAAGAGCTGTATTTTTAAATAAACAAAGTATGTGATTTTATGTTATGTATGGTATCGCCTTACGGCTCATGGGTGATAACGTCAAAATGTCTAAAGTAACGTCATGTTTCATCTTTGCTTAAACACCTGGATAAGCCTCACTAAAATTCCGGGAATTTTAGTGACGCACACACTCAAGTTCTCCTGCATTCCCCCATAAACAGTCGAGGGACCAATCAAACATAAGGGACCTTATAAAACCTTGTTTTAGTAAATTATGGAAGGTATTCTAGCTTTCACTGAACCAAATAGGTAGTCTTTTTCGTTGGTCTGCAATGAAATCTTTTTTCGTTATGGCAAATAGCTGATTGTACGCTTTGATCTACCGGGGGACTCGATCAAAAAGCTTCCGCTTAAATTCCACTTGTATTCTATTGTATTAGGAATATTTTTATACTTTGTTATCTTCTGTTATCATTTAAAGTCTATTGATGTGTCATTACTCCTCAGTCAACATATACCTGAACTGCAGCCCAGTACACCGTAACGTCATCAAACGTCGCCATTTTTCGGACAGATTTGTTTACCTCTTTCCCATTTCAAAGCCTCGGAAAACTGGCAAAAGTAAAGCAAATTCCTTGAAATTTTCCAAATGACGACAAAATACATACGTATACTGAATTAAAAATACGATAATTTTTACCCGAACCTTAGCTATTTATTTCATTTCTAAATAATACTCGCATACTCCCTGATAAAACTCTGATTATTTTTCTTCGTGCGCCGTAGGACCATACCCTGTGCACATTCAAGTATAATAAAACTCTTATTTTTGCCTATTGTTTAGTAAAAATATTAAGATGTACTTGAATATGATAAATAAACATTTGCCGAAAATTTCAGCTCAGTGATTGCATTTTTACAATAGCATAAATTTATACAAACTTATTTCAAGACATTTCATGAATACTTACTGTTGATATCCCATGCCCATCATTCCTAGAAAAGGAATACTTTTTCTTTGTTGGTTTTCATCAAAAGAAAGTGTGACGAATAAGTATTTCATTGGTTAGGAAGATAGACCAAAATTAGAACACTATTTGTCCTCTTCACGATTTGTAATGTTCATAGACTTTGCTAGATTGATCACTGTTCGAAATCTATATTTCACTTTTTTTTCATACATTCATGTTTCAGAAACAACCACAATGAAAATAAACAAACATTGCCAGGATATGAGTGATTTATATGTTGAATTGTCAGCATTTAAAAGAGCAAAGGATCTGATTAAAGCAAACGGTTATGTTGTTCTTAAGGGCAATCCAGGATCAGGAAAAACAACAACAGCCGAACATCTGATGAAACATTTCATGGATACCGGGAAATCCCCATTGCAGCTTTTCAAGGTTGCAGATATATATGGACATGTAGCACCCAGTGAGAATAAAGTGATTTTCATTGATAATTTGTTTGGAGAATTTTCTATGTGTAAGAATGATGTTAACGAATTCAAATTGCACAGTGGGAACATTAAAGTTTTGATCGAGAATAGGTCTGACACTGGCTATGACAAGAAGTCCAACATTTTAATATTGACGATAAGAAGTGATATATACATGGAATATGTACATCGTACAAAAAATGATGTATTCCTCCAGTCATCCTTGATTGACTTATCCAGCGGTGATTACGCATTGCAAGACGACGAAATTCGTTTGTTTGCAGAAAAATACAATTTGACTCAATATTTGAAAGGAGGTAAAACGTTCCACAGACCAAGTGAGATGTGTTCATCGATAGGGTTTCCTCAATGTTGCAGGTATGCAAGAGACAATTCTAAATTTGAAGAATATATAGAAAACACATCAGATTTTTTTCTAAATCCCCTCCTCCACTTAAGAGATTACATGGAAAGACTGATACAGGAAAGATCTGCAAAGACTGCTGTTCTTTTGTACATTCTTCTTCATGGTGGAAATGTGGAATTTAAATTGATTGATAACTTTTACAAGGATAAAGAGAAAAAAGAAGCTTCCTTAGATTTACTTGGTTTAACAAACTCAAATATGAATGAGTTTCAGGACAACGTGAATTGTTTTGATAATTTTTTAACAATTAGGGATACGATAGAAAACACCTGTAAATTTTTTCATAGCTCTGTTCAAGACTCAATTTTTAATGTATTTATCAAATATAGGCCTAAAGAAATAATAGAACATTGCGATCACCCACTTCTCCTGATGTTGACAACGAGTGAAATTCCTAACACCTCACAAGTAACAATTGATAACGATTTGTTTGAGGTGGTTGCAATTCGCATTGCAAAGATTGTTAGTGAAAAGTCCGTCTCAGGATATATTTCAGTATCCTTATTGGAATTATGGAGCGATTCAAAATTCCATGACTTCATTTCTAAGACACAAGAATGTACAAGTAATTTTAGGAATTGTCGTGACTTAAACGGAGATTCAATAATGGTACACTTTGCAAAAGCTGGAAATAAGAGTTGGGTAGAATACTTACTGCCGAATTCAGACAATACTCAACGATATAGATCACTCAACGCAGCTTGTTTAAAAAATCAAACTTTTATCGTTGATTTTATTTTATCGCAAGGGGTGGAGTGTGATCTGAAAACGTGTTTTAATGCAGTGCAGAGTGGAAATTTAAATTTACTGATGCAAATATGTGAGTCTGTTAATCTCAATAACACCAGCGCTTCCTTACATCCAATATGGAGTTGTATGCGACACAGTTTACTTCAAGAAATCTGTTACATGCGACAAACTCACATCATAGAACAAGTATTGGAAAAATATCCGTCTCTAGCAAAAATAAAAAGTGACCAGGGCGCTAATGCATTACATTCCGTAGCAAGTGCTGGAGACAAAGCTATGTTTGAGCTGTTATTACAACATGGTTTGGATCCATACGAAAAAGATACTCAAAATGGACACACAGTTCTCACGTGTGCATGTCAAGAAGGAAAATTAGAAATGGTGAAATACCTGATAGAAAAATACCCTATGCTGGTCCAATACCATACTGATAAACATGGGAAAACGTTGCTGCATTGGGCTGCTTTCTCTGGACAAATTGATATGTTTGAATATATACTAGATTTATTTGAAAAGGAGAAGGTAGTCCCTATGACAGATTCTCAAAGACCTATTGCCAATAGTAAAAATATTTTTGGCGAAACAATCCTCCATACCGCGTGTTCAAGTGGCCGGGAAAATTTGACTAAATATTTAATGAATCGGTATCCCCATCTGTTAAAAGTTAGGGACCTAAGTCGTGAAAATGTCCTTCATAAAGCTGCCAGGGGTGGAAGCTTATCTCTTTTTCAGTTTTTATTACATGTAGATAAAGATTTAGAAATTGACGAAAAAACATATTTCGGTAGAACCGTGTTGCACATATGTTGTCTTGAGGGTAGAACAGACATCTGTAAATATCTTGTCAATAACTATTCCCAAATATTACATGTCACTGACTGTTATGGATGGACAGTGTTACACGCAGCCTGTCTTGGCGGAAACGTTGATATTATTGACTTCCTGGTCACAAAAGGTATGGATATGCATGCACTGACAAAGAAAAAAGAAACTGTTCTGTACATTGCTTGTAGGTATGGTCAGTATGCCGTGTGTGAGTACATAATACATAACTATCCACAATCGTTAGATATCATGGACGAAACTGTTTCAGTTTTACATTGTGCTGCCTGGAAAGGCTATATTGATATCGTTAAGTTGTTGATTGAGAAAGGATGGAACGTCAGATCAGTAACAAGAACCGGGGACACAGTTTTACACCTCTGCTGTCGTAATAGTCAGCTAGAAATGTGTCAGTATTTAATTAACAATCATTCTGATTTATTGCCTGATAGAGATGTTAAAGGTTGGACAGCGTTACATTCAGCTTGCATGGGTGGGAACGAAGAGATACTTTCTTTTTTGATAACACAGGGTATGGATATCAATGAATTGACAAAGGATAGTAAAAACGCTCTGCATATTGCCTGTCGATATGGTAACTATGCAATGTGCAAGTACTTAGTCCAGAATTATGAAAACTTACTGCATGGCACAGATAAGTACGGTTATTCAGTTTTACATAGTGCAGTTTTGGGAGGTGATGTTGACATCGTAAAGATGTTGATTGACAATGGAGCGAACTTTAGATCTCTTACAAACAAAGGAGAAACAGTTCTGCATGTTTGTGCTCTAGATGGCAAAATACAAGTATGCCGGTATCTTATCGAGAATTTTCCTGATTTATTGAAAGCCAAGGACCAAAATGGATTCACGGTGTTACATTCAGTTTGCAAGGGTGGAAATTTAGAAATGATTTCTTTACTTATCACAAAGGGTTTAAACATTCTTGAATCGACAAACAATGGACAAAATGTTCTCGAAATTGCTTGTCTTAGAGGTAAGTATGATGCATGTAAATACTTACTAGAGCATCACCAACAATTGCTGAATGTCACAGACAGAAAGTCTCTCTTACATAGTACAGTAGTTGCAGGTAATGTAAATATTGTAGAATTGCTTGTTAAGAAAGGAATTGGCATTGGCTCTTTGAACAGCAGTGAAGAGACAGTTTTGCATGTCTGTTGTCGTAAAGGAAAAATTAAAATGATTAAGTATTTGGTCAATAATTATAGCAATTTACTGGCTCTCAAGGACCCTCATGGGTGGACAGCGTTACATACAGCTTGCAAACATGGGAATCTGAAGGTTGTTTCCTTTCTGATCAGCAAAGGTACAAATATCAATTCACTGACTAAATCAGGTCAAACTGTTCTTCATATTGCTTGTCTGAATGGTAAGTTTGATGTGTGTAAGTATTTAATTGATAACCATCCACAATTACTTAATGTCAAGGATGAGTGTGGAAATACTGTATTACATGATGCAGCCTTTGGAGGCAAGGATAAATTCGTAAAGTTATTTATTGATAAAGGAATGAATGTCAAAACACCCCGAAACAATGGAGAAACAGTTTTACATCTTTGTTGTCGTGGGGGTAAACTTGACACTTGTAAGTATCTGCTCAGTAAGTATTCCTTTTTACAAGAAATCACAGATAATGAAGGTTGCACGGTATTACATTCAGCTTGCAAGAGTGAAAATGTAGAAATGATTCCCTACCTTATTGCGAAGGGTTTGGATATCAAAGCATTGACAAAAAATGGTGCAAATGTTCTCCATATTGCTTGTCTTCATAGCAATTATGGAATATTTGAATACTTATTTAATAATTATCTACAGTTACTGGATGTCGGCGACAAATGTGGACGTTCTGTTTTAGATAATGCAATCATCGGAGGAAACATTGACATTGTAAAGAAGTTGATTGATAAAGAGCTATGCGTGAGATCTGTACGAAAAAACGACGAGACGCTTTTACATTTTTGTTGTCGTGAAGGTAAATTAAAAATGTGTAAGTTTCTTGTCAATAAGTGTGGTCATTTGCTTCGTCTTAGGGACCAACAAGGCAAAACCGTGTTACATTCAGCATGCGAAGCGGGAAGCGTTGAAACTTGTTCTTTTCTAATTGAAAAAGGTATGGATATTAATGCAGTTACAAATGAACATCAGAGTGTTCTTCATGTTGCTTGTCTCAATGGCCAGTATGACTTGTGTGATTTCCTTATCAAACACTACCCCCATTTACTGAATTTTTTGGACAAACGTAGTAGATCAGTTTTACATGATGCAGCCATGGGTGGTAATATTGATATTGTTAAGCTTTTGACTGGGAAATGGGTAGATGTCAGTCATGCAGGAAAAGGTGGAGAAACAATTTCTCATTTCTGTTGTAGCCATGAGCATATGAAGACATGTGAGTATCTTGTCAATTGCAATTCAGATTTACTACATTTAAGAGACAGTAAAGGTTGGACAGTGTTACATTCAGCTTGTAAAGGTGGAAATGTAGAAATAATTTCCTATCTTGTCGCATATGATATGGATATTAATGATTTGACAAATGATAGAAAAAGTGTACTTCATATTGCATGTCTTCATCAAATGTATGATGCATGTGAATTACTCTTAACACATTATCCCCACCTCTTGGATGTCAAAGACTGTGATGGTAATACAGCTTTAGATTCTTCTTCTAAGGCGGGGGATATAGATATGGTTTATTTTCTTAGCCGCAAGAAAAATGTTAACAATCTTGCTTAGAAATTCGGAAGTATGTTATAAACTACGGTGAAAGTTTATATGAATTGATTGGTATACCAGTTCACTATTCCAGAATGTAACCTTTCTATTAGTGTTAACTTCCATCGTCATAATAGCGTTAGGTTGATTTAAAATATATTGTGAAAACTAAACAAAAACAAAATATCGGAAACAACTACTTTTTCTGTCTGAAAAATGTTCAAACTGTTATATATTTGTAGTATTAATATAAATTAAAATATTGATAAGCAGTGTGTTTATGTTTGATAAATGATATATTTATCATTAAATGTATTTCGGACATAGTTACAATATCTAATAAAAGTCTGTATATGTTGTGTAAACTTGGCTCCTACATTTTTCTTTTTTATGTTTTATTTTACTATTCAATATCTTGAGAAGTTTTGTATTCTATACATTATTTATTGTTTGCTTTAAAAGTATGTATATAAGTATGATATGAGAGAGAGAGAGAGAGAGATTTGTAGCTATTCCATGTTTATATTTTATTATGTACATAACTATGGACTTTTGATTATTAGTAATGACCAATAGAATAAGAAGTTAGTGTTCTTGTGTAGTTTTTAAGTAGAGATATTTTGTGCAGAATGATTCTCTGAATTATCTTTTGAAGACATCTGTGCATCATTTGTGCGTTTATCATATGTATGGATATACATTCCATATGTTTGACCAAGAGATTTAATTTATATGGATATTGCACTCAATAAATGAAAGCATGAACGAATCATTTTCAAATATTTAAATTTTACATTTACCGTTATTTTACGTAAACTTCCATAACTTATGTAGCAATATACCATTATTACCTGCTTTATGTCTCCCAGTTGATTCGACATGCAATATGTTCCTCGTGCACACAATTTGTAAAATGAGACAAGCTACTGTCAAACGAGTTGATGAAACAAGAATATCAACAGTTTTATTTAAAATCACCATTTGGAAATGGTTCTATGGTCAATACAATGACCTTGTCAGCAAATAAATCTGTCATTAAGTCGAATGCTAACTGACGTTTTTCATACCAGTTGTTAGGCCATTACATGTATTTACACACAGAATTATCTACAGATTTTTCCGTTTTCCTGATCATGATAAGGAGCACATGGCGGGTATGACCGGTCTACAGGGAATGCTTACTCCTCCATGGCACCCGATCCCACCTCTGATGTTTTTAGAGGTCCGTGTTTGCCCTGCTCCCAGTTTGTAATGTTTCAGATGAGTTTGAGCTTGATTACTGTTTGCCATCTCCATATTTCATTCATATTAATCAACTGAGACTCAATATGCAGGTGTTAAGGGTATATTGCTACATAACAAGGAACTTATTTATTTCCATGTAATTCCCTAATTGTGGCTCGAACCTACCCGAGTTCCATGACTTGACCAAATTTGAATCAAAACTATGCCAGAAAGCTTTCAGGTTTCACGTTTCATCTTTTCTGGCTCAGTGATTCGTGAGATTTTAATTTTCTATATATTTTAATTCTCTTCCACTGAATGAGTCTGTAATGAGTCTTTAACCATTTATTTGAAGAAACTTGAACCAAAGATGTTTAGTTTAAACTTAAAAGTTTGGTTGGATTCGGCTCAGGTAAGTTAAAAAAAAACATTTAAGATGATTAAGGACGAAAGACATCTGTTAACACTTATCATATTTCTCATATACATGTATATTAATAGTATTTTGAACAACAGAAAATTTGAACTGAAGTAGGAAAAAAAAAGTTAACTATTGTATACTTACATGTAACCAAATAGGAGTAAATTTTCTTAAATGATTTTATTTACTTCATAAACACAAATTATACTAAAAGACACACTTAAATCATACAGCATCTGTTCCAGACCCAGGTCATCTACGTTCAAATATACAATGCAATTAAGCAAATTGTACAAAGCAGAATTATTTCATACAATGAAATATATGGAGATATCGAACAGTATTCAAGCTCAAAAGTCCCGCAGTACAGTTAAGGTGCCAAATGGAAATATCGGCGAATCTTTTACATAGAAAATACATTCTTTACAAGGATGGGCGATTCTTTTTAGGACTTTACTATTATTGGACAAATGCAATTTGGTTAAAAACTACATGTTGAGGACAATTAGATTTCTTATTTAGACTTGTCACGTGATGTGGAAGTCACGTGATTTTAGCAAATATACCTGAAGTATTGAGGTCATCTATAAATTCCAATATTGCAAGGGCATAACCAAGTTAAAAATCTAAGTTTAATATATAATTATTTTCAACACTTTTTGTAGTTTGTGAAAAGTGCTGCGAACCTATATAGATTCTACTATCTAATTGCTAAAATTACATTTGTTAGACCGTATGTTGAATATTTTGCTGGTCAAGTACATTAAATATAGATATAATTAATTCATCTGTAAGATTTCAACAGGTTCGCAGCACTTTTCAAATATCTTCATACTTCTTGAGTTTATGTGTAAAAGCTTGTCATAATTCATTGAAGGTATGCCCTTGCAATATATCGATTTATTACGACCCTTCTATTACCCTTCAATGAATCTGCATACAAATATACGGCAGTATCGTTTGTCTAGGGAATGTACGGGAACTATATGAATAAAATCATAAAATAGATATGGCATCCAAGTTAATGGCCTCTTATATATCTGCAAATAATATTTTATTTAATTACAAAATACATTTTTCATTGTATAAAATATACTTGATCCGCCTCTCACTGCATACAAACTGCGTCAAATTTTACAATATGACGTCACATTGACAAGTGCATCGCGATCAGTGAATTGTTTATATATTGCTGTTTGGGATTTAACCAACGACAAAAATGCATGCACTAGTTAGTATTGATGTAGTTTACAGCTATCCAAGAGTTTAAAATAGCAAATCATTTTATTTTGTGGTAATTTGAAGAACTTCAATTTTTGTATGATGTCATAGTAAGCATTTCCCGTATAAATTAGGCCCCACCTCCTTATTGCAGCCTTAACTGTGCTGCGCCATTATACAATACAAAATAGGAGCAGAGCAAACACGGACCTCCAAAACATCAGAGGTGGGATCAGGTGCCATGGAGGAGTGAGCATCCCCTGCCGACCGGTCACACCCGCCGTGTGCTCCTTGTCATGATCGGGAAATAACGGAAAAATCCGTCGACAATTCAGTGTGTAAATAATGGACTAACAATTAGTATGAAAAACGTCAGTCAGCATTTGAATCAATGATAAATTGTATTTGCTGACAAGGTCATTGTATCGACCATAGAACTTACGAAATGATGACTTTAAACGAGACAGCTGATATTCTTGTTTCATCAACTTATTTGTCAATAATTTACCTCGATTTAGAAATCGTACATACGTAGAGCATGCTCTTGCGTATTGAATCAACTGAGAGAAATATATACCCCGTATGCAGGTGATGAAGGTATATTGCTGCATAAGTAAGGGAAGTTGACGATTGAAAAGTTAAAGTCATCACGTTTATCATAAAGCTTGATTGTTAGATTACCATTAACATCTTTTTCAAGTAAAATATCCAAATATGAAACAGATGTATCAGACTCTGTGGTATCTTTTATCTCAAGTTCACAAGGATATATCGTATCGACATAAGAATGGAAATAGCCATTGTTAATTGACAATACGTCGTCGATATATCTAAATGTCGAGTTGAAGGCCACAGCAAGTGTTTTCTTCTTTTCATGTACAAAATTTTGGACAAATTCTGCTTCATATGAATACAAAAAAGAGTCTGCTAATAACGGGGTGCAATTGGTACAAAACATTCTACATTGTAAAGAGGCTGGATTCATTAAAAATATAATCAAATTCAATAGATTATTTTAAATATAAAAGCTCTAATATAAAGTCAACTATATTAGGTTAAATTTGAAAGCAAAAAATGTCACCCCTTTTCATTCAAGATATCAGTAATTATACAGTAAATAGTTTCCAGGTTGTTTCAGGAATGTGAAGACATGTTACAATCATTATGTTGTTTAAGTTCTCTAACTCTGATAAAGTTTGTCGTAACACTACACTACCACAAACTCCTTTATCTGCATCGCCAACTGACTGGAAAAAAAAAATATACAAATATGACATCCACTGATATTACTTAATAAAGCATCAATGAAACTCATCCAATCAAATTAAAAAGAGGATTCTTCCTTATCCTTATCTGTACCTTTGTAGATATTTTACTATCGTTGTCCATCAGTCTTGGACAGCGGCTGTTCCATCCATGAAACATATAATGATGTACATTTCAATGATATTATATTTAGAGTGTTTAATTTTATATTAGCTGAATATTTATACAGATATAAATATAAATAATAAAATGTCTTTCCTTCTTTGTTAGTATGGGAATTAAATTGCAGGTATTGCAGAAAAAAATACATGACCCACTTAAGTGGGTTATATATTTTTTTCCTGCAACAACTGCAACATTTATTCCCATGCTAACAACCAAAGAAAGCATTTTATTGTTTAATTTAATATAAATTTTAAGAAAGTTAATTATCCACACGTGCAGTACGCATGGTAGACAACGCTTCTTGATTTTAGATGTTTATCATAATTTAGTCAAGAAAATTGAATATGGAATAATTTTGACAATATAAAACTCAGTATTTGTTTCCTGTTAAGATTGAATTACACGTACATTTGTATGTTATTTACATTTTTAAACCAAACTCATAAATGATAGCTTTGGGCACTTTGAGAAGGGTTGGCAAGGATGTGAATAAACAAATTTATTTTATCAGTAAAGGCCTTCCTGATACTAGTAATCATGAACTACACAACATTTAAATAGAGCTATATCAAGCATAATTTGTTAAATGTTTCCTAATGATCTGAAAACCATGATTTGATACTTGAAATATTATGAAATATTTGAAAGAATTTTTTCCCTTTGCACCTATATATTATAGCAATGGAAAACTTGATTGCTTTGTTCTAGAGACTGCTCTACTCCACATTCATTTTATCTATGTATTAGAAGAAATTTCTGAGAGGTGGCTTCCTACTCTTCATCTCTAGTGTAAGATAGTCTTAATTACTTACACAAATTATTAATCAGTCTTGAAATACAAAATAGATTTTACTAATAAAATTTGTGGAATTTTATTAAGTAATATTTAATGAATTCATGTAATACGAGGGTCATTCAATAAGTAATGCAACATACAGTTTATCATAATAAATGTAGAAGTATTTAATTTTACCAAAACTATGGATGCTGTGAGCAAAATGATATCTGAAAATGCCAAAACACAAAACGTTTCATCGTCAGGACACTTTATAGAGTTCTGACAATTGAAATAAATCTAACAATAATTCTATCAGAAGGGTGCCTTATATCTTTACAAATGCCTAAGAGAAAACACACGTTAAATGTGCCAATGGTCTATTTAAAAATAAACATTTTTACAAAAAAGAAGATTTGATAAACTTGAGTGATAGATGACGAAACATTGTTGTACTTTTTATAGCCGAAAAGGAAGATCAAGGAAGATCAAGAATAAAATGTGGAATCAAAGAGAAAGCTGTCGTCCTATTATTGCAATGAGAAGCAAGGGCTCCAAATATGTTTTATTAATTTTCCTATTATTTAAGAGGTCCAGTAAAACATGTACATACAGCCAAAGAAAGGATTATCAATGGTAACTTTTATTTTTGGGTACAAAGACTTTAGACATGTGTAAATGTTAACAGGGAATGCTTTTAGGGGTTGAAGGTATTAAGAATCTGCTTTACGTGCTTTTCCTATTTTCAGATGACCTTTTGCATTATTTATTGAACAACCCTCGTTAGTATAAGATTTATGTTAACTTGCTGATGTATTTCTGTCAGTGAGTCAGGAATACAGCGCATGTCAGAGTCTGTGTTTGCTGGACTGTGTCGAAAAGAGGGAACTTCCATGCAGGTCAACATAAGGAGACAAATAATGGACATCACCCAAATTTTATTTAATGAAATAATGTCAGTAAACTTGGAACAAGTGATATACAGTGGTAGTTACAGAGAAGGATTCAGACTGGAAGGATCCGATGTGGACACGATGTACTGGTCACTCAAAAATCAAGTAGTCTGGGACTTGGATCAAGCTCGGTACATTACAGACAAAAAATGTCTCCTTCTATGTGAGTGTTCTGAGAGCCCTCCTGGTTTCACATTACTAAAATTAATGACACCAATGCAGGGAAGAGTAATGCCACAAGCATGTGTCATAATGAATGACAAACTTTATATCTCCAGTTCCAAATTCAGACGATTGATGTGTTCAGGATTCCTTCCAAATTGCTATGAACATGGACCCTGTGCAAGTGGCAGTCATAGAAACATAGATTATGATGTTGCCTTCTGCTTTCAGTGCAACTTTTGGCCTCCATCTGGCTCCTCATGGGTAGACAGATGTCACTCTTGGCCACAGCCTCAAGTTGTTCATGATATAGTCAGAAATGGATGTCATTTTGTTCCTATAGGACACAAATTAGGAAATCATGAAGACCATGAATGGAGAATATCTTTTTCTCAAGCAGAACAAAAACTTATGTATTCAATGAACCATTGTCAATTCTTATCTTATGGTTTGCTTAAAATTTTTCTCAAAGAGATAATTAATAGTGGATTGGATTCCCAGGATAAATTACTGTGTTCTTATCACATGAAAACAGCAGTTTTCTGGGCACTTCAACAAAACACAATCCCTTTTTGGTGTCCACAAAATCTCCTGAAATGTTTATGGGTCTGTTTTAAGCTTCTCCTTAAATGGGTCTATGAGGGGGTCTGTCCAAATTTTTTTATTCCTGAAAACAATATGTTTCTGAGTAAAATCCATGGTGAAGTACAAAAGATTTTATTCCTCAGACTGTATGAGTTATATGAGAAGGGTTTAGCTTGCCTGCTTTACAGTCCTTCTATCAGGCCCTATGTTATAATTGTCCTTCATAATCCTAGTCTGTCTCTCTACACAGATGAATACAATCTCAATACAGAGACTGAGCTTGATTGGGAACTTTTCAAGGAGATATATAATGCTGGTTCATTTTTGTTTTGGGACCTAGATTCTTGCATAAGGAATCTACACACAGTAGAACATTTAATAGGTTCATATCTGACACAGTATCAAGTTGTCTTGTTACAGAAACATACTGCTCAATTACTTCAAACAACTGCTACTTTATTATTTAACAGGAGGACTATCACATGTGCCAACAAATTGATGTACACAAATGATAAAATGGTGTGTCACATGCTGACATTAGCAGCCAAGTTTGGTTGTATTTCTGACATGTTGTACATTGCCATGTACTATTACCAGACATCTAGACACATGAAATCTCTATCTTTTATAGAGATGACAAAAACTAAATTAATACAGCCATATCTGATGTATAACGATCATGTCTACCCAGCGAAATATATTGAGGCTGTAGGGAGACAGTCTTTTTCTACAAAACGAAGGCGGGCTACAGCAGTCGACATCAAACTTTACACTAACCTCTGTTACATAACTGAATTAGTACCAGAACAGTCTGGAATACAGATTGGAAGTTTTTGTCTGCTTATTCCCTCATTTATCCTGCTGTACATGCTAGAGATCCTCTGCTCCATCCATATTGACAGATTACGTGCAGAAAGAGCTCTCGAAAATCTACAGGCCTTAGTCCACTTTGACGAGGGGTGTATGTACCTGAAAGAATGAAAAACATATCATGGCAGATCCTGGGGATCTGTCAACAGATCACAGGGGACCTTCAGGTTGCTCTTTTCTCATACCAACAATCCCTCAGACAAAAACGTCCACTCCAACAAATACAAACTGCTACACTGATGAGAATACAGGATATAATGAGAGCAATCCAGCATGAACACTTACTATGAGTCTACTGGGAGATATCACATTTAACAATCCAGCATGAACACTTGCCATGATACCTCTTTTTTTAGTAATTGGTGAATGTCGTAAATAAGACGAATTAATCGCTAATTCCGATGCTATTTGCATCACTCATTTATGTTGGAAGGGCAAAATTTGTTAAAGTTATTGTTAGTATCATACATATTTATAAAGATTGATAGCATAATTTTTGGTTAACAGAATATATTTGTGCCTTACCTTTTTAACCCTGCCTTATTAATTAGTATTAATAATGTCTATATTCATTTCCTCTAGAATGTTCAGAGGTCCACATTTTATGCCTTGTTTACAAAACTGTTCATTATTTTTCTTTATATCTTTTTTAATTCCACTGGCTCCTCTGTTGATAGTTTAAATATAACGTGAAAAGCAACTACTAGAGGTATAATGAGTAATTATTAAACAAGGAATCTGAGCAAAGATAAACATTTCCATTGCTAATCATTCTGAAGATGTGCTCAGGATATATCATTTTCAACAATGAGTTTGACTCCACGCATAGCAATTTCATCCACCGCCATTTCTTTCTTCCATTCATATGTTCACTCGATATATCCTAGTGAACTCGAAATAAAGACACCAAAGAGTCTACCACATCTTTTCGCATATTTGGATGTTTCACTGACAATTGACGATAAGAGCAGACTTACAACTAAATTTTATGACAAACAAGGTGACTTAGTTTTTCTATCGTCAACTCTCCATATTTTTGTAGTAATATTCTGTTTTTACCTGTATATGGTGTTTACCTGAGACTCCCAACTTATTCGATACTCAAGAACATGCTCCAAGTACGAATAATGTTTGAACCGAGGCAGTTACTGACAGATAAGTTATTGTTACAGGGATTTCAACAACCTCGTTTAAAAGTTAGCATTTCATATATTATATTATCTTTGCTATGATGATCTTAATATATAACCTATCATTGGGTCATAATTTGGCTGACGTTTTCAATACCAATGGTTAGGCCTTGTTTTATACTAAATTTGACTACGGAATATTCTGTCTACTTGACCATACTGACCAATATATAGGGCTTCACAGCAGGTGTGACCGGTCAACAGGGAATGCTTACTCCTCCTATGACCTTGTCAGCAAATACAATTTATCTTTGTGTCAAATGCTGATTGACGTTTTTCATAGTAATTGTTGGGCCATTATTTACACACTGAATTGTCGACGGATTTTCCTTATTTCCCGATCATGACAAGCAGCACACGGCGGGTGTGACCGGTCGGCAGGGGATGCTCACTCCTTCATGGCACCTGATCCCACCTATGATGTTTTGGAGGTCCGTGTTTGTTCTGTTCCTATTTTGTATTGTTTAATGGACTTTTGAGCTTGAATACTGTTAGTTATCTCCATATATTTCATGCACCTGATCTCACCTCTTGAATTTCCAGGGGTCCATATTTTATGTCCTGTTCACAGATTTGTATTTTGTAGATTTTTCTTAGTTTGATCACTGTTCATCTTTTTTCATTCAGCGTTTATTCTCTCAGTGGATTTACTACGTCATGCATATGTGAGTGAAAACTACTTTTTGATAAAGAAATGGTCCAAGGGGCTCAAATCCATGTTTCTTGATTACCTCCTGAAAGAGGGCGTGACAATTAACTTGAACAAATTTGAATTCCCTTCCCCAAAAGATTCTTTGATTGAAGATGATCCAGTTGATATAAATCACTGACACCCCATCAAAATAGACCTGTGCATTCCATCATTTCCTGATACTCTTTCCCACTATAAAAATTACACAAATCAATAAATGAGTACGGTGAAGTTAACGAACGTAATTCAAGTTTGTGACCCTACATGTCACATTGTTAAAAAAAAAGGTTTAAAGACTTTAAAATGACCAATTTCTTTGCAACAACTAAAAAGGTCTCATGATTCTAAACAACTATTTATCTGAAAGACCTTGAAATGTTTTGAAAATAAATCGTCATTAAATTCCAAAAGTAGATCAATGTGACCTACTTTTCAAGTGACGCACTTAGATGCCTAAAGATGCATTTACTGTCAAGGTTTGATTATCCTTGGCTTTACAGTGTCCAAGATAAGCATATTAGACAACCTGCAAACTAATAGCTGCTAAAGTCAAAAAAGTATGTCACTATGAAATACATTTGTATTAATATATTGCAAGGCCCCAGGATGCATCAACTTACAAGGTTTCATGATCCTAGTCCTCTTAGTATTACATCTAAAAGGATAAAAGATTTCACTGTTGATAATAATAAATTTAGGTCGCTTAGATCTACTTTTAAATTGTCACATTCCAGGGCCCAAGATTCATCAAATTTTGGAATCCCTAAATGTCATAGCGGTAAAAATATAAAGGATCGAGGATTATGAAGTGATAAGTCGTAAAACCAAGGAAGTGACCCATTTTTTGTTGATACCCTCGAACTCCAAAAGCATCGACTGGCGAAGTTTAATTATTCTTAATCTCTTGGTATCTTTATTATTTAACTTAAATATTTCAAAATGAATAGATATAAAATTTTGAAGTAGGTCATTGTGGCCTACTTTTTCATTGACACATTCCAAGAAACCATGATCCATCAACTAATAAGTGTTGATGCTTTGTATTTAATATACCCCGCTAAACGTTTTGAAAATGAATAGCCATAAAATTCAAAAGTAAGTCACCTAGTTGTAATGTGACACGCTCCCAGGCCTTAAGATGCACCAACTGACAAATTTGTCTATTCTATGCTTCCCACTATCGAAAACATACATCAAAACAATTTAAACGAATAGCTGCTAAATTCAAAATGTAGGTGACTATGGCGTATTTGAAGTTTGATATATCGCAAAGACCCAAGATGCTTAAACTGACAAGGTTTGATAATCATTAAAGATGAAAAACACGGACCTCCAAAACATCAGAGGTGGGATCAGGTGCCATGGAGGAGTGAGCATCCCCTGACGACCGGTCACACCCGCCGTGTGCTCCTTGTCATGATCGGGTAATAACGGAAAAATCCGTCAACAATTCAGTGTGTAAATAATGGACTAACAATAAGTATAAAAAACGTCAGTCAGCATTTGAATCAATGATAAATTGTATTTGCTGACAAGGTCATTGTATCGACCATAGAACCACGAAATTATGATTTTAAACGAGACTGCTGATATTCTTGTTTCATCAACTTGTTTGTCAATGATTTACCTCGTTTTAGAAATTGTACATACGTAGAGCATGCTCTTGCGTATCGAATCAACTGAGAGATGAAATATATGGAAATAACCAACAGTATTCAAGCTCAAAAGTCCATTATACAATACAAAATAGGAGCAGACCAAACACGGACCTCCAAACATCAGAGGTGGGATCAGGTGCCATGGAGGAGTGAGCATCTCCTGCCGACCGGTCACACCCGCCGTGTGCTCCTTGTCATGATCGGGAAATAACGGAAAAATCCGTCGACAATTCAGTGTGTAAATAATGGACTAACAATTAGTATGAAAAACGTCAGTCAGCATTTGATTCAATGATAAATTGTATTTGCTGACAAGGTCATTGTATCGACCATAGAACTTATGATGACTTTAAACGAGACAGCTGATATTCTTGTTTCATCAACTTATTTGTCAATAATTTACCTCGTTTTAGAAATTGTACATACGTAGAGCATGCTCTTGCGTATTGAATCAACTGAGAGATATATACCCCGTATGCAGGTGATGAAGGTATATTGCTGCATAAGTAAGGGAAGTTGACGATTGAAAAGTTAAAGTCATCATGTTTATCATAAAGCTTGGTTGTTAGATTACCATTAACATCTTTTTCAAGTAAAATATCCAAATATGAAACAGATGTATCAGACTCTGTGGTATCTTTTATCTCAAATTCACAAGGATATATCGTATCGACATAAGAATGAAAATAGCCATTGTTAATTGACAATACGTCGTCGATATATCTAAATGTCGAGTTGAAGGCCACAGCAAGTGTTTTCTTCTTTTCACGTACAAGATTTTGGACAAATTCTGCTTCATATGAATACAAAAAAAGGTCTGCTAATAACGGGGCGCAATTGGTACCCATGGAAATTCCAATAGATTGTTGGAAGACCTGGTCTTTAAAAACCACATAGATATTGTCAATCAGAAACTCAAGCATCTTTTTAATGTCAACTTCAGAGTACTTGTGTGTACAATCAGAATGTTTTTTAACAAAATAATGACCAATGACAAGGTAAGTAAATTTACAATTTCCATTTTTATTGAAAAAGTAGCTGTCAGTTATATCAAAAAGCTTGGATTTTAATTTATCGTGGGGAATGGTTGTGTATAAAGTTGAAAAGTCGTAAGTTTTAAGCTGTTGATTTTGGTAAAATCTTGTGATTTCAAATTATCCAAAAGTTCCTTGGAATTTTTAAGTATCCACATCTGATTTACATCACTTCTCGAATATATTGTTGCACAGTACTCTTGAAGTTTCTCCTTCACTACTGTTAATATTTTAGTGAGGAGTAAAGAAAGAGGCTTGGTTGAACATTTACTGGAACCCGATATGTATCTTTGTTTGGTAGGATTTTTATGAAGTTTCGGAATCCAATATAGATATGGTAATTCAATTAATTTTGGTTGTTTGGAATATTAAAAATATTCATACCTGATATATGATTTTGAAGAATTTCTTCCTTAGAAAGAGAACTATGAAATAAAAGCTGTAAAAATTGAATTCAGGTCACTGTGACCTAGTTTTAAGTTTACACACCACAAGATGCATGCATCACCTGACAATGTTTGATGATTTTAAACCTCATAGTATGCAAAATATTTGACTAAAATGTTTTGAAAATGAATAGCAATAATATTGTCACCTACTGTTTATTTGGCACCTTTCAAGGCCCCAGGATGCATCAAGTGACATGTTTTGAGGATCTTAGACATCAAAGTGTCTAAAATATCCATCAAAAACAATTTGTAAGTAAATAGCTGCAAAATTGAAGAAGTTAGATCACCATGACCTATTTTGGGGAAGATGTAATCCAGATCTTAATGTGCATCAGCAGACAAGATTTTCTGATGTTGAAGTTAAATGGTATAAGGCCCAGTGATTCTTTAGATAAAGAAGTTTTAATAATCACTACTTTTTTTTTTATATTTCCCTAATTATATTCCATTGTTTATTGGTCACATTCCTATTTTTAGAAGAAATGAAACCCATGGCCCAAGGAACTGAGATGACTTCAGCTTTTCCATTATTGACTTTCCTTATTTATATGGTAATATTCCACTGTCACTTGCATATTGTGTCTCCCAACTTAATCAATATGCAAGAGCATGCTCCGAGTACGATCGATTTTCAAACCGAAGAGACCTACTGACAAATAAGTTGATATTACAGTGACTTCAACAACTTCTACCGTTCACGGTAGCTCAGTCGGTAGAGCGCTCGCTCCGTAACCGGGAGGTCGTGAGTTCGAATCTCGGCCGCGACTGACCTAAGTCGATAAAAAATGGGTAGCAGTTCCTTCGCCATGCGCTCGGCACTTTGAAGTGAAAGTTGCGGGTCCTTCGGATGAGACCTTAAAAACCGAGGCCCCGTGTCACGACAGGCGTTGGCACGATAAAGATCCCTCACTGCTCAATGGCCCTGAGTGCCGAGTAAAGGTCAAAATTTGAAGCCCTTCACCGGTATATGGTGACGTCTCTATATGAGTGAAAAATTCTCGAATGGGACGTAAAACAACATACAATCAATCAATCAATCAACAACTTCCTTTAAAGTCGGCATTTAAAATAATGACCTTGTTTGCAAATACAGCCTTTCATTGGGTCATATTTTGACTGACATATTTCATACCAATTTTAAGGCCATTGTTTTATACTAGATTTGACTGGATTATTCTTACCTGATCAATACATAGGGTCCACAGCTTGTGACCGGTTGACAGGGGATGCTTACTGTTCTTAGACACGGGATATTTCCGCTGGAATATTCAGGGGTTCGTGTTTTATGCCTTGTTCCCAAATATGTATTGTTAGGTTTTTTGAAAATAAACACTGTTAGTCATCTTCATCTTGTTTTTTCTTAACTATTTACTATTTGGCTCAGAAAAGATAACAAGAGGCCCATGGGCTACAATGTTCTCCTGAGTCTCCTTGTCTTAGCTGTTCTTTTTTTTCTCCAAACAAAAAATCTTTTATTATATATTGTGGTCCCACCCTATCCTACTTGGGTAATGACATAATGTAATTTGAATTCACACATCCTGTGGATGCTTCTTGATCTTTATGACTAACATGGCCTTGCTGTTCTGCAGATGTAAACGGTAACAATTGCTCCCTGATTTTAGGCCTTCTCAACCCAAGGATCCATAGTTTGAAAATATTAATCTGCTAATGTAGGAATGTTTCCATATAAATGTGATTTGGCCCTGCTAGTTCTCAAAAGAATTTCTAAAACCCTTTTATATATTCAACTTCTACATTTTGACTTCTATTATTGCCTCAACTTACCCCTAGGGACCATGATTTGAACACTCTTGAATCTGCAAACCTGAGGATGCTTAACCAGTCATGATTCAACTATTTTTTAGACTTTAAAACAACTTATCCTTAAATTATTATGTAAAATTTTGATCCCCTATTGAGCCCAAACCTACCCTCATGGACCATACTTTGATCAAAACTAAATCTGCAATCCAGGACGCTTGGATATTTTGATATATCACTAATCAAGACCAGGCGTGTTTTTAAAGGGTGTACCATCTTATATGCCATTTTATCTATTCATACCTTTATTTTTTCATTATGTATTTTAATATCATTATAAGGGATATATTAAAATACGGACGTGTAACTTTTTTACGTATTTGGTTAATTCGTTTGGTATTGTAATAAATGCCCATTTACGAAAATTAGTTTTATTTTATATTTTGCAAAAATCAGAGCAGACTAGACTCATGGATGGAGATAATAAATTATATTGAGGAAAGTCAAAGACATTGGTATAAATGACGAAACATTGCGTTGTTGTGTTATTTAAATTAGGACTCCATTGGAAATAAACTCTCGAGCTTTAATGGGATATCCTGGTATCTTCTAGTCACAGTAATTATAATATTTAATATTAATGGCCCTAATCATGGTCTTGTTGTTCTTGAGGTGATTTTCATTTATATTACCATGAAAAAGTATAATGCCCTCTTGGAGCCCTATTATCCCCTGGGGTTATAATTTGATCTAAACTGGATCTGCACTACCTGGGGATCATTAACCCATCGTCCTGTATTCTGCCTTTTTTGAGATTTGTTTTAGCTTTTTTTTTCCTTTAATATACATTTCCATGTAAAACTTTGATTCCCTATTGTGGCTCCACCTACCCCCGAGTTCCATGACTTGAACAAATTCAAATCTAAACTATGTCAGAAAGCTTTCATCTTTTCTGGCCCAGTGATTCATGAGAAGATATTTAAATGTTCCATATTTCTTAATCATCTCCAATTATATGAGTCTGTAACCCTTTATTTGAAGAAGCTTGAATCTCCTTTAACCAAAGATGCTTTCTGGCAAGTTTGGTTGGATTTGGCTCAGGTGAGCTTAAAAACAATTTTTTATGATTATGGAAGAAGTAACTTGTAAACACCTTTCACATTTCTCATATATCTTTAGTAGTTCTTTGATCAACAGAAAATTGCAAATGAAGTAGAAAAAAGTTAATTTGTGTATCCATACATGACCAAATAAAAAGATTTTTTCTTAAATGATTTTATTCATTTCTATAACCATATGTCATACACCAAAACACATTTCATTCATACAGCATCTGTTCCAAATCCAGCTCATCTACATTCAAATATACATTGCAATTTAGCAAATTGTAAAAATAGCAGAATTATTTTATACAAGACTGGATTCATTAAAGTCAAACTCAACAGATCATACTGAAATATACGAGCTCCAATATAGAGTCGACTATATAAGGTTTAATTTAAAGACAAAAAATGTCACCCCTTTTCCTTTAAGATACCAGTAATTTTACAGTGAATTGTTTCCAGGTTGTTCCAGGAATGTGAAGACAAATTACAATCCTCTGTGTTGTTTAAGTTCTCTAATTCTGATAAAGTTTGTCGTAACACTACCACCAACTCCTTTACCTGCATCCCCAGCTGTTTAAAAAAAAAATATGAAATATGAAAACGACTTAATATTTTTACAGAGATTTCTCAATAAAGTACCACTGAAACTCGTCTCCTGAAATTAAAAATAAAGGATGTCTTCCTTATCTTTACCTTTGTAGTTATTTTACTATCATTGTCCATTAGTCTTGGTCTCTTACTACTGGGCTAAAAAAGAAACAATTCGAAATCAATCAGAAATTCCTAAATTCACACAATTTATATGAGTATCTACAGTTGCTTTTACACATATAAAATTGATTTTTGCAACAAATCATTCAAAAGTAATACTTTTTTTTATTTGGCATATTTAGATTAGAACTACAAACAAGTAATCTGATACTGAATATAAATTTCAAGAAAGTTAATAATCCACAGGTGCAGCACACATCGCAGACATAATTATGTTGATCAGAAAAGCTTACTTTAGTCTTTGACTCAGGTGAGCTAAAAATATTGTACACATTATGCACCATTTTGGATATTTTAGCACTCTAAGATTACCTCATTTTTTGTCTTTATGGTGTCATTTCTTTCTCTGTTAACATTTGAATCAGGGGGTGGTTCCATTCTCAAGAACTCCAGTCGGCTCAACTCTTCACAGGTGTGTGGTATCTAAAAGAAAATAATTAAAGAATATATTCCTTTTTCACTGTCACTTCGGCCAACAGTTCTAGACGATCTTTCTCGAGATTAACATTAATTCATCAGTTACTGTCAGTCTAACCATTAATAGGTGATTATCAATGTTTACAGAAAACTATATGGATTTAATGGTAAAATGTTTTCTCTGCACTGGTCAGCATAACACTTTCAGTTCTAAATCTTTACATTCCTGTAGTTTAAGTATTAGTTTTTTTAATCAGAAATGTTGCAATTCTTATTCAAAACTGGTAGGAAATTGTTATCCCTTTTTACATATTCTACAGGCAACCAAGTTCATAACCACGCCTGGTTTAATGCTTACCAACTAATTACATCTTTAAATTTACACATTTAAGTTTATAATCATACTGTAATACGAATTCACATAATAGTACAGTTCACAATTCAATGTTACTTCACCTTGCTAAGAAACTGAACCACAAAGTCTTGAAGCTGAGGTTGTTGATCAATACAATCTGGAACCACAGATTCATGTATTGTGTTCTCAGCAAACTGTGTAAATGCAGATAACCCATGGTGGTGAATGAAAAGGTCAGGCGAGGTCAAGGTCATCACAAAGAGGTCAGAAAACTTCTTCAAAATCTGAGGCTGCTGAAAATTCATTTCAGAAAAATGTCACATAAGTTACTAATGTTGGTTCCTCTCTTTTTAAAGGTCAAATATAATATTTTTTTGAAAATACAAAATTATTCATAATTATCAGCCTTTGGAGCAATATGAATGACATTATATGGTCTGTTTAATTTTTTTGTCACCAATGTCATCACTAGTCGTCGTTTAAATTTACCTGTGCGACAAGTGGAGCTTTTTTGTAAATTGCTTCTCTCCCTTGTTGCGTGACGTCATAAGAGACAACGAGAAATAGAGAGTACAAACTATATTACAGGTTTTGGAACATTATTGTTTGCGAGCTGGTGCTATGTGCACTTATCACTGTACCAATTAATCGGGAGAAGGCCTGAGTTATTTCTAAGAACCCAAAATTGGGGGAAATATGGACATTAAAATTGAAAAGATATGGTTTTGAACCCAATCAACATGCGAAGCTTTCTGAGCGACATTTTTACATGAACCAGTTTACAGTTTAATTAAATATAAAATGACCCACACAGTTCTTGGTTCTATTTCAAAATTTATATTGTATTTTAGCTTGACAGTTTGGGTATTTATAGCTGCAATACTGTTTGGAGGGAAAGGTTTTTCGGATTTTCATTACTACACATGATGGAAGAATATTCCCGAGGCGCTGATATACCCATCCGACAAATCTGTGATAAACTGATAAACGAGATGTCTGTGGAGTAGGAAATACTAGTAATAAAGGAAATGTCATTTGCATGTTTTTTTTCCTTATGTACATAAATGTTTTTCTTTCAAATAAATAAGAAAATTGTTTAGCATGGTGACAGAATCAATATCCAGGGGGAAGGGGGGCAGACTGAATATGGGGGGAAGGGGAATAATTGATAAGTCAAAAAGATGCTTGATAAAATTTTAACAAGCAAAAAAATAAATCCAAAGTTTGAAACTCTGAAAACCTTAAAAAAAATGAAAAAGGGGAGGGGTGACGTAATCTATTTCTGACTAAAAAATTGGATAAAGTGAGGTTTGAGAGATTGACCGTACTGTAACAAAATGGGGAGGGGGTTGTTACCAGCCTTTCATGAAAATTTTCATTTTAAATTATAGGTAAGGAGTTACTTCTAGGAAAAAAGTAAAGGTAACAAGATGTGTTTGTGAAACACTGATGCCCCCGTATGGCAGCTTATGACGAAGGTTAAAGTAAAGTTTCTCAAATGCAAGTCAAAATCCAGGCCAAAAGATGAAAAATGTTGGTACCAAAAGAAAGGTCTTGTCTCGAGGAATATACCTGTGAAATTTGAAAGCCCTAGCTGCAACTGTTCAAAAGTTATGGCGAAGATTAAAGTTTTTTAAAAGTAAGTAAAACGTCATGGTCAAAGGGTCAAAGTGGTTGGTATCCAAAGGAAGGTCTTGTCACAAGGATTACATATGTGAAGTATGAAAGCCCTAGCACCAACCATTCCAAAGTTATGGCCAAGGTTAAAGTTTTTCAAAAGTAGGTCAAACTCCTAGGTCAAAGTCAAAAGGTCAAAGTGGTTGGTATCCAGAGGAAGGTCTTGTCATAAGGAATACACATGTGAAGTTTGAAACCCCAAGCACCAACTGTTCAAAAGTTATGGCCAAGGTTATAGTTTTTCAAAAGTAGGTCAAACTCCAAGGTCAAGGTCAAAGTTGTTGATATTCAAAGGAAGGCCTTGCCACAAAGAATACACTTGTGAAGTTTGAAACCTCAAGCACCAACTGTTCAGAAGTTATGGCCAAGGTTAAAGTCTCATAAAATCTTGTTAAAGGTCAAACTCCAAGGTCAAGGTCAAAAGGTCAAATATGATGGTACCTAAAAAAAGGTCTTGTCACAAGGAATATACATGTGAAATATGAAAGTCAAAGCTCCAACCAATCAAAAGTTATGGGCAAGGTTAAAGTTGACAACAGACAGCAGACAACAGATAAACAGACAAACAGACAGAACAAAAACAATATACCCCCGGGATCTTTCGATCCGGGGGCATAAAAAGCAAGAATTTAATTCTAGGAAAAAGTCAGGGGAGCACCCCCTCCCCCGATACTTCGTACCTGTAAGACATTTTCCACGGATATTACACAGATTTTGTGATTTCATTCTACCAAGCAAAAATTCCTTCTCACGCATAAAAAAAAAGTTATCAGACATACGTTATTTTGTTTTCTATAGTATACTTTATATAGGGAAAAAATTGCCGAGCACCCGGCTCCTACGGCCATGCAATGTAAAAAAAAATAAAAGAAGAATTATATATGTATATGTTTTCATCCGTTACAGTTCTAATGCTATGATGAATATGAAACAATACATAAAATCAATTTTCCTAACATTTTTCTGAAATATTGAGTGCTTAGTGAAAGGGATTGAATACCAGTTATGTATATTCGCTAGGTATTGCGATTGTGTTATTTTCATTTCCACTTTCACCATCACCTGCTTTGGACAATATTAACAGAATTGGTTGAAGAATAATCATTTACAACTTACGTACTTTCCTTGATTGGCTCAAACATGTAGGGTCTTTTCTTAACTAAAAGATCTACCTCTGGTATATATCACCTCAGTTTCACTGTCGCTAAAATTTGCCTTTTTTTTTAATGATAATCGAGAGCACTATACTATATTTATATTACTAGATATTATCGTTTTCTGATGTTGATGTCTATTGTGACGTCACAAAAAGGGGAAGTAACTCTATTGATAGTGTTATTTTTAGCGGTTTTTAAACAGGTAAACAAAGAAAACAACGAGGTTAAAAAATTTACGAATATTGTGGTTCCCTCTTATTAACTATTATTTACAACATTATATCATTTGCAAGTGTATCTATTTCCTTTGAATTTGACCTTTAAATATTTTTGGAATGCATTACTGAACATTTGCAGTGAAGTGACCTACAGTAAAAAGGTGACTCCTTTGATTATTAATGTAAGGAAACTTTGTCATAAAAGTTCACATCAACAAAAAATATTTACCTCTAGGTTATTATTATGTTGGAAAAATAAGTTATCAACTTTGAAGTCTCCTTCAAACATTTTGTCTGTTAGTTTTGTCTTTTTTTTTGATATAAAAAAATGTTAAAGATTGATTTGGCAGGTACCTCTGGAGTTGCTGTAAGCCTGATTTTACCAAAGGACTTCAGAAAACAGACAATGGTAAGATGTAGGTGGCTGGAACAGCCTTGTAGTAACAGGAAACTCATTACAGATAGAATCTATAAACAAAGAGAAATGTCCATTAATATGCTTAAACTCTAGTTCCTGTTGAGGACAAGACTCCTTTTATTGAAATAAATGTATATCACAATTAAGTGTTTCAAAGCATGAAAAAAGTCTCTATATAACTCAATACAGAGTAACATTTGACATGTTTTTTTCAGAATTTCCCTAAGAATGCACAAGTATAATTTTGACTTTAATAGAATCTACCTCTTCTCTAGTTTTGAAGTTTTTTAGATCTTTTTAACCTCATTGCAAACTGAACATACAGAAATACAACTTAGCACTAAAAGAAAAAGATTTACAATACCTTCAGGAGAACATCATTCTCCATAAGAGTGGAGAGATGTGAACTGAGTAATACGAGTCTCTGGAGACACAGCTCGAGTAGTGACGAGTCTGTCCAGTCTGAGATAAACATCTCTCTCCACACCTGACTGACACTGTCTGTAAGGGACATTGTCATGGCTGACTGGACAGCCAATCCAATTGTATCATTGTTGTTCATTAACTCACACAGGCAGGAAACAGAATTCAACTGAGACAAGAAAAAAAAATAAAAGAAATTAATATAAATGTTGAATTTTTGGAAACCAATTTTAAAGCAGCAATAATAAATGCATACAAAAATACCATTTTGCATTGATGTAAACTACAAAATTGAGATAAGTTCAAATGTTGCTCTTTGAAATAGACTTTAGAAAGAATCACCTACATTTAGAAAAATTCCTCATCTAGTATACTGACCATTCTGTAGAAGTCTTGTTGAGTCTTTTCTGAGGCAACTGTAAACTCCTGCAGAATTTTGGAACATTTTTCTGACACTTTCTCCACCAGATTCTGATTGTTCTCGTCAGAGAAACTGGGTAGACAGCAGGATAAAACATACAGCAAGGAGAGGTCCTCTTCTGAGCTTAATCTTCTTATCAACTCGGTCTGAAACATAGCAGGTGATATCAGGTAGATCAATTTGTAACACTACATGAACACAAGCTTTATATCACAGATTTTTTTCAGCACCTTAAAGCACTTATATGTAGTATATTGTAACTATTAAGATGAAAAAGTTTTCATGAAACACAGTTATCAAAGAAACAATGTAATTATAAGTAATATCTGGAATTATCTGACTATAATTTTTATTAACAGTTCGGATTTTCTTGTGTTAGTGACAAACAACACTCTGACCTGTTAATTGTAGTTTAATCTATTTATTGTAGAGAACACTGTATCTACAGGGTTGTCCCTAAGACTCGGCTAGGGAATTTTCCCACTGATAATCCAGGGATCGAGATTAAATGTTGTCCGATTGCCCAGGGCAAGTAAAATCTAAGTTCAGGCAAGTGAAACTGTCAACATACTTGTCTGATCTGGCAAGTGAATTTTTCTGATAGAAATGTAGATTACATTAGTTTATAAATAAAACAATTAATAAAAAAATTGATTTCCACCAGGTACGTGCCTGACATTTTTTTTTGCATTTGGAATCCCTCGGTAGCATTCTATATCATACACGTAATTTCATTTGATAATTGGGTTCCTTATTGTTTTCTTTCATGGTAATTATGCTCTATGTCTAACAGCTCTGTTGCCTACTTATTAGGAAATATTAAGATTACTTATTCACTCAAAGAATACAAATAACACAAGGTATCCTGATCAAGACATGTACATTTCGTAGCAAGTGTCTACCTTTAGTTATCTTTTCTGAATCAAAATTCAGAAAAGGATCTTTCCGAAAATAATTTTTAGAAGTATGAATTTTATTAGTAAAGAAAACAAGAGGGGGCTGGGTTTTTGCTGGATGGCTGTGTGTGTTTCCAAGTTAGATTGACAAGGACAGTGGTAAACATTGAATTTCATGTACAAACATAGCATTGAATTGTTTTTTCATGTAGCTCAACCTGCCAAATAGACAGTTAGTGTATCTGGTCATACTTTATTCTTATCATATAGACATTTCCAGCAATGATTTGTTATTTTCTTCTTTCTTAAATTTGAGCAACCAAGTTTTGCAGTCGGGCAATTCAAAGTTTGAGATTACTTGCCCTTTGGTCAAGTTAATCTAAAAGTTAATGTCTATCCCTGTAATCACGTAATTCCCCAGTTGTTCAAATATTCCCCATCAACCACTTGTTAGGGGAGGATCATCTGATCCCCCTTTACTTTTTTTAATGCCCCCTACTATTTCAATTCTTATGGTCAACCCTGATCTACAAACTGAACTCTGTGAAATTTTTCCAACGCTTAGACTTTAATCTCATGCAAAATATACTGTCTACATCACTATTTGATGTTCAATGTGTCACTGAACAACATAATACCAAATGAATTTCTAAGTTATTAATGAGTTTGCATTATTGCTGCTTCATATAAATTGTTGAGGCGAGAAGTTACCTGATGTTCCGAGGACAGGCACTTAATTAATCGAACAACCAATGAAAGTAGTGGGGACTCAAGGTCAAAGGACCAACACTGCTTCATCACTTCAAGTAAAAAGGTCACATGATCTCGACAAAGGTCAGCTGAGCCATACCTACAATATAAAAAAAACCTTTTGATTCCATCAGTATCAGTATGAATGGAACTAGATAACATCTTTACTTTCCTTTTTTTCCACTCTTTTAATTTACCTAATATGTGTGGTATTTACAGTTTCAAATAAACATCCTCAAAATTAAGCAAAGGTTTACACCATTTGTAAAGCATTATACTACCACTTGTAAAGTTTTATACCACTTGCAAAGCTTATATTATACTTTTGTCACCAAAGCTGTAGATGCAATTTTCTAGCTGAGACCTCCCCCTACTCTAGTGCTTATTCAATTTGAATGTGAACCTGTGTGATTTATGCACTTTGATTAGCAAAAAATATCACTCTAGAATTGAATATCAGATTCATTTCATTACAAATATGTTATTAATAAACACAAACCTGATGATAAAGCACCAGATATCCTCAGCTAGTAGATGACACCAGAAGTCATGTGACAGAGCGTTTTCAAACAGAATTCCTTCCTATTAAAGATAAACATATAAATAATTTTGTTTGGATGGTCTAAAACTTCTTTGGTAAATGTTAAATGCAAGTTTTACTTTCCTTTAAAATTGCTAGTATTTTCAGTGGCAGCGTGCAAATAGAAGTTTTTCTCTCAAAAAAGCCAACTTCATTTAAGCGTGGTTGTAGTTGCATATTTTGTTTTACTCACAGCTCTAAGGAAATGTTTAGCAGATAAAGATCCAAGGAATGCACATAATCTGGTGCAGCACACCTCATACAAGATAACCTCCCTGAAATATCAAACACAAAAACTGAAATATGTACAAGACTACTGTATATCTTCATTGAGGTGTTTGTAAAAATAATAAAAGTGATGCAATATTTGTCTTCAAGTCTTTTTATCCCCTTGCAACATAGGTTGAATTGGGTTAGTGAGTTTGTGCCTAGCAGAAGTAATAATTTATTATTTGGGATGGATGTGCTCTCTTGTAAGGGGATGCTTTGCTTTTTGGTGCCCTTGTTTTCAAGTTGATGTTAAGGACCTGTACAAACTCAAAATGCTATGTAACATTTTACAAAGAGTTTCACAGTTGTTTGGGAATGATGTTATGAAAGGTTCCTGTTAACTCAAATTTGAACACAGTTCATCCATTCTCCAATAAACAATACCATGTAAATAAGAATACTAACTTCAACTATCATTTTAAGTAAGTTATTGGCACCAAATTGTGGTACTAGAGTGTTCCATGTAATGCATGTGTCACCTGCTAAAGCAACATAAAGGATACACTCAGATAAAACTGTGGTGTGGTCAAGATAGATCCCCCAAATGTTCAAGGGGTATGTAATGTATTCCATGCATGACAGAATTTCAATCATGCAACCAATTTGTCCATGCAATGATTTCTTAGCCTTTTTTGTGATTTTTAGATTCAGAGAACAGTGGTACCCTGCTTTAAGGGTCTTATCTGTTTGGGGCGCAAACAACAATTAATCCAAACAAATACTGCACGTCCTGATATTATTTTTTTTTAAAAATAGATTGATCAAAATCATCTGCAGAAATAACAATTTTCTAGAAGCATACCCATTCTTAAAAGTGTATGTTGGAAATCTAAGATTTTTTTTCCTAGAAGCATTCTTAAAAGTATTTGTTAGAAATCTAACCTTTCTGGTTTTGCTGACAACATTGAGTCTGTAAGGACAATAGGCAAGTTAAGCTCTTTACTGCCTGAAAAAATATCAGAATATTCAATATGTGTTAAATGTTTTTGACAGATTTGGCGATCTAAGATTTTTCTTCCGTATTTTGTGTTTTCTTTTTTTATTGATAAAATGTAAATGGAATATCCATTGATGTTAAGGAAATTTACAGAAAATGGTCACCCATACATTTTGAGGTTGTTTTGAACACAACATCAATCACACTTAATCTGTCTTCATCTTCTGGATGTAATTTTGGATCCACCCACTGGTCTTGTACATCATCTGTGGAAACAATGGGACAGATTCTAACAAGAGGCCCATCAGCCACATTGCTCACCTGAGCACTATGGCCAGGGAAAAGCAGAAATCAGTTCAGTATTGAAAAGTTAAAATATAAATTTTAAAGAAGGGGGGGGGGGGGGGGGGGCATGATTTAAACACTCTTGAAACTACATTACCTGAACATGCTTCCAAATTAATATGATCATGGCTTTGCTGTTCTTGAAAACAAGATTTCAAATGATTTTTTTCTTTTATATTTCTATGTATAATTTTTAATTTTGATCACCCATTGTGGCCTCTCCCTACCCCTGGGGGTCATGATTTGAACAAACTTTAATCTACACTACATGAGGATGCTTCCATATAAATATGACCAATCAATACTTTGTTGTTCGAGAAGAAGATATTTAAAAATTTACAGACGGACAGACAGACGACAGACAAAATATGATCAGAACAGCTAACTTGAGCCTTCAGCTCAGGTGAGCTAAAAATTAACTCTGAAAATTAGCAGGATTCAATGAGCATAGTCAACAATCTCGTATTCATTATCATATCCAATACATCTGTATTCTCACTTGAGATTGCCACATTTTGTTGTAAGTGATTCAGAAGACTTTACAATTTTATCTAAATTCCAAAATTTTGGCACTATCTGTCTCAAGCCTGGGTCTAAATGAAGCAAGACTTGAACATGTGACATGGAAAGCACAAGGTAAATATCATGCATTATTTGTTAAACTTACAACAATTTCTCTTGATTTCACAAGAACATGAATTGATGCAGTTCTCAAAACATGAAAAATACATACATTTGAAATGATTCTTTCTGGTTACATTCAAGTTCCTTCTATTACACTTTCATATCAAAGGAGTGGAAAACTTTGCCATTTTTTAGTGACTGCACTACTCCATATTTATTTAAAGAATTAGTTATTTTTAAAACAATAAAAATACCCAGAGCCTAATTTTTCCTGCAGTATATGAACTAGAAAGATTTGCATTGCAAAGTTTGGTCTTCCTTTTAAAACCCTGTCCTTCCTGTGAGATGCATTTAAATTGTCAATACATGTAGAAAGTGTTTAGGAATGAATATTGTGAGGCAAAGGCTATTAAAAATATTATTAATAGATTATTTCTACATATCTGTCCTTCCTATTATAGGCATTTGAATTGAAAAATTTTCCCATATATTACTATGAAAACTTTTGATGCACCGTTGTGGACCCACCCTAAAATCCTCAAAAATGTGAATAGACAACACACGACAGAAGACGGACGGACGCTGGACACTTTTCTATCAAAAAAGCTCAATTGAGCCTTTGGCTCAGGTGGGCTAAAAATTGTTGCAAGAAAAAGATTCAATTTCAAGCTTCATCTTGAGACTTATTGGATCAAATGATAATTTTAAGAGTTATTGTTCTTGGCTGAGAAGCAAATATCCTTGAGTAAATTTTAAAAGGGAGATCAGCATTTTAACATTCTTCAAACATTTTCACTCTTGAGCACATGAAATTTTGCTGATTTTTTTTTTGTAGATTTTAATTATGTAGATTTTGAAAATGACTAACACTTGTATAGACACAAGAAATTAGATTGTTTAGGATAGACTTTTTGGCCTATAAGAGGAATGGATTACCCTTATCATTTTTAAATTTCTGTTATAATATTTTTGGAACCTTAAGTGGCATTTCTTGAACTATCAATCATCAATTTTTTCTGAGCTCTGAAAATCAGCATCTTTAGAAAAGAGAGGTAACTCTGTAACTCTTCATCAGAATGGTATTTAGTCTACTGACCTGGCATTTGAGGAAGAAATTCTAAAACCTTCAGTACAGTCTGTAGATGTGGAAAACTGTCTCCATCTGTCAAACTTCTGACTACAAAAGATAAGTGATAATGAATTTGTTTAACAAAATACATTATCATACATGTATATCTCGTGATCAATGTTTCTCTTTATCAATTTCAACAATAAGACTTGACAATAGGACTTGACAGTTATGCGAGAAGAAATCGTACAAATTGGTAGAGGACACATTTTTTTTACTCACAAAAGATTAAGATTTTTCCTCTATACTTTAATGTGAAGAGGAATTTTAAAGCTATATTGCATCTTTCATACAGTAAAACTCGTTTAGTACGAACACAGATATAGCGAATTTACGGATATAGCGAATTTTTCTTGGATCCCCAGCTATATAAATTTAACGAATTTCTTATACGGATATAACAAATTATGGATAGAGCGAAGTAATTTCACAGGTCCCAGTGACTTCGTTATTACCGAGTTTTACTGTATATGATGCTCAGGAGTGAAGATTCTAGCTTAAATCTGGGGTCAAAATTCTTAAATGTCAACAAAGAGCTAATTTCTCATTACATTTACTAAAGATGAAGGCTTAGTTTAGACCCGACCCTCCATGGCTAGCCAAAACAATATCTATACTTTTTTAATTCCTTTCACACATTAGATACAATATTTCACCATTGGTTTAAATTGGAAGCCATTTCAGAGAAGAAATAAACATGTTCTTGAGTTGATGAACAATGAAGGATGAAGAATAACAGACATGAGCAGGTACACAAGATCACTTAAGTGATTCAGGTGACAAAAAAATTAAGCTCATTCCAGGTAAGATCTTCATCATTCTCATTTAGTTAAAAGATGATATTTTGTAGTATTTATGATCCATTAAATTGTGACCCTCCCTGACAAAATGTAACAATATACAGGGATTCATTCTACAGCAAAACATGGCTATAATAAACTTTTTTGTATGGGTTTCTCTGTTATAAATACACTTTATGACTTTGCATTAGGTTCCTTATACAGATATAAAGAATTTTAGTTATACGGAAACAAAAGTTAAAAGTCCTGCTGACTCCTTTAAAACTGAGTTTTCTGTAACAGTGTTTCCATTGAATTTGGTTCATCCTTTGGATTTTATCAATACAATTCTATTCAACCTTTTTATAAATCTGAATACAATTCAGTGCTTGATGACAAATAGGAAATTCTGTGGTTACAAACCTTTCTCTGCTCCAGTAACAGCCTCTGTGAATGCTCTATTTGATATTAAGGCTTTGATAAGTATGTCAATAGCATTAGTTAAATGTTGCCTGATGTCTCTGAGGTGTTTTTCATCTATCTGCTGGGCTGACAGACTGGGAGGAAGCAATCTGTAAATAAATTAAACAATAATTGTCTATTCTCTATGTAAAAGTTCTTTAAATAATTATCTATGTGTTTTAATTCTTCAAAGAAAACTCTGGCTTTCAGGATCAGAACAACAGTTTCAGAGAAATTTGTACGAGGTAAAGCAGAGAAATCAGAGTACGACACCTCATCAGTGTTAGGAGCAAGCTGTAGACCAGCTCCTCACAGCCATGAACAACATCCGAGAATTCCCGCACCAGCATCACTAGGATTTTCATCTGGAATCCCAGGATCTTGAGGGATTTCTGGAATCCTTTCTCGTCTCCCTGAGATAACACCTAAAACAGGAGTGTATTATTCAATATATAACAATTTATAAATGGCCTTCTTATTTCAACAATTCATACATTGAAGTCTTACCCTACTAATCTATGGTTAAAATGCAAATTTAGCAATTTTTCCCTAACAATATATATATATATTATTTCATTATTTTTTTTTGTGCAAAATGTAGTTTTATAATGCCAAGAAAAATAACTATTACATTTGATGCAGTATGAATTGTTGGTGATATTCAATTGTAGCAATCTCAAAACTTTGGCCAATAATGCCCAAATCCTTGCTTAAAATTCTTTTTATAGTTTGTTATCTGCACTTATGTGAATTCACAGCTTAGTTAAAATTTAAGTTGTGGGCTATTTTACACCATCATGAGTTATGTTATTTTCATAAAACAATCCTAACTCAGCTCAAGGGCACGGATATATAAATCTCACTGTATAAAGAACTACTGCACCTCTTTGTACCTTAATGCCCTGTTTATGACAAACTTTGATTTCAATATTTTGATATTTTCAGTGATAAACTATTCTTTGGCACTGATCCCATTAAAGAAATTGTTACTGTAGATTCCTAAATATACACGAGGAATAAATTATCGTGTAATTACGCGAGAAGCACCACTCGCGAAATAAAATTACTCGCTTTTATTTTTATGGTGCTTTAATGTATGTAAAATCTCTAGATAAATCACTGATTCGCGAATTATCGTTCCCGCGATTTGACGCCCTTGGGCCATTTCGTGATATTAAGTACTCGCGTAAAATAAGGAATTTACAGTAACCCATGTAATTATAATACTACAAAACATTTATGTAGCTATTTAGATAGATGCTTCATGCAAAGAAAATAAATCCATGGACTACAAAGAATTGTGTGAATTTGTCTTGAATGCTCTAGTCATTATGTTATAATTCAGTTTCATGTGATGTGTTATCTTGACTGTATGCCAACATGGTGGTGTCAATAAAGGTCAAAACAACCCACCGCTCCTTCTGGATCCACCTGCGGAATCAGCTGGAGGAGGAAGAGGAATCCACTCTGGATTTCCCCACAAAGGTGACCAATCATACCCCCCACCTCCAATCGCTGACCAACATGGACCTTGTTATTAATGGCATGTCTATAAGCACAGAGGGATCTTCTTTTAGTTTCAGTTCACAGTTACTTTCAATTGTCAAGTAAAGCTAAGAATAGAACAGTAGCAGTTTTCTTTTTCCTCTGCAGGTCAGAAAAACTCTTTGATTTGGGATGCAAGACTGCATTTTAGCAATTATTTGCTTAAGTTAAAAATCTTTGAATTAATATAATGGACAGTTGTGTTAAAGGTATTGAACACAACTTCAAAAAACTTAATATGTTCAAGATGTTTCTTTCCCAGAAATCTTTTTCTTTGACATCCTGGTCTTGTGGGAAAGAAAAAGGTAACAAAGGTGCAGTAAAGCACATTAAGGATTTGTGATATTCCAACAATATTGAAAATGCCTTTAATCAATTTAAAATGAAAAAAATTCTAAGTCGGTTTCATTTACAATGTCATTAAAATTAAAGGATCAATTTACTTAGATATAGCTTTCCACAGGGTCACCATCAACTTCATATCTAAAGATGTTACTATCTGACAAACATCAAATAGGCCACGGCAAACTAAAATGAAAAACAAAAAAAAGCTATTGCATTTAATCATTTCATAAACACAGAATCCTGTAAACTCAGTTTGCATCCAAATACTCTGTAACAGGTATTGACAGTCACTTAATAGCCATTCTCTGTAACCACTTAAACTTTTGTGGCACGCATAGTCACAGATTTTTTTCAAAGGACTATATTCTGTAGTGGCCAGTATCTGCCCCCAAAATAAAACTTTGATGGAGAAATCTTTAATTATGTTCTAAACCAGGTGGATATTTGCAGACTTCAAAGCATTAAATATTTTTATCAACTATGACATCATTAGTTAGATATGACGTCAATAAAATGACGTAAATTCCAAATTGCAATGATTTTGAGAGAAAATAGTGTATTTTACGTCGGTATTTTGATTGGAAATTATCGAGCGCAGGTCTGCTCAGACTAGATCTTTTGATATAATAAGTAGAATGATAATATCAATGAAATGTGTGAATATGGTACCTGAGCAAGCTTGCGCTCTATAAATACTATAGTCAAAATTGAACAAACTCTGTACATTTTGGCCTCTATTTTAAAAATAACGGAAATCCAAATAGTTTGTGACGTCATAGAGACAAGAAAAGCCAACTAATTTTTCCAATTTCATTATATATTGTATTAAATTGGATTATTTTATACAATATATGCACTTTTTCTCATTTCAAGAGATTTTCAAAATTTGACTATTATGGGGGCAGGAATACGCCCTTACCGTATATAGTTCTTTGGCTAGAATTTACCACTTCATAAACTACTCCAAAAAATATTGTTAGATCATATGAATGTTGAGTAGTTACCATGGAAACGGTGTCTAAAGTTGATTTTTTCTGAAAAAATGCAATTTTTGGGAATGGCAATCAATGAAATGCGGCTACTTCAATCCATGTTACTCACAGAAATAAAAAGTATGACATCTGATTTTAAAAGGTATTTAAAAACATTGTTGGTATTCAGTCTATAAATATAAGAAATCTATGATTAAAATAGCAGACATTCATTTAAAAATTGAATTATCTCCCTTTGATAATTGTGAGCTCTTTAGTGCGAGAGATAAAAAAAATCATTGGACAAAACTGACTGGAAGTTGTTTACATTATCAACATGTATCCTGGATTTCAAGTAAAATCAACTGGTTTTTTCTATTTATTTAATATGCATACAAATTTTAACCGCTTTGTTTATTTCCTGCATGCAAAAGAATAATTTTGATGAGTGAACAGTGGCGAAATGTAAAAGACCACATGGTACAGGAAATCAGCTCTGTGCACATTCATGATATTGAAACCTAAGCCTCAAGGTCTTAGGAGTTTCAAAATGGGGATAAAAGATAAACTTGAGATATCAGAATTATATTGAATTGGTTGTAAGAAGAGGTACAATGTCCTAGTCAGAGTGATATACATGTATTATAATGAATACAGCCTTGGAAAGTCAGTGCCTTTTTAAAACAAATGTGAAAAAAAAACTGAATTATAATGTGAGAGAACTAGGCTATTGATTTTACCTAAATAATTAAAGTCAAGCTACATTTACATGTTTGTACAGAACTGGAAGTTGAAGTTGAATATTGAATGATGTATGTAAGTTGATGTCTGTCATTAAAGGGATGACCATTTGATGCGGGGGGGGGGGGGGGGGGGGGGGGGTTACAGATTTTAGAAACTAAAGTCCGTTCTTGAAAATGTTGGAAATAAATAATCAGTCCTCAACTGGCAGGAAAATAAATAATCCATCTTTGATAAGTGCTACAACCTCCAACCCAAAGGCACTCAATGTTTCGGTAATAATTTTTAACCCATATTATAATAAGTATTATTATTATAAAAAATAATAAAAAAAAAAATTATTCCCGAAACAAATGCCTACGCCCCCCCCCCCCATTCCCTTGGGGCGGGGTCGATTGTTTATTTTATTTTCAGACTTTTTTCTGTGAAGCAAAAAAATGCATAATCTGTCCTGGATCATATTGGAAATAAATAATCTGTCCTTCAATTCCATGAAAATAAATGATCTGACTTGGAAAAAATTTGCCCCCCCCCCCCCTTCTGAATCAAACGGTCGTCCCTTAACCCATAGTCAACGCAGTCATATTATGCAGTTTTAAACAGAATTTATGTCATTCATAATTTACAATTTTTATATGATGAGTGTTTTCACTTGATAGGATTTGCTACATTTGAAATATAAACTGATACTCTTTACACCCTCATTCTAAAATTAAAGAACGTAAAAGTATATTTTATCTCTAGACTATTTAAAGGCTACATGTAGAAAAAAAATCCACACCTAAAAACCCTGTATTTGTGAGGGATGTAACAGAAAACTCAATCTTTTTAATACTACTGTTTGCCTTTATCTGTATCTGATTCAGAAAAAAAGAGAGAAAAGTTATCTGTGTATATTTCAGATTTGAACTTTTTATTCAATGACTTTGAAAATATTTACAAAGAAATTGATAATGTTCCTGATCCAAGTATTTTCTTTAAGGGAATTAATGGTCTTTATCCAAAAAAAAAGAATAAAAAAAAATTGTTAAGGTCAGTAATGAAAAAGTTTTGTTTTGTAATTGATTCCTTTCGACCAGTGAAAATTATACTTTCAATTTTTTTGTAAGGGGGGGGGGGGGGGGGGGGTGCATAGAAATACAAATTGTCTGAATCATATTTAAAGTTATCACTTTTATCAAGTTTATCATTTCTCTAGACTAAGATAAATGTAGATTGAACCTTGTAGCAGTAAAATTAATAGTAAATCTGTGTAGCTGTATTTTATTAATAATGAAAACAAATAAATTTCTGACAAGTCCCCACCCCCACCCCACCCCTTTCTACCAAAAGAAAAAAATCATAAAATTAAACACAAAAAATCTATACTCGAGAATGGGGGCGGGTTGGGGTTAATCACTTATGAATGAACCGCTTTCTTTCATATTTATATATAACGTTTCTTAATGTTTCACAACGGATCCGTGTTTTTCTTACAAATGCCTCTTATCCATTCATTTGGGGTAAGTGCTTTTACATTGTTCCTGGAAGGGATGGAGTAAGTCCTGGTCATTGGTTACTTTATCATGTTCATTTTAAAAAATGAAAACCGTAGGAAGGAGGCAGGGACAGATTATTTTCAATATTTTCAAGGACTCAAGTTTAGAAATTATGTTTACAATACAAACCATAAGGTGTACGGTTCTATCAAGCTTACCAACCAACTCAAACTTAGCAACCGACATAAATTCGAGAAAACACAAAATCAGATTATCTGAGCAGGTCCAGCAGATTTTTACAAAAGATTATTATTGATTAAATATTGGAAGTAGCAGATCTATTACTTAAATCCAGGCATATTTGGGTTAAAATATTTATCATCTCAGTGTCTCTTAATTTTCAAGTTTTTAAGAATAATACATGATAGATTTTTACTGTATTGCAAAGTAAAATGGATTTAGGCTTTTTCTGTCAACTTCTCTGAAAAAAAAAGTCACAGGAAAACACATTCTGACTGTCACTGGAAAAGTGTGGAGTGTTGAATAGGGTCTAAAAATGTACATTTTAGAACAAGGACTTAGTCTACCAAAACAACAAAAGAGTGTATTTACATGCACGTATGCTCTACGTACGAGTCACTCAATATGGTACGTGTATAGGCTTTCAATATTTTGAGTTGGCTACTTTTTTTTCAATAAATGAAACCATTCTCATAGCATTTTAACATTATGCATCAAGCTAAAGGTGAGAATGTAATACCAATTTCAGTAAAATGCATTGTATATAAAACAGGATACGACATTCACAATATCCGAATTTAAATGCTATACTAACAAGCTAATTCAGAGAAGCTGTGTCCCCTGCTTAAGGAAAAAAAGAGCATGTACGGATCTTGAGGGGTGGGGTCGGAGGATGGTGGGGTTGGGGGAACGGGATACTTTAAGAGTTGCGGGCGGGACCAAAGGGAGTTATGATATAAAATTTCATTGCAAAAGCTTAAAAGCTTCTTGAGATATTGCACGGAAATGAAAAGTTAACACACAAACAGAATGTATACATTTTTGACCTTGACCTTTGACCTTTTGAACTCGAAATCAATAGTGGTCCTCTTTAGGCCATAGGGAGTTTCAGTGTAAAATTTCATTGCAAAAGCTCGAAGTTTTTGAGATATTGCGCGGAAATAAAGTGTTAAAACAGACAGAATTATGATTCATGACCTTTACCTTTGACCTTAAAATCAATGGGGGTCTTCCTTAGGTCACAGGGAGTTGTTATATAAACTTTCATTGCAAAGGCTCAAAGGCTTCACGCAACATCGTGCAGAAACGAAAGTGTTGCAGAAAGACAGACTGACAGACGGATGGACGTCAGACAGACCTAAATAAATATCCCCCACTTTAAGTGAAAGTAGGGGACAAAAAGGCAAATTTTATATACCATTGTGTCCTTGAACTTTGACCTTCTGTCCGTATTTACCAATTCATGTGATGCTAGTTACATGTATTGTCCACCAGAACTGTAATTTTGTTTATTCATAATTATGTTGTTTAAAACACAAGTATTAGTTATGGCATTGAAAAAATGTGCTTAGTTTCCTTACTTTTCCATCTAACTCGAGCCATATTGACCTTGAACTTTGACCTTTTGTTATGAAAATTGATTTTTTTTCTTTGTTTTTGCTATTGTGTACTATATGTACAAATTTGGTTTTAATCCATTTTAAAATACTCAGGTATTTATATGGAAACTGATAGTAGATACCTATTGCCCTTGTCTGGAATTCTTAAAAAAGCATTAGTTTGTAACCATGGTAACATGAAAACAAGATATGAATACCAAGTGGTTCTTTATGGTTTATATTACAACTATATATGGACTTTCAAACCAATGTATTTATTTTTTCCAATATGTCCGCAAAAATTTATACCAGGCTTTTCAAAAGAGCCTAAAATCTACAATTTTTCCTTAAAAAAATCATACTTAAAAAAGAGGGATATTTTTTCTATGAGGTTAAGTTACTCAAATACTAGAAATTATCTAAAGAACTATAAAAATGATGTATTTTGACAAAAAGATAAAGTCATGTAAATATCTTTTTGTATTAAAGACTTTTAATTAGTCAAAAATGGTCATTTTTCATCAAAATTTAGCATTTTGTAGGCCATGAAAAATGTATGTTGGTTGCCATGGTAACCATTGACCATAGCAACCATTTTATTATGAATTTTAGTTTCATACATCAATATAGGAATGTGTGCCAAGTTTCATAAAAATCCAAGACCTAGCGTGCCACACTCCCTATATAAGAGTTTAAATGCTTACAGAGAATGGCTATTAATATGGTGTTATGGGTATTTCAATTAAAAGGGGGGGGGGGGGGGTTAGGAATATAATTGCTCATAAATGTCATGCTCAAAAATGTCAAACACTTTTTTGCTCAATTTCATGTAGTACAGGAGATTTTGAAAAGATTTAATGCATTTTCTTTAGAATAAATTACCCTGAGTGAGGTCTAGGACATCTTGTTCTGTGACAGGGTCACTGAGTTTTATGTTGTCTAGAAGCCGGAGGAAAGCCTGTATGAAATAAAAAAATTAATTATTGGTGAAAAAAATAAGAAGACAATGGGCCATGAATGTCACACAAGAAACCTTGCTTTAACTTGCATTTGACAAATGTTTAAGTGTGGCCCAGTAATCACTGAAATACTCAAATCTAGACTGTGCTTTTAATCTTGGCATATCATAATGAAATGGAATTTTGCAAGCTCAAACATGGCCCAGTGGTTTTGAGGAAACATTTTTAAATATCACAATTTCTATTTATCTAGCCATTGTGAACTTTAAGTTTAGTATTACATTTAACCATCAAATTTTACCTAATTTATTCACTTAAAGCTGATCTACTACACCTAAGAAACATGCCTCTTCTGCAATTTTGCCCAGTTTTAAATTCAACCATTGAATACAAGGTCAAAACTATTAAAATATTATATGTCCAAATGAATGTAAATGAATCTAGAACTATGTGTTTTGTAATTAGATCTCTCTGCATTAAAAACTTTAAATTTAATCCTCATTATCATGATAATATTTTGAGGTAAGTTTGTTAGAAAGTAGGTAAAGAGAGGACATTAATAAGAACAAGTACTACTTATTATTTTATCTCCCCTGCAGAAGGACTGATCCCTCAATTTAAAAACACACCACTGCTATTAGTCTGAAAACATTATATTCACTTAGCTATACCTTAGTGCATGTAGTCTGAACATCTTCAGTTGAAAAGATAAATGTGTATATCACTATATGTGTATTAGATCTGATTTATGTATTTGTGAAATATGTATTGATGATCATTAAAAATCAAACTGGTTTAAAAGGTCATTGAAATTTAACAGCTAACCAACTACAAAACTTATCACACAAATATCTCAAGTACACTTTCTAAATGTACTGTCTCTTTATAATTAACAGTTCTCTCTAGCTGAGCTGGTTCTGGTGTGAAGTACAAGTACTTCCTCTCTAGACCAGAAAAAACTAACATATATCCTCCTACTTAACGATTACCCAACACTATCTGTTAAAGTAGTTACACAACTCTGTCTGATTAAGTAATTTTCTACGAACTTGTCTGATGCCCTTTAATAGTTACAGAAAAATGCTCGGAAGTTCTCTGTTTGAGGTTTTTCACTATCAATCGTCATTCAATTATGTAAGTGTTCAAACTGAAACTTATCAAAATCTTTTTTGGAAGTTGAGTTCAGTCACTAAAGTGCTTGGGGGTTGCTGCACTTTGTGAGAGAAAAAAAAGCATCATATTACATCCAGGTTTCAATTATTTGCTCCCCAGAGAAATTCCAATCTCATCCTTAAACATGTTAAAACAGATGTGTGAATTTTTAAAAAGTGACTTAAAATAAGCAAAGGAGCTATTTTATGTTAGTGATATTTAAAAGATACTTTTAAAATTATAAGAAACTGGAGTTCCCCCTACAAATCATACAGGTGACAAGTGTACAAAGGTGCCGCTGTATATAATGTTAAACAAGCAGATTATGTTACCAGGTTAAACTAGGAAGTTGTGGTTTAGCTGATCCACTCCCCTAAACAATAACTGACATGTATATTCGGGTGATAAAATTAACAAGAGGCCCATATGTGCCACGTCACTCATCTGAGCACTTCAGCTACAGAAAAGCAGAAATCAGTTCAGTATTAAAAAGTTTAAATAAATAAGTGGTCCCAACCTATCTCCCTGGGGGGAGGGAGACATGATTTTAACAATATTGAATCTACACTAATTGAGGATGCTTCCATTTTCTTTGACTTATTAGATGGCTTTAAAAGATTCTTAAAGATTTTTCCCAATATATTTCTATGTAAAAGATTGATCTTCTATTGTGGCACTGCCCTACCTAGCTCAGGCTACGATTTGAACAAATCTGAATCTACATTACCTGAGAATGTTTCTATATCTATTAATATGACTAACCATGGCTTTCCTGCTCTTGAGAATAAGATTTTTTAAGATATATTCTATATCTTCCTATGTTTAACTTTAATCCCCTGTTGTGGCACCACCCTACCCCCAGAGGGGGATCATGGGGGAGATCATGATTTGAACAATCTTGAATCTACACTTCCTGAGGATGTTTCTGTATTAATGTGACTAATTATGGCTTTGCTGTTCTTGAGAATATTTCCTATATATTCCTGTATAAAACTTTGATCTCCTGTTGTGGCCCCATCCTACCCATGGGGGCCATGATTTGAACAAATTAAAATCTACACTTATAATTAAGCTTTCCAATAATTTTCATCTTTCCTGGCCCTGTGGTTCTTGAGAAGATTTTAACAAGAGGCCCAAGGGCCTTAACGGTCACCTGAGTATGATACAACAATTTAAAGGATGCATAGAGCATAAAATGAACTGAAAGGTGAAGCTTTGTTGCCTAAAAGCAAGAAAAATAGGGTGATCATGATCAACAAAATAATTGGTCTTAATATTCATTAACAGTTCATAAATTAGGTTTTAATCTGTTCCCCATTTACCACTATCACCATACAGTATATTAAAAAATTATCAATGCTTCTGTACTATTTTAATCCCTTGATGAAATCTTACATTGGCCTCTCTTGGTCCTTGATGAACATTTAATAAGACAAGTTATTTTTGTCTCATTTTTATTTATCTACTACTTACAAGTCTACCTGATCATTAAAACTATAAAAGTACTTTTTGTATTATAAAATAAAAGTTTTTGCATAATTCTCTTGTTCTATTTATCTTTCAAGTACATTATAGTGCTAGTACAGTGATAAATTATCAAAAGTAAATGGCAAAGGGGAATAACTCCTCTCAGTAGAATACAAACTAATAGAGCCCTGGCCAGGACCAGAACACTTGACCAAATGGTCCAGATGTTCAAAAATCTGGTAAAAATTCCCTTCCTTATAAAAACTTTTACTCTGTTTGCCTCAGATATGCCCACGTGTTGAGAAGATTTGTAAAGAAATAATGCATTTTTACTACAGATTCACTATATTTTCAAAAGACCCCCCCCCCCCCCCCCCCCGTAACACCAGAGCTTCTGACCCTGGGACCATAAGTTTGCTCATCATAACTAATCACTTTGTTTATCCGCTAAACACTAAGGAGCAAACAGGATTATTTAATAGAATTAATGCATTTTCACTCTATTATCAAGAGCCCCACCCTCAAACCAGCACATCTGACCCAGGGGTCATGAAATTTACTACTCTGGAAGAAGCACTCTTGCTCATCATAACTATATACTTAGCTTCTTTGCTTTTTTAACCAGAAGCAGAAAAGAATATTTTCAAAGAAATTTTGCTTTTTCACTTTATAATCAATAGAAGCCCCCCCCCCCCCCCCCCCCCACCAGAACCCTTAAACCTGGGGTCATAAAATTCACAATTTTGGAAGAGGCATCCTTGCGTATCATAACAATGTATTTAGTTTGTTTAAACAATACCCAGGCGCATAGAAGATTTTCAAAGAACTAAAGCACCTTCACTATAGGATCTATATAGCCCCGCCCTAGCACCAGAACTCCTGCCTCCTGGGCCATGAATTTCACAATTTTGGAAGAGGCATCCTTGCTTATCATAACAATGTACTTAGTTTGTTTAAATAATACCCAGGTGCTGAGAAAAGGCTTTTTAAAGAATTAAAACATTTTTTCTTTATAATCAATAGAGCCCCAGAACCCCTGATCCAGGGGTCACAAAATTCACAATTTTGGAAGAGGCATCCTTGCTTATCATAACTATGTATTTAATTTGTTTCAATAATACCCAGGAGTAGAGAAGAAGATTTTCAAAGAATTAATGCATTTTCACGATATAATCAATAGAGCCCCACCCTAACACCAGAACCCCTGACCCTGGGGCCATGAAATTCACAATTTTGGAAGAGGCACTGAGACTTGCTCATCATAACTATGTACTTAGTTACAGTATTTAATACCCAGGAGCAGAGAAGAAGATTTTCAATGAATTAATGCATTTTCACTATATAATGAATAGAACCCCGCCCTAACACCAGAACCCCTGACCCAGGGGCCATGAAATTCACAATTTTGAAAGAGGCACTCTTGCTCATCCTAACTATATACTTAGTTAGTTCATTTAATACCCAGGATCAGAGAAGAAGATTTTCAAAGAACTAATGGATTTTCACGATATAATCAATAGTGCCCCGCCTTAACACCAGAACCCCTGACCCTGGGGCCATGAATTTCACAATTTGGAAGAGGCACTCTTACTCATCATAACTATATACTTAGTTAGTTTATTTAATACCCAAGAGCAGAGAAGAAGATTTTCAAAGAAATAATGCACTTTCACTATATGATCTACATAGCCCCGCCCTAACATCAGAACCCCTGACCCTGGGGCCATGAATTTCACAATTTTGGTAGAGGGCTCAATGCTTATTACAATCATGCCAACAGTTTGACTGCTTGATGTCCAGAAGTAAAGAAGAAGATTTTTAAAGATTGCATTAATTTTGATGGTTTTAGCCCCACCCCTCAGGCTCCAGGGGGGCAGGGACCATGAAATTCACAATTTTGTTCCCCTTCACCCATAGATGCTATATGCCAAATTTGGTTAAAATTGGTTGAGCGGTTTCAGAGAAGAAGCTAAAAATGTTCAAATGTTAACGCACATCGCACAACGCACGCCGACGGACAAAAACGGATACCAATAGGTCACCTGAGTGACTCGGGTGACCTAAAAAGACATCATTAAATTTCCACTAATTGTGAATTATTTCCACTTGAAAGAGGGTATGGCCCTTCATGTGAATAATCTTAATTTTCCTTCACTCAAGGATGCTTTGTGGCAAGTTTGGTTGAAATTGGACTAGTGGTCCTGGAGAAGAAGTCGAAAATGTGAAAGGTTTACTGATAACTCATGACAGACATATGGACAGACGGATGGCGGACATTTTTCAATCAGAAAAGCTCACTTGGAAGGCTCAGGTGAGCCAACAAACTCTTTTCCATCAAGTTTCTTTAGATAAGGACCATTGAATACTTTAATTGTAAAAACACCATTTATTTGCAAGTTAAAATAATCCAAGGTAAAAATCAGTTTAAATGTATTCTTACAATGCTACTGGCAATATGCACACAACCTCTGTTCCTTTATTTTCTATCCTGTAACTTAGTTCACTATTTATCATGTTTTGTGTGTGTGTGAATGTGTGTATGTGCATGTGTGTGTTGGGGGGGGGGGGGGTTAAAGCACTTCTGCTAATCATAAATGAATGAGTTCCTGAAAAGGCTACTAAAAAAAACATACACCTTTTTAAATTATTATTTAGGGGAGGGGGTTTACATGTCCTACTTGTATTGATTTTAGTCATATTTTCTTACTAAAATTGCACAAGTTGAATAAAAGGTTTCCTTATGGGGATGTTCCTTTTTGAAAACTGCAGTATTATATATTTAAAATTTAGAATAAAAACACAAAAGTTTCCTGTGTGACATACAAGTTTTTTTTGTCAAGTTAAGCAGGTTTTTAACAAGAGGCCCATGGCCACACTGCTCCTCTGAGTAACTATGGCCATTCTTGTCTTTCATCAGCAGTCTTTTTCCTATCTATTCCTATGAAAAACTTAGATCACCCCCACTGAAGCCCAATTTTACCCATTGGGTCATGATTTAAACAAATTTGTACCCAACTACCAGCGGATGTTTCCATATAAATATGACTAATCACGGCTTTCTTACAATAATTTGTAAGAAGCATCCTTGTTCATCATAACTATGCATTTTGTGTATTTGCTCAACACCAAGGAGCAGACAGAATTATTTAATAGAATTAATATATTTTCACTATATTATCAAAAGAGCCCGACCCTTACACCAGAACATCTGACCCAGGGGAAATGAAACACACAATTCTGAAGAAGTACTCTTGCTCATCATAACTATACACTCAATGTCTTTGCTTTATAACCAGGGACAGAAAAGAATACTTTCAAAGAAATTATGCTTTTTCACTATATAATCAATAGAGCCCCCCCCCCCTTTCACCAGAACCCCCAGCCCTGGGGCCATGAATTGAATTTAACAATTTTGGAAGAGGCATCCTTGCTTATGATAACCATGCATTTAGTCTGTTTAAATAATACCCAGGAGAAGAGAAGAAGATTTTCAAAGAATTAATGCATTTTCACGATATAATCAATAGAGCCCTGCCCTAACACCAGAGCCCCTGACCCAGGGGTCATGAAATTCACGATTTTGGAAAAGGCACCCTTGTTCATTATAACTATGTACTTAGTTTGTTTAATACCCAGGAGAAGAGAAGATTTTTAAAGAAATAATGCACTTTCACTATATGATCTATAAATCCCCACCCTAGTACCAGAAGCCCTGACCCTCGGGCCATGAATTTCACAATTTTGGTAGAGGGCTCAATGCTTTATATTACAATCATGCCAACAGTTTGATTGCTTGATGTCCAGGAGTAAAATAGATTTTTAAAAATTGCATTAATTTTGGTGGTTTTAGATCCATCCCTCAGGACCCAGGGGGTAGGGACCATGAAATTCATAATTTTTGTTCCCCTTCACCCAAGAATGCTATAAGCCAAAATTTGTTGAAATTGGTTTAGGGATTCTAGAGAAGAAGTTGAAAATGTTCAAATGTTAACGCACGACAACAAACAAAAACAGATAGCAATCCGAGTCTTTCAGGTGTGGTGACCTAACAATTATGGACTCTCTTAGTGGTTAATATCACACCATATTCACCACCAAGAGAGTCCACAATTGTATAGTATCTACCTGTGTTTCAAAGTATGTTTTGGTATATAACATTGATATTTGTTATCTTATTATCAATTTAAACAAATACCGTAAACCTAAAATGGATCACCAACTCTTTGTGAGAATGCAGACAAATTCTGATGATGGCCATCTTGCGTTAAAACTGGTCAACAAAATAAATCTACTGCTGCATTGTCACAAAGTGATGGTGATCTGTATTATGTCTTTAAGTTTACAACTTTAGATACAGACCCTATTGAATACCGTTCAGTATCCACACGTGGGAATCTTCCACAATTTCAACCTTAAGATGTTGGTCCCCAATTTTTCATTTGTGTTTTATGCACAATCATAAAGATGGTCATCTTTAGATTTTCCTTTCCTGCATTTAATTTTCTAATGATTATTTAGAGTTGTTATAAAATTATATGTCCTCTTAAAGAAAAATATTGAATTTTCTAGGATTCACTTATACATCTGATTAAAACTTAACTCCCAAACATGTGACATATATATAGGCAAGTATTCAGATCAGTGCAGAGCCTAATCAACCTCTTAGCACTCCCTTTCCATTTTCATGTATGGCACACCAAAAATTCTGAACATCCAAAATGTTCATGAAGTGGTAAAATCAGAAAAATTCAATTCTAGTCTTTCTAGAGTTTAGGGGGCATATTCAGAAGAGTGCCAACTTGGTCAAGTTTAGGTGTGAACCTCACTGTAATACCCTAACACCTGTATGTTTCAGTAAAAAACAGAGGACGTTTACTTACTACTTGTAAGGAGTGAGTTTTCTTAAAGAGACTGGAGAGTGGAGCTGACATGGAGCTCAACAGGTCCTGATACACATCTCCACTGTCCTAAAAAAATAAATATTAAAATTTAATAAAATCAGGTATTTCATTCACATTCTTTTAATTGATTTACCTTAATATTTCAAATCCATGCACTTCATGTTCATAATAAATAGAAGAGCACTTTTTATGAGAAAATAATTTGCTTATAATTTATTAATATATATATATTTTTTTTTTTGTAAAGAAGAGGGAGAGGGGAAAGGGCGGGGGGGTTGTGACTTGACAGTTATCAGTCCAGAGCATTTTGTTAAAGAATTTCCATTATTGTGGGTTTAATCTGTATGTGCAATAACATCTGCATTAATCTAAAATATTTGACTTGGACTTTTCTACACCTACTCACACCTCAAGATCAAAATGCCTTTTTTTCCACTCAAATCTTATTGGATAATCATAGAGTTGGATTTCCCTCATTCACAAATTGAGGGATAGATCCCCTATAGGTTTAAATCTTCTGAAGAATCTGACCTAGAATTCTGAATCAAGTCAGTGAGCTGTTTTGTTTTTTGCTCCATGTGCAGAAAATACAACATGCAGCAGCATTTTCACTGAAAAATAAATCAATACAAGATTTTCTGCAAACTGCTTGATATGATTACTTTAAAAGACTAGCGTGATAACTCATGCACATCTGTGACCTCATTGTTACTACCAAGGGACTGGAAATTCCCTTCTGACGTTTAAATGGATCTGACATTTACAGAAAATGCTGGGTTATTAGGACAATTTTGCAACTCTAGGAATCTAGCTTTTAAAAATACTTGAAGTGTCAAATTAAGAACAGAAGATTCAAGTTGTGGAGTAAGTTGTGTGTATATAAACTCGAGGGGTTGATAACTTTGTATATTCATGGACAGCTAGCACTTTAGGAAGCCATTCATAAATAAGTCAGGCAAGTACCTCGTCAATGATTATGTATTGTTCATTCTAGTGACAGCTTGAAACATATTCTCTAAACAAAAAAGTGAATCATTTTAAAGCTCCTTTTTTGCATTTTTTATTAAGATCATTCATGCCTGCAAATTTAAATTCAGTACAACTTTCTGATCTCTGAAAAGTGAACTTAGGGCAGAGAAATTGACAAAGCTGATAATATCACCGTACAGTTTTGTACATATATTTAACTTATTATCAAGTTTGAACTCTGTGACAAGTCCAACCCTCTATACACAAGTGTATATATATACACGTGGCTACACACTGCAGTCACTGTAAAGTCTTGCATATTTGTGTGAATGTTGTTTCTTTTTTATTTCAGTTTTAGCTTTATTAACCACTATGGAGATTCTCAAGTCAAGAACATCGCCTCATTCTAACGTACCAAGACTGATCACAAATCCCTATGATTTTGTCCACAATCAGAAAGAAGCCTTCAAAATAAAGGACCTGAAGGTAAACTATGTTTTTATTCTCTTTATACACATCTTTTCAGATTTAATTGGATAATTCAATGCAAAATCATCCCTCAGTAGAATATAGTACTAATGTTTATGAATATGGGGGAGAAAACCGTTTTACGGCTTTAAGAGGAAACATTACATGCTAATATTTTTATACATTAAGAATATAGATATATTTCATATAAAGTACCTATGGTAATATAACCAAAATCTGCCTTTCATAGCATTAAAAAAAATTATTCACCCATTGTTTTAGGGATGTTAAAGATACATAACGCAAACAAAAATTTGAAGCATGGATTGATAGATATTTTTTGACTGATTTTGGATAGAAATAACATAAATAATAAGAAATCCCTAAATTATAAAGAAATTGTAATTTTTCTTTGGTGCTTAAATACACAACTTTGTGTCATTTTCTATGTAATTCTGTACAAAATTTTATCATATTTTTAATATTGTGACAAAATTTTCCAACTTTATCTGGCAAACAATAATTAGGTTACCTATTTGAATATAAATCTATTAGAAATATTGTCAATTTCTGAAAAAAGTTTGTGTTATTTATCCTCAAATAAAATGATGATTTGACTGCCTTGACCAATAATAATAAATTGGTTGACTTTTGAGCAATATAAAGTTACTTATCACATTGTAAACATATAAACATATTCTGTGATCTCTTTAAACTGGGATTTATATGATTATTTCAATACATAATGACTTGAAAATCAAGTTTTTTTTCTGTTATATTTTTTTTGGACAAATTTTTAAATACAATGCTGAACATACATGACAGGTATAAATACATCAGAGTGAAACTGGGTACATTTGGGGGGGGGGGGGGGGGGGGAGAGAGGGAATCACTGTTTTATAGGATTTAGTACAATATCAATGAAATTCTTTTTTAATCCCCCCCCCTTCTGTTTCTTCCTGTTTTGGACCCATCTACATGATCTCGATAATATCTAAAGTAAACTTTCCCCCCATTATTTGTAGAATGGTGGGAACCTGACCTTAGATGACCTCCACATCAAAAGCCTGGCCTGATAACATTATTTAATTGTCTATCCTATCTGTGACTTATTTAATCAATATCTCTGGTAAACTTTTCATTGCTTACATACATGAAGGTAAATAAGTGATAAGTTTCAACAATATTCTTTGTGTAAAACATCAAAGCAAATGTTACGTACAGTGTAACTTTGTGACTGACTGTCTTTGTGGCAGAAATGTAGAAAAATAAATCGAAATACCCCATAGTTAATTCAAACTAGAACTGTCCAAAAGGGACAAATACCCCCCGCTGGGTTTTTCAGAGAAGGTACCAAATCACTAATGTTTTCTAGATGTGAGAGGGGTTCACAATTTGCTTAAACATTTAGAGTGAAAATTTAATTACTCATTATATTTTTTTTTAATGAATGAAACTAAGGTGCAGCCTTATAAAACATCAATACTAGTAATTACAGTGTTTTTTATTCCATTGAAAAAATAGTTTGCAACTATCTGTCATCTTTGTGAGACATGACACTCTGCAAATTGATTGTTGAAAAAAAAAAAATCAAAATTAATTATACAAAATCAAATTGATCTCAATACCTTTATATCAAACTCATTTTAAAAATAAAAGGCTGGTTCCAGTAACTATGTATTTTGACAGACATAAATTACAATTAAGAGACTTAGACAACAGAGATCTTTATTTCTTTCTGCCCAATTCCCAGGAGATATAGATAAGACCTGCTTGATCAGAGATGCCCTAACAGCTTCCCACACTGAACTCATTAATTAATCTTTAACTGGATGCATGTCCACTCATTACTCCCAAGGGACAAATGGATTTACACTATCTGCTGTGTAATGTAAAAACTCTTTTTAATACTTTGTGATTTTTTTTTTTTAGTTCTAATGAGTAGTTTTAAGCTGTAGTTCACATTTTTGTACAAATGTTCTAGATTCTATGTTTCAAATCTTAGACATGAACCTGAAATGACTAAGTCAATAAAAATGGAAAAAAAACACCTGTAAAATGCAGAAAAATTATCAAATAATGTTGAAAATACCAGGTGCACATCTTCATATGGTAAATAATAAGTGTACAAATTTTCATACAAATCTATGCAATAGTCTCTGGGAACAGATCTGGACAAAACCACATAATAAAAATGAAAAAAACACCTGTAAAATGCAAAAAAATTATCCAATCATGATGAAAATATCAGGTGCACACCTTCATATGGCAAAGAATAAGTGTACAAATTTTCAGACAAATCCTTGCAACTGTTTCCAAGAAATGGTCCGGACAAAATCTCGTCTACAGACAGACGGACAGACAGACAGACGGACAGACAGACGGACAAGCTGATTCCAATATACCCCCCCTAAACTTCGTTTGCAGGGGGTATAATGATTGCAATTCCCCAAAGGATAGAGGAGTGGGGGACCCTATGTCTATAGCAGGCTGTTTATAAAAGTATTGTAATACAGAAATCAATGAAGCCCTTTACATCTCTGGAAAAACTCTGATTTTGTTTACTTTTTAATGCTTAAATGACTTGTTATGCAAGTCTGTTTGAATTGTTGCCCATAACATGCTACAAAGGCAGATCCACTGCTTAATGCGTCTTCAAATAACTATATACTATAGGTCATGTATCAGATGCTGCATGTCATTGTGACCTGTATTTTGGGGAAATCTGTTTAGATGGCTCGAGGTATAAATATTACTGACATATTTTATTTTAAACTAAATACTTATAATCAAAAATTCTCAATACAATCTATCCATCAATTAACTTAAAGAGTCCAACATATAATATTCTATATACACTGAGCTGAATGACTTAATTGAATATTTGATAATGGGTACTTAATGGGCAAGGACAGTGGTGAGAAAATTTTTGCAGATTTCAAAATAGTGATGATTCACAAAGCCCTTCATTATAACAGGTGACTGAGATCAGAACTGAGCAGGATTTATTACGAGTGACCTCTCAGGACAAACCGGACATCCATCAGGAGGAATACCTCCTACAGCTTCAGTACCACATCAACGGAACGCGTGGTCACTTCCTGTTAGTGGACAACGACGGGGTGGTCAGAACCAATGGACAAAGCAAAGACAACAGGAGTGAGTGTCCAGTGTACTCAGATTCCTTAGAAATTCATATCACTCAGTCAAAAACTATCCCATATCAACTGTCAGGAATATAAAATATACTGTGCTGTTTTGGATCATTTCTAGACACGCAAAAATGTTTACTCAAGTTTTGAGATAAATCTTTTAGATTAAAATACTGTGCATAATTTTGTTGCTCACTGTGTGAATTAGCAGCAAAAACCATATGCACTACTCGTCTAGGGTTATTTTCTTTGCGAAATCAATATCTGAATATAATGAGTATACCAGTAGTCAATATTGTATGAAATATGTACAAAGATATTGAGACATGGCTGGAGGTGATGGGGGATGGGGGGAGGGGGGGGGGGTTACAAGAAAGATTTCTTATCACATATTTAGTGTAAATGTGTAAATTATACCCATGTGTTTTCCACAAGTTTTCTTGCCATGTAATCAAATGTAGGAATTTGATTATATACTCTAGAGTCAGTATAAAAGTCTAGAATATTGACTGTGATCCCCTTTATAAAACAAGTGAAAGCCTGCATGTGAAAAGTTTGAATTTTTTATGTTGTTTGTATATTTCAGCATTCCTGAAGATCATTCATAATTTCACGCATCGTCCTGGCTTTTGTTATCAGATTGTGGGGTGGGGAACCTGTCATAATCAGATGATACTTTACATGGATGGCACAACACTAAAAACAAGGGTACTTATCTTTATTTATCAATATAAAGCTCTTTGAAGTAATCTCAGGTCTCTTCAGTTGAAGCTCTGCTGGTCATGGAACAGAAGAGCATATGCAATGTTAGTAAGGTGTTTGTTGTCCCTCTGTAAATAATTTTTCAAAATGCTACTCCTCCTACACTTTAAGTCTGATTTCAATGAGACTGTTTTACACAAGTTGACTATATATAGGGGTGAAACGATACACCTCCTTCACGGTTCGATACGTATTGTATAATTTTGTCTCGGTTCGGTTATTTTCGATACGATACATTTTGATAGAAGGAAACAAATTCTACGTTGTTTTATGCTTTCTTTTTCTAAATCTAGTCACATATTTTACGAATTTTATTTGCAAATTGACTAGAAGAAATTGATTAAAATTATTTGACTGTCAAAAACATACTTATTTATTCTGAGTAACGTGTTATACCTTATGCCAAACCCGACTGAATACCGATCCCGACCGAAAAAGGAACCGAACCGAAAATTAGAGATTTTGCACCGTGTATCAAACCGAGAAAAAATACCGCGGTGCATCGATACCGCGGTGAACCGTTTCACTCCTAACTATATACAGTAAAACTGGTTAAAGTGAAGTCCTTGGATATGTGAATTTACTTCGCTATATCAGTAATTTGTTATATCCTTACAACAAATTCATTTAAATGTTGTTTTGTTGTTGTTGTTGTTTTTTTCCAGAAATATATGCTGAATTCGCAATATTAATGTTTTCCCTCAAGTTTGACTAAAATATGTTCAGGGAAGCATTTAATACATGTACAAATCTTACATTGGCATATGAAAGTTTTCAGATGAATTGAATTTCAAATATAAAAACTGTAATTTCAACAATCTAAATTTTGAGATTTAATCATCTTATGAATTTTGTATAAAAAATGTAAACACTCCTTTTAACCTGTACGGGACACAGCACCAGTTCACTGTATCCATAAATCTGTTATATAAGGGTCCGTTATAACTGTTAAACTTCACAGAAAATTGTAAAGAATTTTCCCGGGGATACCAAAAGACTTTGCTGTATCTATAAATTCACTTTATCAGTGTTCATACTAAACGAGTTGACATGGTTACTAGAAAAAGAAATATTTGTGAGATTCTTTTAAAAGGCTACTTTTCCTACAGGTTTGGTCTAATTTCAAGTAAACCCTTTACACAAGTAGACTACACCGAGAGACATAATTCTGTCTATTGATATTTTTGATTTTGATGAATGGCATTTCCATGGTTACTAGTAGAAATTTCTGTGAAATTCTTTCAGAAGGGTAGTCCTACATATTTAATCGAACTGCATACAAAGAGAAAAAACCAAGGATTAATCTTCTATATACTGCTGTTGTCAAAGTTTTAAGTCTAAGTCCTACCTTTTCCTTCCTTTGAAAAACATTATACAGTAAAACTCGTTTAGTACGAACACGGATATTGCGAATTCACAGATATAGCGAAGTTTTTTTTGATCCTCAGCTATATAAATTTAACAAATTCCTTACATGGACATAACAAATTACGGACATAGCAACGTAATCTCACAGGTCCCAGTGACTTCGTTATAAGCAAATTTTACTGTAAACACCAACCAGTAGAGATACAGTTTCATCAGAGACTTTTGGTTTATCAAAGCTTTAGTACACTTCACAATTCTTTATAACTTTACAATGGATTCAGGAAACCTATTGGGAAGTCAGAGGTTCCTCAGATCATAGAACTTCTCTGAACTTTGGCCTTAAAACTAGCCACTATTAAATATTACTTTGTTGTGATTTGACTTTATAGAAGTTTTTTTGTACATTTCAGCCTTACAATCCTTGTCAGAGAGACACCAATGATGACACATTTTTTGCCTTCAGAACGAAAGGAAACAGTGAAGATGGACATTACGCGATTCTATCGTGGACTGGGCACCCTCTCGCCTTTGACAACCAGGGCACCTACCTGCCTCCCAATAATTTGTCACGAAACACTGACACGATGTACCTGTTTAAGGTTCGGCAAGTGGACCGTATGAAGATCACACCTGTGTAATTCGTAGATAAAACATAGATGTCTTCAGTGAGGCAAAGTATCAGAAATGAATCAAATACATTAGGCCCTACGTGTCAAATACATTAGGCCCTAAGTGTCAATTTTTTTTGTTAAACTTAAAAATTCTGTGATAATTTTTCGTAACATCCACATACAGTACACAAAAAATATTGATATGGGTACCCCATACAACCTAATCATGCCAATCAAATTTGTTTTTAATCATCTTTTCTAAGACTTCTACAGATTTATAAAATCAAATCCAATTACAATGAGATTGACCATTCTAGTCAAATCCTTAACAATAAACAACACCTCATACTAATCCTTGCCATTACACAAATACAAATATTCTATTTCATGAAGTCATGAGTACTTGCATGTAATATATTTATTCTTTTTTTTTTTTTTGAGGTCACTTGAGTTTTTATATTAATTCTTCTTCTACATGGGGTTAAACATTAATGTTTATCAAGACTCTCTCAACAAGAATTAGGTAATTCTGATATGTTTTTGTAATTCAATCACTGAAACACTAGTATTTAAAGTATTTTTTCTGAATAATTTAGATTTTTTTAATGATATTTTAATCTTTCCAAGCCATGGAGTTCATAGGAGTAGACATTTATAACTTGTAGACAAATCATCAGTGTTCTTTACAATATAGTATACACCTATTTACTGGCTATGAGGACAATAGCAAGTTTATCGTTCCCCAAGACAGCAACTATTTCCCGAGGCGCAGCCGAGGGAAATAGTTGCTGTCGAGGGGAACGATAAACTTGCTATTGTCCGAATAGTCAGTAAATAAGTGTTTTATTATACCGAAGCAGTCTTTACTTCTGTTACGTCACAATCTGTATAAAACCAGAAGAGTTTCGAGATGAAAAGCGAGGGAACAGAATGCTGCCGGTAAATAGTTTAATGACTATTTCACCATGGGCAAATAGCACAAAAACTATTCCACGGTAGGGGCTGTTTGGAAAAAATAGCATGTTTATTCGTAATATTTTCATATAGAAAAAATTCACAGAGGTATAATAATATTATCTATTTGTTGTAATTGTACTGGGGAGTCTTCATATTTATTTTTACCTGTAAATACTTGATGTCTTCATGCAGGTTGTTTTTTCATCCAGACATTACTTGATAAAAAGTAAATAATGTGGTGCGAAATGAATGAATTGTTGTGAGATGAGTTTACTTTTTACAAATTTAAAATCAAAATTTTGTTTTTAAAATATCTTATTTGTTAAAAGACTTGTTTCATTATATCTAGTTTATATGTATAGATGTCTTTGCATATTTTTCTCATAAATAAATGTATGAACTTTTAATTTGCATATTTTGAAGTTTTATTCTGGTTATTAAATGACATAGAATTAGTAAATTAAACATAATGTTACAAATTAGATGAGCTGAAATGTTAGTCAAGCCTTCAAATTTCTGTTGTTATGTACAAAGGGAGGTAATAAATCTAGAAAACAATTTTACTTGAATAATTAACTCTTTATCTAATGGGTGTTTTCTGTTTTGCACACAATTGATAATTAGGCATAGTATGTTTTCCTATCAATTATAGTCTGCATTCAACCTGGGGCCATCTTTATAAAAAAAAATTTGTTCTGGCCAAATGGTTCTTGAGAAGATTTTTAAAGAATTTTTCCTATACATTTTAATGCAAAACTTTGATCCCCTATTGTGGCCCCCCGGGACCTTGTTGTACAATTTAGAATTAATAGTACCTCAGGAAGCTTTAACATAAGTTTTATGTATTCTGGTCCAATGGTTTTTAAGAAGAGGATTCTTAAATAATTTTTCCTACATATACACTTTGATCCACCTCAAAACTGAATTAAGCTTCATTGCCTCATCTTTTAGAAAAAGTTCATTCCTTGAACTTGCAGCTGAATTTTGTTCAGTAGGTAAAATCAAAAAGTGGAAAGGAATCTTGTGTATGGAGATTAGAAAAAAATAAGATTTTGTCATTGCAGTTCCAGTGGAAGGTTACCTTGCAATGTCCATATGCTCCCTTCAGGAAGTGAATGGTTCCTCTGGGTAGAGAGTGAATATGGCTCCAGTCTAGAGCTACATTTCCATTCTGCATGTGATAGATGCAGGTTTCCAGAAACTCCAGTAGGTCCAATAAAATCTAAAACACAGATAATCAAAGATTATGAAGCTTACCTAGACAAATGTTATCTATAAGGCAAAGTCTCACACCAAATGAATGTTCAGGTAGAATATATCCCTAGATGCAACATGCAAGTATGGTTCGGGTAGAACTTAAGACTTTACTTGGGAAAGGATCTGCTCAAAATCTTTAACTGTTCAATCATCCGGAAAATGTTGGTAAGATGCAGTATCTGAAGCAGGTCTGGTAGTGTGCATACTTGGGAAAATTTACATTATAGTTACTTTGGTATAGACTTGCTCCAAAAACTGCAACCTGTTCAAGCATCCAGAAAACCTACATGTAGGTCAGATGCAGCATCCAAAGCAAGTATAGCAGCGTGAATATCTCTATGCATCACCCAGGATAGGGCTTATTAAAATTTTGGGGAGGATTTGCTCCTAAAACATTAACTACCTGGGTTAGTAGAAGCTCATCTGGACTTAGTCAAGGTGAGCTAAAGATTTAACAATGCTTTACAGGGTTGCGACTTTTCACAAGTACTACATATGTACATAAATAACCTTTTCAATTAAAATTCCAATTAATTGGCCTACTAATTTGAAATTGCAGGAGAGGTGGAATTTTTTTTTTACCTGTAGGCTTGTGTTGATACCAGGAATGCTGGATTTCTTGTCTGTGCTTTGTGTGTACTGGTGAATATCATCCAAAGCTTTGTCAAACACACCACACACCTGTGTCAAAACATAAGATCCTCTCCTTTAATTTTCTCCTTATTACAACAGATATAAATACACTGTAGGTACATGTATATGTAGAATACAATGTAATCTGAATTCAGGGGATAGCAGAGTGCAATCAGTCCCCTGTTACTACTTTCTTGATCATTAAGTTTTTTTTAAATTATTATCATGGATTGAAACTGATTTAAGGACCCTCTATATACTAAATCAAAAATTTTTGGGGGACACTGAGAAAAATATAGAGTATAAAGGTGTAGATATTGAGCTTGTCTATTTCATTTTCATACAACAATGTATTGCTGAAGAGAAATCACTGTTGTTTAGTTAAGTGGGGAAAACATATGCAAATGAAGTGTTCAATTAATTTATCTTGACCTATTAAAATGTTAAGAATGTTTGAATTGATTAAAAATTGAGTATTACACAGTGGATTTCAATCTATATCATTTAAGATCCAAGGACAAATTACTCTAATTGCATAAAAATACCACAGAATCAGAACTCTTTAGTGTGCATTGTATAGAGGGTTCTTACGATGAATCAAGTTGATTGAAGCATTTAGTTACCTCATCAATAAGTTTGCTAAAAAGCTTCTCCTCTGCTTGAATTGCTTCAACACATGGCAAGAAGGAATGGCATATAATTTTGAGAATTCCTGAAAATGAACAGATTTATGAAAATATGCTTAAAATCTAATATATAAAGTCCACTTTACATGGTAAATCCTGCACAACTACATTAATTTCATATTAATCACAACGTCATAAAGCATCTTCACCTACCAATCTGCTCCTGAACAATATTCACTTCTTGAAAACATCTCTGATAAAACAGTATAGGAAATGGTGTGTATTCACAGTTTTAGGACAGTAAAATGACCCCCAAAGAAATTGTTCTTGATCTTTGTAAATCAAAACATTCTTGTTATCTTAAAATGAACTTACTGTTTGAGGTCCCTGGTATATATGCTTTCTAAGCCTTTATAATATATTGTTGTAATTTATTAAAATTAATGGAAGGATACAATGAGTCTGGGTAGTGCTGTGTCCAGGTTGTCCTGACACTGGGTACCGTCCCAGCTGACCACAGTCTCCAGGAAGCTGGACTGGGACTGGGACATGGTCAGTCTAAAACAGAAAAAAACATCAAGTAATACAATCATAAACTACCAGTAGATTAGACAAAAGTTAATTCAATCCTTTCCATATCAATAATCTTGACTTTGATCTTTGTGATCAAAGAACCTCAAAATCCACTGATCAACGTCTTTCCATAATAACTAAGTTAGACTATATATTTTACAAATCATACACACCCAGCTCTTTACCAATTTGCTGTATAGTGGAGCCTCGTAAATTCATTATAAGCGTACTCGCTATAAGTGTGTTTTCTTGTAACACAATAAGTACAATATTTATGTTTTTATATTTACATTTCCAAATATTTTTTCTTAAGATTCTTTGCAAATTCGAATACTGTTCATTTTCTCATGAACTACCATGGATGAGCATGAATATCTCAATTGTTACATCATAATAACGTACTTGACGTCAAAACTATAGTGCAAAGTGTTTTGCCTTTAAAATGACAGTTGAATGGCGTTATTTGTGGCAACTCATCAGAAAACTCGCTTCATGAAATATGCCAGCGTGAAGCATCGTAGTTCATGTCCTCATGAATCTTCAAAAATTAAATTCATTTCTTAAACAGCTAACTCAAAATGAACAGACAAGTCATGTTCTAAATAAATTTATCAAGTGTTTTAGACAATTTTGAATATCAAATTCACATGTGATACGTGCAATGAAACATAACTAATCCACAGGTTGAAAGGCTGATTTCATTTCTAGAAATTTTTAAAATATTCTCCTTTCCATTTCCATATTTTATAGTTTTCATTTCCGACATTCATAAAATACATGTAGTACTTTTCTGCAATAAACCCAAACTGAAGACTTTCCTCAATTTTATCTCCAAATAATAAGTTTTGCTTAGCTTTTAAAGAAACTTAATTTAACCTTTGTTCTCCTATTAACTTCCTACAATGTCCAGGGATCCCAAGTCCTCTCATGGCCTTGAGACCCCTAGTGACAAACTTCATTTTTTATGGGCTGACCGCAACAACGTCTTCTGGAGAAATTATAAATCCAGATTTTTTTTCATATCTCGACCAATCACATTAAAGGTCATAGGAAACGATTCTTAACACTAGGTTTTCACTTTTTAAACCTAAAGCTATATATGAAAGAATGTTAAATTACGAGTAGTAATATTTTTGGGCCTTTGTTCTACTGAAAAATAGAGGTGAAAACTTTTTCACTTGTTACTTTTCTTACCCGCTTATCTTTCTTGATTTTGTGGTTTTATGACGTCACAAGAGCCCACTGATGTAAACAGAGCATTAGACTAATGTATTTCTACCATATTTTATCTAGTTAATTTAAGCTATTTTTGTAAATATAAATGTGTCTATGTGTTCAGTGAGTTATCTGAGTTCGTAGTTAGGTCAATTCAGTTTGAGCGAGTCGTTAATAAGGCACGGCAACTCAAAACTGGAGCTTTTTTATTGGAGGATGATCCTGATGAATATCCTATATAAAATTACGCTTAAATTAAGCTACAACTTCGATTACATACTCTACATCAAACCTTTAGAAACAAAAAAATATTTCCCTGTTTAATACACATATACGACATACCAAGAGGATTTCATCGTCATTAAAAAGCTATTAACTCGTTTTTTATTCCAAGAAAAATTGCATAATGCAACATAGAATAGAACAATTTATTAAAAGTGACCTTTTCTGCTTAGAATAAAAATTTTGATTAAGCCTATAATATTCTATTAAAGAAAGATATATATGACACGTATGTGGGGATTATCCCTAACGTGATTCCCAAAAATAAACACGTGGGCCAGTGGTATTGAATTCCATGATAAGCGCGAACCATTGAAAATGTCAGCATCTTTGAAATTTTGTTTTCACCGATCCGAAACACACATATTGCTGTAAAAACGATATAGCAATAGATTCCCTGAGTTTATGACATGATCGTATTCTTCTATAAAAAAAATATACATATATTTAAAGAAGAAATGTTGAACCCAGAGCAAATGAGATTGTTACGATGCCGATACTTTGTGCAGTCACGGTTTGACTCGACAATATCGATTTTTGAAATACTCTGTATGTAGTAGTAAACAGTACAGTCCGTGATCAGTTTGCAAATCCATCCATCATTTGCGAGGCTACAATTTTAATAGTAATGTTCTTTTTAACAGGTAATAAAACTTTTGAAATTATATCCTTTACAGAAAAAAAAACGTAAATATAATTCACACTGGAAAAATAAATAGGTTTGTATATGATGATACTAGTAAGTACTGATCTTTGATAAATATTTTATCAAATTGACGGGAAAGATACCTATCTTTTTTTGTATTTTATGTATTAAATTTTACAAAATTAAAAAAAAAATGTCGATTTCTAATTCATTCAATATCTACATTTGGTAGAATCCCTATTCTTCATAGAAATATTTCCACATGTTAGAGCTGCCTTTTTTTTTAATGCATAGGTCTACATGTTTAAACATCGTTTGTACTAACTCACATATATACAAGTTTACGTATAGTTCTAGCCAGAGTTGTTTTTAACCCATCTGCAGTGTGTTTAAAAATGACACGATCGGGTATATTGGTGGTGATGTTGTACATGAGTAAGTGTATATAAAGACAGTGTCAAAAAACAAGAATTGATTAAATTGTATAAAACAGTAACACAAGAAATTTTTTTCTTGTTTTTTTTTTTAAATCCATGTGATACTACACAGCAGGTACGTATTGTTTGTCAAGAAAAGTGTCATACTGACAGTGTTGGACTCTGCCGTTGTAAAAGTAAAACTAGGTTGTAAATAAATGATTTCATTAAAACAACTGCCCTGGTTATGAAAAATGAATTCATTCTCACTCGCGCTTTCCCTTCTTTCTATCTTCCGATCGCTTTATTTTTTTCTCTCGATAGATCGAAGTGTCAAACGTTGAAAATGATAACATTTTGACTGATAAAACATGCAAATATCTTGCAAATATGCAATGGAATTTTTAACAAGAGGCCCAGGGGCCACATCGCTCACCTGAGCACTGTGGTTAGGAAAAAAGGAAAAATCAGTTTAGTATTGAAAAGCTTAAATGCATAAATGGTCCCAACCTACCCCTAAAAGGGAGTGGGGGGGGGGGGGGTATGACTTGAACAAAATTAAATCTACACTGCTTACATAATTTTTTGACTATGACTTTTTTCTCTACAAGTTTGAACTTTCATTGTGGCCCCACCCTACCCCTGGAGGTCATGATTTGAACAAATTTGAATGTACACTATCTGAGGATGCTTCCATATAAATATTACAAACCGTGGCTTTGCTGTTCTTGAGATTTTTAAAGGTTTTTCTTATATATTCCTATGTAAAACTTTGAACGTTCATTGTGGCCCCACCCTACCCCCAGGGGTCATGATTTGAACAAACTTGAATCTACACTACATGAGGATGCTTTCAAAAAAATATATCCAATCAAAGCTTTGCTGTTCTTGAGAAGAAGATTTTTGAAGATTTTTCCTATGTACACCTATGTTAAACTTTGATCATCCATTGTGGCCCCACCCTTACCCTGGGGGTCATGATTTGAACAAACTTGAATCTACACCACCTGAGGATGCTTCCAATATAAATATGACCAATCATTGCTTTGCTGTTCTTGAGAAGAAGATTTTTCCTATATATTCCTATGTAAAACTTTGATTGTCCATTGTGGCCCCACCCTACCCCTGGGGGTCATGACTTGAATAAACTTGAATCTATACCACCTCAGGATGCTTCCAAATAAATATGACAAATCATAGCTTTGCTGTTCTTGAGAAGAAGATTTTTGAAGATTTTTCCTATATACTCCATGAAAACTTTGATTGTCCATTGTGGCCCCACCCTACCCCAAGGGGTCATAATTGGAACAAATTTGAATCTACACCACTTGCAGATGCTTCCATATAAATTTGACCGATCATGGCTTTGCTGTTCTTGAGAAGAAGATTTTTGAAGATTTTTCCTATATTCTCCTATGTTAAACTTTAATTGTCATCCATTGTGGCCCCACCCTACCCCCCAATGGTCATGATTTGAACAAACTTGAATCCACACCACCTGAGGATGCTTCCAAATAAATATGACCAATCATATCTTTGCTATTCTTGAGAAGAAGATTTTTGAAGATTTTTCCTATATATTCCTATGTAAAACTTTGATTGTCCATTGTGGCCCCACCCTACCCCAAGGGGTCATGATTTGAACAAATTTGAATCTACACCACATGAAGATGCTTCCATATAAATATGACCAATCATATCTTTGCTGTTCATGAGAAGAAGATTTTTCCTATATATTCCTATGTAAAACTTTGATCGTCCATTGTGGCCCCACCCTACCCCCCGGGGTCATGATTTGAACAAACTTGAATCTACACTACCTGACAATAATTCCATATGAGTTTCATCTTTCCTGGCCCATTGGTTCTTGAGAAGAAGATTTTTCAATAATGCCATTAATTTTTTGCTATTTCATAATTATCTCCCCTTTGAGGAGGGAGTGGCCCTTCATTTGAACAAACTTGAATCCCCTTTACCCAAGGATACTTTGTGTCAAGTTTGATTGAAATTGGCCCCGTAGTTCTGGAGAAGAAGATGAAAATGTGAAAAGTTTACGACAACAACGACGCCGACGACAGACAACGGACAAATTTTGATCAGAAAAGCTCACTTGAGCCTAAAAAGATGAGCTAAAAAGAAATACTAGCCTGTTTGAAGATCGTATATTTATACAAGGTTTTAGCCATGATTATGATATTCATTAAAATTAAGCTGCAAAATGACATGATAGTTTGTAAACATTGCATAGCTTTGAACAGCGACTGTGCCTTACTGACGTCATATGCCAAGGGAGATAAGCAACGTTTGTCAAAGTGAATTTTCATGACTGAGTAATTTTGATCGACTGTGCTGTAGCTATCTTGCGTAAAAAATCCAAAAACAACTTCAGTCTTATTTTACCAGCTCAGATGAACTTATTCCCGTATGTAACTCAATATGTTCAGGTAATTGTCTCCTATGACCTTTAAGCCTTGCGGTGACAAACAACCTATAACCTGCATTGAGGTACCAACTGCATTCTCTCTGTTAACATTTTCTGTCTACTTAATATGAAAGCCCCAGTTTGATTGGTTCTTCTGAATGAAAGCAAGCCCAGATTTTCTTTATTATTTTTATTTCTTGTTAGTCACAGTAGAAAAGGGTAGGTTATGGTGTATCATTAGTTCATACAATGAAAAATTACTGACGTCACTGATAGAGCTGAAACAAATGTTCGAATATTTGCAAATGAATAGTAGATGGCGAATATTCGAATGGAAATTTAGCATTCGAATATTCGGTATCATAATTTATACTTCAATGTTTACTTTGTTGATTAAATTATTATATTGGTACTTTAATGATGAAAACTTATAGTATTGATAAGGATTTAGCGCGACTTTATCCTTTCGATGCTCCACATGAACTGTTGACTACCTCTTGAGATTTTATTAGTGTTAGAAAGTACAGAAATATAATTAGAAATCAAAACAAAGAATGCACATAATTTTTCTTAGTGTAAATCCTTTTGAATATACGCTCAAGAAAATTCATTTTCATAAATTCATATTGAGTGTAATTCAAGCCTACCAATTTTATCACCGATTGTTTGCATGGCCCACCATTTCCATGCATTTTTCTATCACGGGTGTCACTAAATCACAAATGTGTTTTCTTTTAAAAAAAGAAATAATCCTAAAAACTAATTATCGACTTTGATTTTTTTTAAACACATTTATTTTCAGACTGACCTCTTAATATGTTACAAGCATGTTCAGTAATGCGTAATGTGAATACCCTGATAACACACTTGGACTTTCGCACTTCCGACTTTTTCTACAGCATGTTTCTTTCTTACTATCAAACTGTGACTTTTCTGTATTTTCCATGCATAGATTTTTATAAATTTTAGCATGTAAAGATAGTTTCCTATTTTAACTAGTACGTAAATTTACACATTTCCCCACCAACCTAACCTTGCGTGATATAGGGTCGATACTGTAAATTGGGGCAAGATCCGCACCACTGAAAAATATGAAATCATAGCATGTCACTGAAAATCAATAGATAGTTTTCAGTAGGCCCAAATTAGCAAGAGTTATTTCCCGTTGGCGGCCATATTAGAGGTCAACATGCTCATATTCCTTCAATATTCAACCAACTTTAACTTTTTATACTGGCCATTGTGAGGTAGGAAGCACTGTTTTTCTGAAAAATATACATTTGCTAAAGCTTCCTTTACTTCATAATTTTTATTCTATAAAGATTTTCCCCCAAATATTTCTTTTACACCCTCTTAGATTTGGTAAGACAAAGAGGAAAAATTACAAGGTTGACCACCAAGATGGCGGCCAAGGGAAATAACTCGGAGAAAAAATATGTCATATGAAAACTATCAATTACTGTAAACCAACTTTTATTCACGTGCGAGAAATATTCGCGACTTCTGCGATCTATTTTAAATAGAGAATATTAATCGCCGCAAATTATTTATTTTTCTTTGTTTTTGTAGAGAATGTGTCGTCAGTCGCGAAAATTCATCGTGGCGGACTGATTTCAAACTGAGGAATTGCGAATAAATGTTGACGCGAATAATAGTTGGTTTACAGTAACTTCCAGAACAATTTTGTTTTAAAATTTCACATACAGAATGCAGATTTCAAAAAGAACTGAAACATATCTGAAAGTGACAACAGAACCATTGTTCTATGGTCACCATTTGTTTTTTCTGTTTAATTTGAGGAGAACTTTTAACAATGGGCAGTTTAACAACAAGAAACTATATCGTTATAAGTTTTATTATTAATATATATGTATACAAATTTTCTTTGGTCTGCAAATGGTATAGGTATTATAACATCTTATAAAGATATACTTTAAATATAACATCAATGAATATTCGAATATGAATCAAATAGTACTCCCGAATATTACAATATTGATTTTTGGTATTCGTTTAAGCACTAGTCACTGATTTTTTTATGGTGTCATTTACAACAACTGCTAATTGAAAGTTGCAAACAATCGCTACATTCACTAACTGTTAGATTTGTTCATTCATCATTGGTAGAATACCTATACAGAGTTCAGAGGGCCTGGGTTGGAGTCTGGTCTGGTCCGGGGTTAGGGTTTATAGGCTAACCCTGGTCCGTTGCATTTTCTCTCTTTTTGTTAAACCATAACGTTATTATGAAGGAGAGTTAATTTTAATACTCATTGTATTTCCTTTTTGTATGAATTCCTGTGTATCTGCCATCATCGTCCAGAAATCTTTTAGTTAAACCATGACGAAAATAAGTTCGGGCTCGATATTGAACACTGTTGAACGCTTTTTGAGAAAATTAGTTTTAAAAAATCAAATAAAAAAGATCAAAATAAAATTTCCAGAGAAAATGTTTAATATAAATCAACCTTAAAATCTTATTTCTTACCCGATATGCTTTTTACTCAGTTAACACATCTTTACATGACTTTTGCTGAATGTTAAACTTGGCGCGCAGACATTTCAAGGCTTCTTCCCTTCTGTTGTTTACGTCCATAACTTCCGGTAAAGTCCATTTTGAAAAGGGGTCTTTTGAGGTTAATTTGTTTATCACTGAAAGATTGTCATTCAATTTGAAAATAATATTAATTTCCTATCTTACATAGGAAGTTAATATTTAGTAAGTTATTTTCTTGTTAAGTTCAGTAATAGTTATTATGCCTCTTTTTCTTCCCTCAATAAAAACCTAACACCCCTCCTCTAGGTAAGACCAAAATTTAGCGGGAACAATCATTGTCGAAGGTCTTGTGGAAAGAAAGACGATGCCTGGGAAAACGATACCACCGATCACGACAGAAATCGTGGAAAAGTAAGACAATGTGAGATTTGCGCCTGATTTTACATCATAAGCAATTTACATTGCAATTTTATTTTTTTACAGGCTGAAAGAGCTGGAGGAAGAATTTCAAGATGGTGATCTTACAGAAAAGGTAAACAAAACAGAATGTATTTTCTACATCATCATGGAAACTTTAAAAATATTTTGTATACAATATAAAGCATTAATGAAGTTAAATGACAACTTCCAGAAAGTAAAATCTGTTGGAAGATGAGTCTGCACAATCTCTTTATTTTGTTATATAGCTTGAATTAGCTATGGCTTTTTTAAGGTAATCAGAATAGCTTGATTTAGCTATTTTATCACACTTTTTAGCTTACCTCGACGAAGTCGAGATGAGCTTATGCTATACCATAAGCGTCAGCATCCAGGTTAAAGTTTTAGGAGCAAGTCCATTCCCAAGTAACTATATATAAGCTCTACCTGGACCAAACTTGCATGGATGATGCATCAAGGGATGGACACTACCACACTTGCTTCGGATGCTGGATCTGACCTAGATTTTCCAGATGAGTGACCAGGTTAAAGTTTTTGGAGGAGGTCCATTCCCAAGTAAATATAAGCCCTACCTTGACCAAACTTTCTTGGGATGGACACTACCACAATTGCTTCGGAAGTTGGATCTGACCTAGATTTTCCAGATGAATGACCAGGTTAAAGTTTTTTGGAGCAGGTCCATTCTTAAGTAACTATAAGCCCTACCTGGATCAAACTTGCATGTATGATGCATATAGGGATGGACACTGACACAATTGCTTCGGATGCTGGATCTGACCTAGATTTTCCAGATGAGTGACCAGGTTAAAGTTTTTTGAGCAAGTCCATTTCCAAGTAACTATAAGCCTTACCTTGACCAAACTTTCATGGATGATGCATCTAGGGATGGACACTACCACACTTGCTTCGGATGCTGGATCTGACCTAGAATTTCCAGATGAGTGACCAGGTAAAGATTTTTGAGCAGGTCCATTCCCAAGTAACTATAAGCCCTACCTGGACCAAACTTTCATGGATGATGAATCTAGGGATGTACACTAACCAACCTACTTTGGATGCTGAATCTGACCTAGATTTTCCACATGAGTGAGTTTTAGCCATATTTTAACCAAATTAGCATGGATGATGTATCTAGGGATGGAGACTTCCAGACTTGCTTTGGATTCTGAATCCGACCTACATTTTCCAGATGAGTGACCAGGATAATTTTTTGGAGTATCTATACAATATTATGGCCTGTTATGATTAAACTTGCATATATGATGCATCTAAGGATGAAAACTTCTAGACTTGCTTTGAATGTTTGAACTGACCAAAATTTTCTTGATTAGTAAACAAGGTTATAAGTTTTTTTGAGCAGGTCTATTTACAAGTAACTATAAGTCCTACTTAAACCAAAGTTGCATGGATATTGATCTTGGGATGTACACTAACAGGGATAGACATTAACTTCCAGATTCACTTGCCCTTCGGGCAAGTGATCTCAAACTTTGACTTGTCCGAATGCAAAACTTTGTTGCTCAGAATTAGGAAAGAACTTTTGAAAAGAAGAAAATTATAAATTACTGTAAATGTTATTACAACAAAAAATGTGACCAAATACACTACTGTCAATTTGGCAAGTTGACCTGAAAAAAAATTTTGATGCTGCATCTGTACATAAATATATACGACTGTACTTGTGAATTTAACCTTTTAACACACACTTTCATGCAGCAATAACCTTCCGTTTCCTTTTCATAAAATTCATATTTTTAAAAAATTATTTTTGGCCGGATCCTTTTGTGAATCGTGACTTTCGGAGATAACTGTGAATCAACGCTAAAGGAAGATAGTTGCTACGAAACATACATCTTATCTTGATCAGGATACATCGTGGTACACTGTACTTATATTCTGTGCGTGAATAAATAATCTAATTTCCTAATAAGAGGTTAACAAAATTTTGTTACACGGAGAGCGTATTTACTATGAAAGAAAATAACGAATCCGATTTTTAAATGAACGGACAGAGCGGTATAACCCAGCTACCAAGGAATTCCGAATGCAAAAACATTGTCATCCAGGTGCGTGTGGATGTTCAATTTATTGTGTTATTTATAAATTAATGTAAACTAAATAAATATGTACATTTGTATGAGAAAACTTCACTTGCCCGATCGGACAAGTACATCGACAATTTCATTGCCCGAACTGAGAATTTACTTGTCCCGGGCAATCGGACAACCGTTAATGTCGATCCCTGACTAACTAGAAAAAAAATATGAATGATGTGAAATTTGCCTTGCTTATAGATAACATTTGTCAAGGTGAGCTTCGTAATCTTTGATTACCTAAGTTTTCTTAATTTAGTTATTTTTCAACATGTACAAAAAGTCGCACCATGTGCAGGGATAGTCATTCAGCCTTGAACTCTTCTGAAAACAATGTATTTAAAAAATCGCTAATCAAATTGCATCTTCTTCAGAGACTTTGTACTCGAAGTTCTAAAAGTTTTGGGGCTATATAAAGCAATTGATTTGTGACCACACAGTTACTTCTTGAATGAAATTATAAAGGAGGTTAATTCTGGTCAACAAGTTAATTGATTGGTAATAATTCAGCACAATGTGAAGCAATCATACTTATCCATACCTAAACGAACAAATGTGGTAACAGTTTTCCAAACAATGAAAATACATCTTTTACTTAGAAAGTATTCAAAAGCTGCAGTGTTAGAACTACATGTAGCTTTGATTTGGGTTGCTTTTTTTGAAAGTCCATAGTACATATATGAATATGCGAATATTTGCAACTTTCTGTGTTTAAATCTTACAAAAAACATTTTTGAGAGAAACGGCATAGAAATAGCTTTATCAAGCTATTCTGAATAGCTCAGTAAAGCAATATAGGTAATTCAAGCTATATAGCTAAATCAAGAGATTGCTGGACCTGATAAATGGGTGTACACATATGTAACTTTCATTTGATACTTCAGGGATACTGGAAAAAGAAATGCAAGTTATTTGATGGCTATCTACCAGAGGATGTCAGCAAGATTATTACAGGACTGGAAAAAGGACTGAAAGAAAACATCATTACTGAGGTAAGAGAAGAAATTGATAACAGATTCAACACAAAAAGGGATGAGACCTCGCATCAAACTTAGTTCCTGCGCCAGGGAAGCAGAGCAAAAAGTATAATATTTGGAGAAAACCTTAGAAAAAAGTTTTTGATGGGTTTATTGATCAAAAGACGCAGGTGCAATTATTTTTTTGTAGAATGACTGGGAAAGGGCTGGGGTTATTGATGTTCATGTTGGTTTAGGTAAATAACGTAGCATTGCATGGGAAAACTTTTGGAAATCTGAGGAGGGTAGAGAATGGTGTCTGAACTGTAGGTTTTCTTTAATTCGTAGAAGACTTGGAGGGAAAGGGCAGAAATAATATCTGTTTAACTGATGTGTAATCATTCTGTAGAATTGTATTCATTTTCTGAATCACGAATTTTAATGCCTTATTTCTGCTGAAGTGTTTGAGGAAGTGTGTGTCTGAATGAGACCATTCTTTGTTTATTATTTAGCCCTCTGTATTATTTTAAATAGATTGCTTACTTATTAGTCTGTATTATTTTAAATCAGTTTCTCTTTACCACTGCAGAAGGGATATTTCAAGAATCTAAAGAAGGTGTTTGATAAGGTATATGATAGTGAGAATGGGGTGATGATCGAGACAGAGGGATCGAGCAAGAAGACGGGGAATGGACTGATGGACTGTGAGAATGGTGACCACAGGAACGGAGATAAAAGTGATCACGGCAGCAGAGACAAAGCTTCAGAGGAGTTCTTGGAGACCAGGCCTGTAGATAAGTCCAAACCTGATACCAAGCTTTCAGATGAGCCCGGAACTGATACCAAACCTGAAAATGAGTCCAAATCAGAAGCCAAAAATGGAGACACATTGAAAGATGAAGAGTTACAGGCTGGAGATGATAGTGGGAGGAATGAGGTGATTGTATAAGTATTGAAATCTTTTATCTGAAATTGCTCCCAATGTGAATTAATTCTCATGTATCAAAATTTCTTTGCAGGAAGAGATGGAGGTTGAGGAGAGTAAAAGTAAGTTATCATTTAAATTCTACTTTGCTTTTTAGCTCACCTGAGCCAAAGGCTCAAGTGAGCTTTTCTGATCAAAATTTGTCCGTTGTCTGTCGTCGTTGTCGTAAAATTTTCACAATTTCATCTTCTTCTCCAGAACCACTGGGCCAATTTCAACCAAACTTGGCACAGAGTATCCTTGGATGAAGGGGATTCAAGTTTGTTCAAATGAAGGGCCACGCCTTCTTCTAAGGGGAGATAATTGCGAATTCATGAAAAATTTATGGCATCTTTCAAAAATCTTCTTCTCAAGAACCACTGTGTTAGAAAGTTTGAAACTTTTGTGGAAGCATCCTCAGGTAGTGTAGATTCAAGTTTGTTCAAATCATGACCCCCAGGGGTAGGGTGGGGCCACAGTGGGCTATCAAAGTTTTACATAGGAAAACATAGAGAAAATCTTCTTCTCAAGAACAACAAAGTCTTGATTGGTCATATTTATATGGAAGCATCCTCAGATAGTGTTGATTCAAGTTTGTTCAAATCATGACCCCCGGGGGTAGGGTGGGGCCACATTGGGCGATCAAAGTTTTACATAGGAAAACATAGAGAAAATCTTTAAAAATCTTCTTCTCAAGAACAACAAAGTCTTGATTGGTCATATTTATATGGAAGCATCCTCAGATAGTGTTGATTCAAGTTTGTTCAAATCATAACCAGGGCCTAGGAAGGGGCCGCGCCATGCGCCATATGCGCATACTGTCGAAAAATGGTGCAATGAAATAATGGTGCGCAGCGCCATGTGGCGCGCCCCGCAAAATGCGGGTATGCATATTTTATTATTTTGTAAGTTCGTCACAGTCCGCCCTTTCTGTATTCTTCATTGAAGTTAGATGGAATCTGTGATGTATTATATAATAAAATCGGAACCATCATTCGGCATATTGACATCCACTGGCAAAGAAACATTTTTTTTCATGTCATTCGATTCTTAAGTGTCAAGTCGTTTTCGATGGTTGACCACTGACAGCTTTTCGAAAGTCACGCACATGGAAAATTTATATACCTTACAACACAGGGGTTTGCTCCCGGCGTGTAATAATTATTTATTAAAAATCATATTCGGTAATACTAGTATTACCGTATATGAATTTTTTTTTTTTTCATAAATAATTATTACACGCCGGGAGCAAGCCCCTGTGCTTACAATGAAAAACCTTTTCAACGAAGTCCACTTATTTTAGCCTGTCCCGTGATCTCTAAATCAGCATCGTTAAAAATGGTGCTTCTAGTTTAAATATAATTTTTCTAAATACTAGTTGGTTAGAATTTAGATGACGATTGACTGAAGTTCTTAGAAACGGAAAAATCATTTGCACTAGTCAATGTCATATGACTTGTCAATTCCTATCGCATTTTTCTTTTTAATTTTCCTAAATTTTGTTGTCAGAGATATATGCATTACCCCATAGCATCATACTATGATTTATTTTAGAATGGCCCCAATATATTTCCCCTCGGCCCCTTAAATTTCAAAATGGCCCCATCATTTTACAAACAGTGGGGCCATTGGCCCTACCTGTTGCTTGACCTTCCCAGGCACTGCATAACCCCCGGGGGTAGGGTGGGGTCACATTGGGCGATCAAAATTTTACATAGGAATACATGGGAAAATATTTAAAAACCTTCTTCTCAAGAACAACTAAGCCAAGATTGGTCATATTTATGTGGAAGTATCCTCAGGTAGTGTTGATTCAAGTTTGTTCAAATCATGACCCCCAGGGGTAGGGTGGGGCCACAGTGGGCGATCAAAGTTTTATAAAGGAATACATGGGAAAATCTTTAAATATCTTCTTCTCAAGAACAGCAAAGTCTTGATTGGTCATATTTATATGGAAGCATCCTCAGATAGTGTTGATTCAAGTTTGTTCAAATCATGACTCCCGGGGGTAGGGCGGGGCCACAGAGGGCGATCAAAGTTTTACATAGGAATACATGGGGAAAATCTTTAAAAATCTTGTTCTCAAGAACAACAAAGCCAATATTGGTCATATTTTTATGGAAGCATCCTCATGTAGTGTAGATTCAATTTTGTTCAAATCATGACCCCTGGGGATAGTGTGGGGCCACAGTGCGCAGTCAAAGTTTTACATAGGAATATTTAGGGAAAATCTTTAAAAATCTTCTTCTCAGGAACAGCAAAGTCTTGATTGGTCATATTTATATGGAAGCATCCTAAGATAGCGTTGATTCAAGTTTGTTCAAATCATGACCCCCGGGGGTAGGGTGGGGCCACAATGAAAGTTTAAACTTGAATAGGGAAAAATCACACTTAGTCAAAAAAAAATGTGTAAGCATCCTTAGTTAGTGTTGATTCAATTTTGTTGAAATCATACCCCCTAGCCTCCTCCCTTTAAGGGGTAGATCGGGACCACTTATGCATTTAAGCATTGCAATACTAAACTGATTTTTGCTTTTTTCGCAGCCACAGTGCTCAGGTGAGCGATGTGGCCCCTGGGCCTCTTGCTGTGTTTGATTTTGTTTTCTCTGTCCAGAAAAAAACTTTTTTAATCTCTCCAAGGGAAAAAACTTCATAAGGATAGTCATGAGTTACCTCTCTTTACTAGGTACACCAGCCAAGTCGAAAAGAGACAAAAAGTCAAAGAAAACATCAAACCAGCCATCAATAACAGCCATGTTTTCTAGAACGTGAGATTTTATTTTTGTATTCTACATTCTGGTGCTGATATTTGAATTGTCAGAGGTGAACAGCTTAGGGTGAAATTAGTGATCAGAATTTTTTATTTTTGTTTAAGTCCAGGGAAGAGAAAATCTATGGCTGATGATGAGAATATTGCTGCCCCTGATCAGGAGAAGGAGTTGAAGAAAGCTAAATTAGAAGAGGATGAAGCTGGGGAAACTATAGACTTGGATGGGTGAGACAAGATTGACTTTCATCAATGTGTGGTTGTATCCAGACTTATCTCTCATGCATTAAATCTTTGAAGGAAATATTGCAGTGCTTTTACAATTTGTCCAAAAAGATTTTAAAAAATGGAAATCTTCATACTTTTTCTATGTCAAATTATTTTCAGTGAAAATGTATTTTTAGAGATGAAAAGAATGTTGAAGAGAAAACAAGACCTAAAGCTCCACCCGCGAAGCCTAAGGCACCTCCTGCCAAGTGTCGGGAATGTAAACAGCTACTAGACGACCCAGATCTTAGGATGTTTCCTGGAGACCAGGATACAGCAGTATGTCTGTGATATCTTAAGTTCAAGAAAAAATGACAAACAAAAGCAAGAGAAAAATCAAAATCAGCACTCAAAATCAAGTAGGATTCAGAGAACAGTGCTAGACTCCTGAATATGTATGTAATAAGCAGAAAAAGATTTCCAAAAATTCATATTTTTTAAAAATTTTCATGTACATTGTAATTAAGGTAGAAGAATTTATAGCCCTGACTGATCCAAAGCTGTCTGTGTTCACTGGGGAGGAGGAAGAAATTCACAGCTACGACCAGAGACCTCAGCATAAAATCACAAACTTCAGGTAAAACTGAAGACCAGTATGGTCTGATAACAAAAAGAAATGAAAATCTCATAGGTAATGCAGATTTGTCTAAAATTTTTAGAGATTCTCTTATTATTTCAGTGTATATGACAAGAACACCCACCTGTGTCCATTTGACACGGGGTTGATTGAGAAGAACATATACCTCTACTTCAGTGGAGTCGTTAAACCCATCTATGATGAAAACTCAAGTCCAGAGGGTATTTATCTCATTTATATGTATATGTTATATAACTTTCAGTATATAGAGTAAAGTGTTTTGTTCATGTGGTTGAATACATTATGTTACCCACAAATTGTTGTATGTAACTTACTAGTAATTTTATAAAAAGCAACTTCTAGAAAATGCATTGTCTCTTGTGAAGTGAAGTACATCTTAAAATATTTATATCACATTTATATTTATATGTAATATAACTTCAGTAAAGTTGTTTCATAAATACATTATGTCACATGTAATTTATTAATAGTTTTATAATAAGCACTTCTAGAAAATGCAGTATCTCTTATGATGTGGCGTACATTAATATTTTAGGAGGTATACCAGCTTGTAAGTTGGGTCCAATCAATGAATGGTGGACTGCAGGATTTGATGGAGGAGAGAATGCTCTCATTGGATTTAGTACAGGTAATCAGTTAACAGGTACACAGTACAGGTAAAGTGGTACATGATATTGGTAAAATGGTAGAGTACAGGTAAAGTGGTAAATGATATTGGTAAAATGGTACACAGTACAGTTAAAGTGGTACATGATATTGGTAAAGTGGAAGAGTACAGGTAAAGGGGCACATTGTGCAGTTAAAGGGTATTAGAACAGGTAAAGGGTAACACTGTATAGGTATGGGCATCGGGCAGTCCTAATTGCACACCCATGTAGGTAATAAAAATGTTGCCAGTATCGAATATGAGTTGATGAATTGATGTCCCTCATTAGTTTCCATATATGTGGGATATTTTTAGCTTAGCTTGACAAAGGCTTCCCAGTTAAAGTTTTAGGACAAGTCTCATTCCCAAGTAACTATAAGCCATATATTGACCAAACTTGCTTGGATGAGGAATATAGGGATGCAGATTACCAGACTGGCTTTAGATGCAGGCTCTGACCTACATCTTTCACATGAGTGAACTGGTTTAAGTTTTTGGAGCAGGTTCATTCCCAAGTAACTGTAAGTCCCACCTGAACTAAACATGCATTGATGATGCATGTAGGAATATACTCTTCCACATTGGCTTCAGATTTAGGCTATTATGACTTCTGTGTATTTATGCGATGCGGAGTACATTCTTGCATTCCTTATAGATTATGATTTGTGTGTATTTAGGCTATAATGATTTCTGTGTATTTAGGCTATGCGGAGTACATCCTGATGTCCCCCAGTGAGGCCTATCAACCTTATATGGACACCATGAGGGAGAAGATTCACATGAGTAAAGTGGTCATTGAATTTCTACAGAACAACCAAGAGGCCACATACGAGGATCTCCTCAACAAAATACAGGTATGATACCACTGTCCACAAGGTCACACACTCGAATACCATGTGTGCTAGCTTATTTTATGCTTCATCATGAATACTGCTGGGGCATATAGGGTTTGTCATGTCCATCTCTCTGTCCATCTATCAAACTCTGTGTTAGGCTCAGTTTCAGAGCAGTTATTCAAGATCTTTTATCAAACCTTATATACTTATTCATATTAATGAGAACTATTCAAATGCAGTTATTTTTTGTCCTTGACATTTCGTTTGATTTTTACCACACTTTTCTTAATTTGCATTTAGCTCAGTTTCAAAAAAACTATTCAAGATATTTATCAAACTTCATATGCTGATATATATTGGTGAGAGATAATTTTCATAATTTTCTGACCTTAATATTTCCTGTGACCTCACTATTCCTCATTTACTGTAATCTTAAAGAACCAAGTTACATTTCTTTTTATGTTGCATTACTAATAACCTTGGGTAGGGCATTCATATCCTGTGGACATATCTCTAGTATTTATTTTTAAATGATGAAGAGTTATGGAGACCTATTCCAGGGTTACCTATTACAATGTTTATATTTTTATTTCAAGACCACAGTGCCCCCTACTGGACTGTCCAGCCTCACAGAAGACTCCTTACTGAGACATGCCCAGTTTGTCTTGGATCAGGTAAGCACTGTTCTGCCTCACCTCCTCACAAAGATAAAGCTTTGATGAAGAGGTTTCACTGTTGTAGACAGTTGTTGTTTGGCCTCCAGGTTATGGACATGTTTTTACTTCCAGGTCCAGAGTTATGATGAAGCAGCAGAAGATGATGAAGGGTTACTCATCACAACACCCTGCATGAGAGCCCTCATCAAACTGGCTGGGGTCACCCTTGGAAAACGGTATTTAATGATACCTGTTTCTTGAAAAACATATCTAGTACTAAAATATTTTTGGTAATGGATAAAAAATCACGTATTAAGGGAAGGGAAAATCTTGGATAAAGACACCTGAAGTCCATGTATGTCTTAGTACCCTATAAGTGGAATTTGTAGTGCGACATAAATTTAGCAATTTGTTTTTGATAATAAGTGCATGAATTTTACTACTTACTAAGTAATTTTACTACTTACTAAGTAATTTTAACAATTTAATGACACCTAAATGACACAACGGTAACCTCCAAAGCAGTACGAATTGTTACAGATATTCAATTTTAGCGATCTCAGTATCCTCGCTAAAAATGCCAAAATTGAATCCTTGCAAAAATTTCTACTTATACGGTATATGAAGGAGAAATTTGTTTTCTTGCTTTAGGCGTCAGATGAGGAAAGAGTTAAGAAAGACCAAAGAGAAGGTGAAGAAGCCAGCTTTCACCATGGCCACCACAACGAGGCTGGTGACCCAGATATTTGATAGCATGTTTCAGGGGGAGATTGATGATAAAAGTGGGCAGAAATCCAAAAGACGCAGGTGTGGCATCTGTGAGGTAAATGTTTCAGGTTGTTCTGTCTATAACCATAAATTTCAGAAGCCTCCCCCCCCCTTTAATTTGTAGCAAAAACAAAAGAGAGACATAAATACATGCATATTTTTTCACCTATAGATCTGTCAACAGCCAGATTGTGGGAAATGTACTGCTTGTAAAGATATGGTCAAGTTTGGAGGATCCGGGCGAGCTAAACAGGCTTGTGTTAACAGAAGGTGAGGAATAGATCAGGTTTAAGGGTTTTGATTAGCTGAACATTTTGTACCGATATTGCATGCAGCATAATCAAATTTGGAAGTTCTGTGCAAGCTAAACATGCCATTTCTTTTACTGAGGCATCATTCTAATTTAAGACAAAGTAAAGGACATACGCAATGTACCTTACCTACTGATAATTTTTCAAGATATTCTTAATTTAAGATTATAGTGCCATCAGATGTTCATAGACGAAAAATCAGCATGCATTACCAGGGGTTTTGAAAAGATATCAATTGATGAAAATTTTTGTATAATTCAAAAAAAAAAAATTTACAAAAATTACTAAACATATATTCCAGGTGTTTTGTTTATGCAGACTTGTTTTAGAAGAAGTGTACAATAGCATAGACATTAAAATGTAGCACACAGTTTCTTTAAGTATTGGAACTCTTCAACTCCAGGGAAAAAGACAATGAAGTTCAAACTACGTTGCATATGTCCTTAAGATTTGGTTTGGTCTTTTAGATGTCCAAATATGGCGATGAAGGAGGCTGATGAAGATGATATTCTAGATGATGATGATACAGATGACAAGTTAAATGTGGTCAGTTAAAGCTTGTTTATATTAGGTCAATAAATTGAATCTTTATAAACTTGAGTGTACAGATAAAATTATACTGAACATGAATCATAAATAATTTTGTTTTGACATCACAGAAGGAAAACAAAGAGACAACACCAATAAAGAAACACAAGACAGTTCTTAATACAAAGGTAAATGTTTACATTTCTGTTTGTTTGTTCTTAACACTGAAGTAAATGTTACTATTAACATTTCTGAGAGATGTTTAGAACTAAAAATGTGCGTCAGTAAATAATTTTTCAGAAAACTGACATCAAGTTATTCCTGAATTTAATGAATTATTTTGTTAACTTCAGACAAAACTTTCCTGGATTGGTGAAGCAATACATGAAGATGGAAAGAATTCTTATTATGCTGCAGTGTCAATCAATGATGAACAGGTAGGAAGAAAAAGAAAATCAAACAGAGATTCTTAAAAGCAAGTTCTCTTGCTGAAGTTTTATTGTCATTAAGCACATGTACTTCATATACAATGTATCTGACTTGTCTTTCCATCCAATCATCTTTTCTCTCTTTGGGGAGGGGGGGATGTTATTGTTGTTCTTTGCATATTCATCACAATTTTTGAATGAATAAAGTACAATTAGGATCCTAGAAAAAAAATTGGCAATGGTAGTTACTGCCCCTGCAATTGTCACCACAATTTTCTCGTTTTTCCCATAATTTCTGCCATTAAGAAAAATAACACCACCATTAGATATTTATCCTTTAGCAGGAATTTTCTGATTGGTCGGTTTTAGTTGTACTTTTATCTGCTGCTGGGGTAATCTAACGCATGTATGCTTAAACTCTTGATTTTTGGACAGGTAAGCTTGGGTGATTTTATTTCCATCAAGCCTGAGGATGTGTCCATACCTGTGTACATCGCTAAGGTCAACTATCTCTGGGAAAATGCCAACGGAAACAAAATGTGTCATGCTCAGTGGTTATGGTTAGGTCATTTTCATCTTACATACACTTCTTTTGAACATACTGTACTACCGTATAAGTGGAATTTTTAGCGAGATGCAAATTTAGCGATTTATCCTAAAAAAAATCAGTATTTAATTTTAGCGAGAAGTAATTTTAGCAATTTTATGGTGCATAGAAGGATGATGGTACCTCTAATGTGGAATAAATTGTTAGCGATATTTGATTTTAGCGATCTTGATATCCTCACTAAAAATGCCAAAATTGAATACTCGTTAAAATTTCTGCTTACATGGTATTTCAAGACTATTGGAAGATTTTGTTTAAAAGCAAAGTTATTTAATCTAGATTTTCCAGAAGATTAAATTTTTAGAGGGGGAAAAAATAAATTTGCAAAAGCAGTATAAAGAAAAAAAAAAAAGAAAATTTCAACTCCTTTTAAAAAGTTGTCTACTTAATATTGATGAAATGAAAAAGATATGAAACAGCATTCTGAAAACAAAAATTCTCCACTCCTAAAATTTGAATCTTGTGAATTGATATGAATCATCTGTTCTTCAGCAGAGGAAGTGATACCTTACTAGGAGAAACAGCTGATCCATTGGAACTTTTCTTTATTGATGACTGTGAAAGCATTAAACTAGAATCAGCTCTAAAGAAAGTGACAGTAAGTTAAATGGTTATTAATTTAAAAAACATACCCCCTGACTGGTATTCATGTTTTTGTTTTATAGGTTTTACACAAGAACATGCCCCATGAATTAGTATACAGACATAATTTGTTTTATTCTTAGATTCTACACAAAGACATGCCCCCCGACTGGTGTACATGTTTGTTGTGCAGGTTCTATACAAAGACATGCCCCCTGCTGGTATTCATATTTCATATTTGTTTTGTAGGTTTGACGCAAGGACGCGCCCCCTGACTGGTATATATGTTTGTTCTGTAGGTTTTACACAAGGACACACCCCCTGCTGGTATTCATATTTGTTTTGTAGGTTTTACACGAGGACATGCCCCCCCCCCCCCCTTTCACTGATTGGTGTACATGTTTGTTCTGTAGGTTCTACACAAGGACACGCCCCCTGACTGGTATACAAGTATGTTCTGCAGGTTTTACACTACGACACACACCCTGACTGGTATACACGTTTGTTCTGTAGGTTTTACACAATGACACACACCCTGACTGGTATACATGTTTGTTCTGTAGGTTTTACACAAGGACACGCCCCTTGACTGGTATACATGTTTGTTCTGTAGGTTTTACACAAGGACTCGCCCTCTGACTGGTATACATATTTGTTCTGTAGGTTTTACACAAGGACACGCCCCTTGACTGGTATACATATTTGTTCTGTAGGTTTTACACAAGGACTCGCCCCCTGACTGGTATACATATTTGTTCTGTAGGTTTTACACAAAGACACATCCCCTGACTGGTATACATATTTGTTCTGTAGGTTTTACACAAGGACACATCCCCTGAATGGTATACATATTTGTTCTGTAGGTTTTACACAAGGACACATCCCCTGACTGGTATACATATTTGTTCTGTAGGTTTTACACGAGGACACGCCCTCTGACTGGTATACATATTTGTTCTGTAGGTTTTACACAAGGACTCGCCCTCTGACTGGTATACATATTTGTTCTGTAGGTTTTACACAAGGACACGCCCTCTGACTGGTATACATATTTGTTCTGTAGGTTTTACACAAGGACACGCCCTCTGACTGGTATACATATTTGTTCTGTAGGTTTTACACAAGGACTCGCCCTCTGACTGGTATACATATTTGTTCTGTAGGTTTTACACAAGGACACGCCCCTTGACTGGTATACATATTTGTTCTGTAGGTTTTACACAAGGACACGCCCCCTGACTGGTATACATATTTGTTCTGTAGGTTTTACACAAAGACACATCCCCTGACTGGTATACATATTTGTTCTGTAGGTTTTACACAAGGACACATCCCCTGACTGGTATACATATTTGTTCTGTAGGTTTTACACAAGGACACGCCCTCTGACTGGTATACATATTTGTTCTGTAGGTTTTACACAAGGACACGCCCTCTGACTGGTATACATATTTGTTCTGTAGGTTTTACACAAGGACTCGCCCTCTGACTGGTATACATATTTGTTCTGTAGGTTTTACACAAGGACACGCCCCTTGACTGGTATACATATTTGTTCTGTAGGTTTTACACAAGGACACGCCCCCTGACTGGTATACATATTTGTTCTGTAGGTTTTACACAAAGACACATCCCCTGACTGGTATACATATTTGTTCTGTAGGTTTTACACAAGGACACATCCCCTGACTGGTATACATATTTGTTCTGTAGGTTTTACACAAGGACACATCCCCTGACTGGTATACATATTTGTTCTGTAGGTTTTACACAAGGACACGCCCCCCTGACTGGTATACATATTTGTTCTGTAGGTTTTACACAAGGACACGCCCCTTGACTGGTATACATATTTGTTCTGTAGGTTTTACACAAGGACACGCCCCTTGACTGGTATACATATTTGTTCTGTAGGTTTTACACAAGGACACGCCCCTTGACTGGTATACATATTTGTTCTGTAGGTTTTACACAAGGACACACCCCCTGACTGGTATACATATTTGTTCTGTAGGTTTTACACAAGGACACGCCCCTTGACTGGTATACATATTTGTTCTGTAGGTTTTACACAAGGACACGCCCCTTGACTGGAATATGATGGGAGGTATAGAACACCCAGAGGAAGAGTTCCCAATAGAGGATGATGGCAATACATTCTTCTATCAAAAATGGTGAGGATTTATTAGAAAAAAAGTTGTCATCAATAATTTTTGAAGATAATATCTGTAGGAAACATCTTCCATATTTACTCATTTTAGTTATAAGGTTAGTGGACAAAAATTAATCATCAGAATTCAAAAAGGCATTTTTAATGTACGTATATTTGAGGTAACAATAACCATGAGTTTACCCCTTAAACAAATCATCATTTGGTCTAAAATTTTGTTGTATTCTGAGTTGGAGACAAATTTATATTTTCCTAGGTATGACCCAGAGCTGGCACGTTTTGAGGATTTACCGAAACCTGAAAAAGCAGAGAACACAAAACATCATAAATTCTGTCTTAGCTGCGAAAGGCTGGATCAGCTAAGAAAGGTAGAAATGTAAACCTGAATAAAGATATGATAGAAGAAGTATATATGCATCAAAATATTATTTAGGTAGAGTATTCTTACTTAGAGTATTATGATTTCAATTTTGCAGTATAGTTGCACTTCAGAATCTCTTAAAATGGTGTAATGAGGAGTTTTTAAGGTTTTTGTGAATAGAATTTTTAAAAAAGTGATTTATTGATTGAGCTGTCCATTCATTAGAAAGTTGATTTATTGATTGAACTGTCCATTCATCAGAATTTTATTTTAAATCATCAGAAGGAGAATCCATCACTAGGTGAGGAGATAAAACGTGAAGATTCCTCGTCCACCAAGACGTTCTACAGTAGTGTGGCTCGGGATGGATTCCAGTTCAGAATCGGGGATTGTTGTTACATAGAGCCCACTGCCTTTGGATTTAATGTCAAACAGCCACCTGTCAAGAAGGTCAAATCTGAAAGGAAAGAGGTACCATCCTGTGCATGAATCCAAGTGATATTTTTAGCACGATTATGCATTCTTAAAAGTTCTACCGTCAAAAATTGTTCTGTCATTAAACTTTAAAACATTGAAAATTACATTAACACTTAGGTCCCAAAAAAATTTCCATGTCCACTCTTTACAGTATTCATGCAAATTTCAATCCAGGTAAAATGGTAGACACACTTGAACTATAACTTTGTTGTGTGTTACAGGTGGATGAAGAGCTCTACCCTGAGGCCTATAGAAAGGGGGAGTACATTAAAGGTTCCAACGAGTCCCTCCCTGAACCTTACAAGATTGGGAGGATATTGGAAATCTTCTGTAAAAAGTCCCCAGGGTCAAAGATAGTCAACCTAGGGGAAATCAAGGTCAAGGTGGGAAAGTTCTACAGGTGAGTGGTGGGTCCTTAAACTTAACCAGTATTAAATAGGGTTACGTAATCATTAATGTAAAAAGTCCCAGTTACATCAAGAAATACATAGATTGTAATACATTCCTGATGTCCTTATACTGCTGCGGTTGGTTTATTCTGAATTTTATTCAACTACATCTATCCAAGACTTATATTAATAGATATGACTTCATTCCTCAAGCTTAGATAAAATGAACTGTTGGTTTTTGATTAAACACAGTATTATTTGCTGTTATAGACCAGAGGACACACACAAAGGACCCAGGGCTGGGTACCACACGGACCTCAATATGCTCTACTGGTCAGATGAAGGTTAGGGTCTTCTAATTATTTTCTGTAACAAGGGCACTTCTAAGATAGAAACCCATCACAAAGAAATGAAAAGTTGTATTGGCATTGTGTTAACCTATACGTGTATAATAGGGATATAGCTTGCACAAGTTTATTTTTTGGTAAAGTGCATTAGAAAATGTTTATTTTTTGGTAAAGTGCATTACAAAATAAAGTTGATCTTTTTTAATTTATGGTGATATTTGGCTTTCCCAAAGAACCATGTTTTGTTTAAATTCATCCACCTATAATCTTTAACTATCCATGATATACTCCTTGAGTTAGGAATTTCTTTTAGCTAAGTATCCTGATAACCCTTTGCTTGACAGACATCAAATTTGGTACTCAGGTTCCCATTGAAAAAGTAATTGACTACTGTTGATTTTTAGATCTGAAGGCCAACAGTCAAACTGGACAAGGGAATATATTGACTGCTCAATATCTTAGGAACCCTTAAAAAAAACTTGATGAATGGTTCCACTTTAGGAGTGGATGACCTATGTAGATTTTTAGGTCATAAGATCAAGGGTCAAACTGGATGTAGGAATAAGGTGAATTCACCATGCATCGGGCACCCTCGTACTTTAACAAGTTCTAGCGATATCACTACCGAACGAATATTATCAAAATGAAACTTAGCATGTGGTATGTGATTAAAATATAAATTTTTGACACAATCGTGTACTATTTATTGAGAAATATCACTAAGAACCGATTTTTTCGAAACAAGTCGGAATTCGCCATGGATCGGACAATATTAACCATGCATCAGACATACGGTATTTAAAGCAGAAAAATATGATACCTTGTTCTCAGTGCTTTAAAATAAGTGATATCGAAACATTTTTATCTTTAATTTAAAAATTAACCCTCTAGTTAAATTTAAATGACTATTTCGATCCACAAATATGAAGAGATTTAGTTGCATCATATCGGCTTAGAAAGGCTTTACAATGCTATTATTATGGCAACTCGCGCCTTTGTCTAGTGGGTTATTATCATCTAGTTTAAAGAAATAAAATTGAGTCCATTTCTAGTCGTTATATATCGATAACCAGTATTTTCACTGAAAATTTAGAGTTTTTATTTTCTATTTCTGTTAAAAACAGCTGTCATATTGGTTTTATATGAAAATGGAAGCGATTACTCGTACATGGGAAAGTGTCCGATGCATGGTTAATTTGTGTCCGATGTACAGTGAAATAAACATACTAGTAAAAAACAACTCTAAAAATATTATACAAACATTGAAGTAAAATTTTTATACCCCCCGCAAACGAAGTTTAGGGGGGGTATATTGGAATCAGCTTGTCCGTCTGTCTGTCTGTTCGTCTGTCTGTAGACGAGATTTTATCCGGACCATTTCTTGGAAACTGTTGCAAGGATTTGTCTGAAAATTTGTACACTTATTATTCGCTATATGAAGGTGTGCACCTGGTATTTTCATCATGATTGGATAATTGTTTTGCATTTTACAGGTATTTCTTTCATTTTTATTATATGGTTTTGTCCGGATCTGTTCCCAGAGACTATTGCATAGATTTGTATGAAAATTTGCACACTTATTATTTACCATATGAAGATTTGCACCTGGTATTTTCAACAGTATTTGATAATTTTTCTGCATTTTACTGTTGTTTTTTTTTTTTTCATTTTTATTGAGTTAGTCATTTCGGGTTGATGTCTAAGGTTTGAGGCATAGAATCTAGAACATCTGTACAAAAATGTGAACTACAGCTTAAAACAACTCATTAGATCTAAAAAAAAAAAAAAAATCACAAAGTATTAAAAACAGTTTTTACATTACACAGCAGATACTGTAAATCCATTTGTCCCTTGGGAGTAATGAGTGGACATGCATCCAGTTAAAGATTAATTAATGAGTTCAGTGTGGGAAGCTGTTAGGGCATCTCTGATCAAGCAGGTCTTATCTATATCTCCTGGGAATTGGGCAGAAAGAAATAAAGATCTCTGTTGTCTAAGTCTCTTAATTGTAATTTATGTCTGTCAAAATACATAGTTACTGGAAAACCAGCCTTTTATTTTTAAAATGAGTTTGATATAAAGGTATTAAGATCAATTTGATTTTGTATAATTAATTATGATAATTTTTTTTTCAACAATCAATTTGCAGTGTCATGTCTCACAAAGATGACAGATAGTTGCAAACTATTTTTTCAATGTAATAAAAAAACACTGTAATTATTAGTATTGATGTTTTATTAGGCTGCACGTTAGTTTCATTCATTAAAAAAATATGAGTAATTAAATTCTCATTCTAAATGTTTAGGCAAATTGTGAACACCTCTCACATCTAGAAACATTAGTGATTTGGTACCTTCTCTGAAAAACCCAGCGGGGGGTATTTGTCCCTTTTGGACAGTTCTAGTTGAAATATTTCTTTTAAATTGTCAATCATTGACAAATTTTACCTAGGTCTGTCTCGTTCCGTTGAAGTCTATTTAAAAGAACGACAACTCTAAAAAATGCAAAATCGTAAAATTCTGGTTACTCCCCTTTGATGATGCAAAATATATCGTAATTTCAAGGCCATTCTTGTGGTATTTTTATCACAACATGAAAATAAAAATTGACATCATTTAAAAGTTGAGATCTTCACCTTTAAGACAGAAACACGGAAAGACTCAGATTCAATGAAAGTTTATTGCTTAAAGTTGTCCAAAGCAAGGTATGTGTCCGATGCATGGTTAACTCACCCTATATTGACTGCTAAATATCATGAGAACCTTTTGTTTGACCTTGTACATTGGTACTCCTTAAGGAGTAGATGGCCCCTATTGATTTTGAGGTCACTAGATCAAAGGGTGAAACTAGACATGGGAAGATACTGACAGCTCAATATCTAGAGATGTTTTTGTTTAACCATATGGTGGGATCCATTTTTGTGAGAATCCTATGTCAACTTCCTGTTTATCCGTGTGTCTGTCCGTACCATACATAACAAACTTTGGTCACAGTTTTCTCAGCAATTACTCAACGCAGATGCTTGAAATTTTAACATGCTCTTTATGTTTAGGCATGCCATATGGTGGGATTAATTTTTGTACGAATATGATGACAACTTCCTGTTTATCTGTGCGTCTGTCCTTACCATACATAACAAATTTTGGTTGCAGATTTCTCAGCAACTACTTATTGCAGATGTTTGAAAGTTTAGCAGACTCATTGTTTTAGGCATGTCATATGGTGGGAAACATTTTTGTATGAATCTAATGTCAACTTCTTGTTTATCCCTGTGTCTGTCCAAAAATGATCTTGTGTATTCACATCAGAGCGGGGGTATATTAGTGAGCATTGGCTCACAGACTTCTTGTTGGCGCTATAGAATCCAAATACTTGGTTAAATAATTATCACCTGATGAATAATGTCAGATGTTTTTGAATTATATATTTACAAATATGCATTCCGTGAAACACTCTAGTTTTATTTCAGAAGAAACAAAGCCTATATAAAGTCTGTTGGTTTGCTTAGATTAGAATGGATATAGCCCTTTCCCAGTCAATGTTGGGAATTTTTAATTTTTTATATCATGAATGTATTAATATTTTCTTTATTATATCAGAGGCGGTAGCGGACTTTAAGTTGGTGAAGGGGAAGTGTCAGGTCGTGTACAGCGAGAATCTGAAGAGTTTAGAGGAGTACTTCTCGGATGGCCTCGACAGATTCTACTTTACTGAGGTACATTATACATGTATTTGATGAAAAAAATCAATTTTAATGGTGCATTATTTTCAACTTTGAAGTTTCTTAGATGGACAGCTGAAATAATTATACCCCCCACTTAAAAAAGCTGGAGGGTTTATAGTGATCTGAGTGTCCATCCATACATCCTTCTGTACGCCCATAACACTTAGGGGTACCCATCTCTTATCAGCAACTCCTCCTATACCACTGAATAAGATTTAGACTTAAACAGAATCTTTATTACACTGTGCCATTGTGCATCTATTTCTCATATCAGTTGGACAGATATTTGGGGTTTCCCATAGCAAAACATGGAAACTCCCTTTCTTTCTATAATATTGAGGGTACCCATCTCTTATCCACAACTCCTCCTATACCACTGATAAAAATTTAATGTGACCTCACAGAATAGTGCACTTGTGCTCCTATTTTATGTTGTGATCGGACAGATATTTGGGGTTTCCCATGGCAAAAAAAATGAATTTTGCCGTCATTCTCATATAGGAGCCAGGGGTATCATTTTGTGGGCTCAGTGTTTAATAGTACATCTTTTTTTTTTTACTTACTTTGAACTTGTCTGGCATTCCTTTGTTTTAGGCATATGATTCGGAGTCGAAGATGTTTGAGGAACCACCACGACAAGCCAGAGTTTCAGGAGGAAAGGTAAAAACATTGGACACTGTTGAATTATTTAACATATAGAGAAGATATGATTCCTTTATATTTCAAACCACTTGAACTTAGAATTTCAAGAGTATTATTTGACAGGAGTTATACATATGACTGAATTGAGAAAGACTAATAGCCATATGTTGTTTATTGCAACTTGTAGCAGGGTAAAGATGGGAATTGTGTTTCCTGTTTAATGGGTTTGGGTAAAAGTGGGAGTGTAATTGTGCCATTATGCTGGGACAGGGTGGAGGAAGGAGTTTGTTACCTGTTAAATGTGACATCATGTTTTGGTGGGATACAAGTCAAAGTTGTGTACCTGTTTAATTGTGACATCATGTTTGGGTGGGATACAAGTCAATGTTGTGTATCTGTTTAATTGTGCCTTATTGTTGGGACTGTAAAGTTGGAGTTTTGTCCCCCTGTTTTATTTTCCTTT